CCGGCGTCGGCGTTAGCGTTGGCGTCACACCTTGGTTAAGTTTTTCGTACCACCCCACTTTATTTCAGAAGTATTACAAGTATGGCTTTGAAACTTACCATACTTGTTCACCATCATAACCTCCATCTACAGACAAGAGTACATAACTCTGTCAAGGTTTTTGACAGAATTATGGCCCTTTTTTGACTTAGAAAGTGTATTGAGCTTGGTTAAGTTTTTTGTACCACCTCACTTTATTTCAAAACCATTGGAGGTATTGCTTTGAAACTGACCATACTTGTTTACCATCACGACCTTCATCAACAGACAAGAGGACATAACTCTGTCAAGGTTTTTGACAGAATTATGCCCCTTTTTGACTTAGAAAATACATTGAATATGGGTAAAATCCACTTATTGCCTTAACCCTTTGAGATATTGCTTTGAAACTTTTAATGCTATTTCACATCATTACCCCCATCTGTACGCAAGAGAAGGTAACTCTGTCAAGGATTTGTTTTAAAAATTAAGGCCTTTTATCGACTTAGAATCTTGGTTAAGTTTTTAGTACCAGTCCACTTTTTGACTGAACTGTTTGAGATATTAATTTGAAAGTTGGAATACTTGTTTACAATCATGATTCCCAAACATGTCCAGGAGAAGGTAATTCTGTCAAAGATTTTATTTGAATTATGGCCCTTAACTGTCAATGTTTTGTATTATAGGCAAGCACTAAAAACTTAAAAAATCTAAAAAAATTCATTCCTATCCACTTGTTCACTTTACCATAAATTATGTCATATAAACATTGCTGTAATATTCAAGGGTATCAAAAATACAAGTACAAAAAATATACTGCTTCCTTGGCATAGATTTCTTGAAAAATTATGTTATTATGTCATTTACCAAGGTGTTCTGAGTGACGTAAAAATACCTTATTCTCTCAAAGTGGGTTTAATACTATTAAATTTATTTAAGGCTCAACTCAGTTTTTTTTTCTTTCTTACCAGCCCTCTTTTGACTTAAACATTTCAAACTTTGCTGCAGTGTTCAAGGGTATCACACAATTCAGTAAAATAATTCTTCACTAAATATCTTAATGCTCATGGCCATTGTTCACTTTAAAAATACAGAGATTCTTGTATTGCCTTTTACTGCAAAAACTTTTTTTATTGGCAAGCAATAAAAAAGTCGAGCGCGCTGTCTTACGGACAGCTCTTGTATGATAGATATTTTTGATATTGATTTAAAAGAGTAATATCCTGTAAAATTGCTGTTCATACAAGTACATTCAATATGAAGATTTAAATTGCCACCTTTCTAGGGACGTACCAGTCGGCACTGTCATACCGTCTGACAATGCTTATACTATTAGTTTCTCTGATTTCTTTGTTTGATACTGAAGTCCCCAAACTTTGTCTAATAGACAAGTGTCTATTAGAACTAAAATTGTTTCAAATTCAAGGCAATAAGTAAAGTTCCTTAGGTACCTTTTAATGTTTTAGTGATTCTTTAAGGTCTACCACCCTAAATATTTTAAATGGTCTTGTCCATCTTTCATTCTGGAACCCCTACCACCCTAAATATTATAATTAAATAGACTTGTCCATCTTTCCCTCTGGAGCCCCAACTACCCTAAATATATTAAATGGACTTGTCCATCTTTCATTCTGAAGCCCCAACTACCCTAAATATATTAAATGGACTTGTCCATCTTTCATTCTGAAGCCCCAACTACCCTAAATATATTAAATGAACTTGTCCATCTTTCAATCTGGAACCCCCTACCACCCTAAATATATTAAATCAGAACTTGTCCATCATTCCCTCTGGAGCCCCTACCACCCTATTATATGTTAAATGGACTTGTCCACTTTTCAATCTGGACACAACCGTGAATGATTTTTTCCGGAATATTTAAAAATTTGTACTGACTGAATAACAGACACTGTGCACAGTAAGAGCATGGATGTGCAGCCTAATGTTTCTAGTCGGCACTCAGGTTTAATGCATAGAATCTGTTACCGCCAGTAGCAGCTATATATTAACTATCAACCTACTGAAAATGCCCTGAAGTTGCCCTGTGCAGCTTGTATTATAAAAGAAAATATGGAAAAAATGATTTGTATTCATTACACAATTAATTTAATTCCAAAGTTAAAGGGGTTAAACCAGTCTTTTTCAAGAGGCATTGTATTAAAGGGAGTTGGTCAGGTTATAGTATCATAGAGCCTTGTCAGACTTAGAATATGCAGATTGGATGGGCTCTTAACTGATAGCATTTAACTTCACAATTGTTACAGTGTCAGGTCCAGTGTTGTAATGAATGAATTAAACATTTGAAAGGAAAAGAAACTTTTAACAGAATTGTAATAATGAACTTAAACTGTTGAATTTTGTTGTTATTTAAGACTGTAACATGAATTTTGAAATTGAAAAGATTGGTTTAAATTTCTTTTGTCCAGAACAGTAAATAAACTTGTTTGGTGGTCAGTAAGCTGTATTTTGTTAACAGGAAATGCTGGTAGTTGTATTTATTTACACAATAGTAAAATATTATAGTAAAATTTCATTTCACAAAATGTTGCTAATGAGTTCAGTGTACAAAACGAGTCAATGCATGAGAATTATAATGAAAATAAGGATAACTTCAAAAATATTTTATTGACTTGAAGCGCTTCTGTTTGAACACCTTGGTTACCAAAAGAACATTTTTATAAAGCAATGTTATGTGCAGAATATCTTTTGATATATTGCGTTCACAAACAATTAAACATATTGATTAATATTTTACGAGAACGTTAACTAAATAGTATTATGTGATCGTAAAGTAAGTATTGTGTGAAAAATAATCCATTTAAGCTTAGCTGAAATAGCGTAACGAAAAAAGTTTTTCTCACATTATGATTTCGAATATTGCTTAACCATTATTAACGGCCATGCAATATTATGCACACTTGAAAAGTTAACTGAGGCAAATAGGCATTTTATCAGTTCTTAAATAATACATGATCTCAATATCGTTAAACCTGGCAATAAATTTCGATTTTTTTGTTCAGTCGAAATAAAAGTTTATTTCATGAAGTACATAAATATTACTTGCTTTGAACTGATATTGGATTAATATTGGGTTGATAATTTATGGAAATAACCTCTTCAAACGTGTAACAGTGCTTTTAAAGAGAAATAGTGCTAACTCAGCATGGATTCCTGGGACGATAGATATGATGTGAGTTTTTGCTAGCAGTTTTAAGTTAATATAATTAATTATTATTTTTTAGTTTATAAATTTTTTTGGGATAAAAACTAAAGTGTTTGCAACAAGTATATGAAAAATTACTTCCATTAAATAAAAATTTATTGGCAATTTTGAAATTTCAAGTTTTTTGTTTTTTGGGGTTTTTTTAAAAATAATTTTTAAAAATGGTTCCTTAGCTTCTACTTAATGTTATAACAAGTGTTCATATTTATTGTAATTCTTTTAATCCCCTAGTCATAATGTTATTTTTATGGTGTTAAAATCTGTCCAGTGGTCCATATGATATTATATAATGTTTAGAAGTCTTTTTACCATGTCTGTTTGCCAGCATTTGTTATATTTTATTCTTTGACCTTTTACCAATTGGCGTAAAGTATTTTTAAGTAAATCGTAAGTTGCGGTGGTCTGCGAAGGAAATTTTCTAATAAAATTTGAAGGTATACAATAATTTCTGCACTCAATGTTTCTAACATTCTTCAGGCTGTGATGCAACAGTTTATGGGCACTGGTTGCTATTTTTGATGACTAATTCAAGTAAAACATGTCTTTTTATTGTTTAATATGTAAGAAGAGAAACAAAAATAGACGTCTGTTAGATAATTTCATTGAATTGTTTGCAGAATTAAACAAAATTTGTTTCTTTTACAGCCTTAAAAATTAATTTTACCTAGGTTTTTAGTTTGTTACTTTTTCTAAGCCATATTGATTAGATGTTAGTTTCCTGTCTATCGTCTTGATAGTTAAATAATTTTATTGGTCATCATCTAAAAATGATTTAAAAATGAAATTGATTAATAAATTACGATACATATAATTTAAAGAAATTTATATACGCATTTATTTTATGGTCATATAAATTTAATTTTTTTGTCCTTGAATACTTTTTTGAAAGTAATGATTACAAATTGCCGTATTCCCCAGAGCTATCTGTTATTGTCTTTTCATTTTGTTGTATATCTTAGGTGAAAAATAAAGGATAATAATGGGGAAAAAAACTATTAAAACTTATTATTCCCCAGAGATTTCTATTATGATTGTCTCTCCATTTTGCATTTTGTTTTATACATTAAAATCTTTGCATGAGGTACATAATGAATCAAAAGTCTTTTCGAAATTGCTTTATATGTATTGTAAAGTTCAGTCTGAAATTTTGTATAAGATTTGTTTACTTATTTTACACAGGACATGTATTAACAAACATTTATACAATGGGTTACAGGCTGTTAGACAAACTTAGAATGACAAATGAGGAAAATTTCTTTAACCCTCGATCTTTGTTATAATTTTAAAGTTTAAGAAAAGTATTTTGCTATATGTATATAAATGTAGAACAGTAAAAAATATATTTCTTATTGCATCAAGTCTGTACTTATTCTTTATTATAATGATGACAAAAAATCAAGACCAAATTATGTTTTCCAATGTTAAATTTCGATATTTTTTCTTCTAACAAAGGCATATAAGTTAGCTAATATAACAGCTTAAAGATTTTGAAATTGTATTTAAATAAAAGGGAAATGCAAAGAAGTGCACTAGATTTAATTTAAAACTATTTGCAGTAATGATGATTGAATATTGGTGATATACTGTGTTTATTAATATACCTTACTTTGATGTTTTTCACACGCTGAACTGTAAGTGCAAATAATATTGAAAAAATATGTTTAAACATGTTAAAGCTTGGGTTTTATCTTAAAGAAATATTAAGAAAATATCAATCATTTAAGATTTCTCCTATTACCTCCCTTTATTTTTCTCCAAGTTACAGAGTCAATCCGATAGACTGGACAGTACCGAGGCCCGTCTAAGAATGGCTGAGTCTGATCATAACACAGACCTGGAACAGGCCCTCATCAAGTTGGAGGAGGAGCAACAGAGGTAATTTACATATCATTAGCATATTAACTGATTTGCATATATATGTATACTTATAATTTGTCTAAAGTCATGCCTTTATCTATTATATGTAAACAGTAAAAAGGGCAAATTTTGCGCACTTTTATAAAGTTTTTACCCTTTAAGAAAATTCTATATGAAATATTAATTTATAACTTATTTATAATAAAACCCTGGAGCATCTGGGAGCTTTGCCCCAATGTCCTGCGCCAAAGCACTGCCCTGGATCTGCTAGGAGGCCGGGTAGGGCCCCCTTAGCCCCTAAAGAAAAGTTCTTCTGCTTTCACTTCTTGTTGTTGGCAGCCCTGATAACAGACCAACTAAGATTTTGGTACATTTAGTAAGAAAATGAAATGAAATTATTTTGTACCTGTAGGTCAGCGAGCCTGGCTCATGTGAATGCCATGTTGAGAGAGCAGCTAGACCAGGCAACAGCAGCTAACCAATCACTGACCAGCGATATCCACAAGCTCACAGCTGATTGGCAGAAAGCCAGGGAGGAGCTTGACATCAAAGAGAATGAGTGGAGGGAGGAGGAACAGGTAGGCGGAGCTGAATATTTAAATTTCACTTTCACAGATGCACTTGGAATTATTTTCTGTGAAGTACAAAAGGCAGTTTTTGTCTTGAAATTTCATTTAGTCAAGAAAATAAAGTGCTCTTTGGGCGCTCATTGCTAAATACGTTGAAATATTACTTTACCTGAAGACGTTTTTATGACAGATTGCTCTTCAAAAAGTAATTTATTTAATGAAATCATCTGATCGTTTGATTCTCCAAAGTAGAAATCTGCTTAGACCATATAAAACACATATGTCAAAGTTAATTTTGAATAGATTTATTGTGTTAGTAAAGAAAATAAAAGATGCCTTAAAGTTAAACCTATGTTCAAGTTTTAAAATAGTGAAATAGTAAAGAATGTAAAAGATATAGAATGAAGATGAAATAAATTAAATTTGCGGAAACGATTTAATGAAAGATTAATATACATTACATGGATTTAATGAATTTTTGTTTTTTGTAGAGCTTCAACGATTACTTTAGTGCGGAGCATGGCCGTCTTCTCTCTCTGTGGCGTGCGGTTGTCGCTTTTCGTCGCAACTTCAGTGAGCTGAAGACAGCTACAGAGAGGGATCTGTCTCACGTGCGACAGGACGTGACTAAGGCGGCACGTAGCATGCATACAGCTTGTCTCAATCTGAACGCCAACAACCGCAACTCGGAGACGCAGTCTCAGGTAAGGTTCAGACCTCTAGCTGACCTTGAAGGTCAAACCGTAAAACTAGATTTAATGTTGAGTCTTTGTGTAGACTTTTAAACCGGTGACTCACTCATTCAGTTTAGGATATAAAAAGTAGGAAATTATGAAAGGGCTGTAACTCATTTAAATTCTCAAAATATTGATGTAAAAAGTTTAGAGTTCTGTGAAAAAAAAATTGAATCTGTTTCTGTCAGCAATATATTTAGAGATTAGAAGTAAGAATGATTTTCTTTTTCTTCAGGGGAACAGGGAGGGGAGTGGGTTTGGAATAATCAAAAATCTGGTTTCTGTCCAGAGTTAAGTGTTTATTGTAAAGTACTTCATGAGAGTTATGTAGAATAAAGGTATTTTAAGATAAAAGAAAGTTATTAAAAAAGGATAATTTATTTTACATTTGGAATTAATTTTTGAATAATAAGATTTGTATGCATTTAAAATGAGTTGGACAGGCTTGTAGACCTCTACTGAAACTTTGGGGTTTTAAAAAATGAAATTAGCATGACTCATTGATGTATTAAAACATATTTTATCAAACTTCAATTTTACAAAGAAATCGATAGCGATCATGTATTTTAAGATTAAAGTTTTTCTTAGATTCCTTTGTGTTAAGGATTGGATTGTTATAATACAGTGTAAGACTGTACAAATAATGAATACTGAAATTGTTGATTTACTCTGATAAGGGTTTTCCCTTTTCAATAATAAGTAGGATTGTGGTAGTTTTACGTACCAGTAGATTAGGGTGAATGAAAGTTCTTTTGAGGACAATTCAAAAGTTCTGATGCAGGAATTGCACAATAAATGTATATAATGAGAATGTAATCAATAAACAAATAATTAATCTGGTGATAAATTTTCAAATAAATTAAGTATTGAAAACAGTTTTCACAAAATTAATCTCTTTTTGGTGGTTTTTTATCTTTAGTATAATTTAAAAAAATTTAGACTGGTTTAAAACTTTGCATGTCTGAAAAAAATGTAAACCAGTTTGTAATCTGGAAATGGTCATTAAGATTAAATGAAGCATTCTAAATAATCATCTGGTGAAATGTTTATTTCAGTGTAGCATGAATAATGTGGTAGTTACGCGATATATTTGTATGATTATTGTTTAAAAAATGGTCAGTAAAATAACAACATAAACTAGATTCTGTAGTTATTATTGCCTGCTTGATATAGTGTCATATATTAATTTGTGTATTTCTTGCTTAAAAAAACTATTACAAATGTTTACCAGTGTTAACAAACTGTCGGCAACCTATAGATAATGTAGTAGAAAAGCTCATTTGGGTCTCTGTGGCTTACTGATTTAACTAATTTCCATGATGCCATCTTTACTGAAACATTTGGAGTCTTATGTTTTAAAGTCTGCAATCAATTCAATATTGAAAACTTTTAAGAAAAATATAAAAAATGAAAAATTGCATAAGACTGGACATTTTCAATACTATTTTAAATTGAGATATCACATTTAGCAGAAAATTTTCAATCTTGAAACATAAAATTCCAATTTGTAAAGAAAAAATTACAATAACATGAGGGCACATTGCAATTACGCTAATTGGCCAATCAAGAATTGAGCATGAGAGCCAAATATATACAACATACATACATATCAAATGTGCCATTAATCATAGTGGTAAAGCTGATAAAATGGGTTTTTATTTGCATCTCTAGTTGTTTCATATTTTCCTCGTAATGTGACGCAAGCTGTTTTTCAATGCTTTGCTTAAATACTTTAGCAAAAGTCAAAATGAATAAAATAGATTTTCAATATTTTTACATTTTCAATTCTGTTTTGTTGTATCACTTCACTTTATGTTTTAATGACTGCAATAATAGATTTAATAATTAAACCAAAACAAACTTGAGAACTACACATATACATATCAATTGTATAAAAAAGGAGAAATTGAATGAAAATGAAGATGTAAGAAAAAATTCAGCAAAGTTTTGCCCAAATTATAATATAATAATTGGTGCAAAATGTAAAGTTCTTCCTGGCACAGTTGATATGTGACTTTGGCGTATTGATATACCATTTGGTGGAAATTAAGTTACCCTAAGATGAAAATAATTAGCTGACTTTTGATCTTATTATTTAATAAGCACTAAAATTAAGCAGAAAATGTGTCTGTCTAACACAAGTTTGAAATATGACTGTAAGATTAAAATATGTTTAAACATTAAAATAAGACTTTAGAATAACACAATGTTGAAACTTGTAATAATTTCAATTGTATAATAAGCATTAGCCACTAATCTTCATAAGTAAAAATTTATCCCGACTTTTGTAGTGAGTGTGGTCGAAATCCTCTCATTATTCAGTAGGTTGTTAGAATTTAGGATTAACTGTTTCAACATTTTTATTTGCTTTTAACAGTAGTGTATAAAGTTCCCAGATTATTAAATATATTTAATAAATTAGACCTATTCTTGTGGAATATATAAGCCACTTTCTAGACCGATATTTCGGAACTTTCAAGATCTTTTAAGTATTTGCAAATGCTATAGGATATATTCCTTATATTCATGTAAGTCTTCATTTTTTGCAAAATATGATAATGATAGTGTTAATTATATAAATATATAAAATTTCAAGTGAATATTTGATTAGTTATTAAGTAAAAATAGAAAAAGGCTTTTCCAGTATAAAAGTTTCATAAATACTTTCTTACTGGATATTATAATTATATTGGTGAAATTATTATACCGTAGATATGAAAATGGTATTCTCCTAAGAGGTGAAAATAGCATAGATGCAAAAAATAGTTTTCTCCACTGGAAACTCAACATAAAAAAAGCATTTAGTGGTGTGATAAGCTGAGAAAAATCAAATAATCTTGTAATTCTATGATGCTTTAAATATGGTATTTCTTTACTCAATATAAATATGTTGTAGTTGAACGTTATAACCATGATGTTTCAGGTTGCAATGGACCGCGAGCGAGGTGAACGTCAGTCCATAGAGAGTCAGATGAGAGATGCCCGCCGCGAGGCTGCCGAGCTCCAGGCACGTTACGATGCTCACAGCGCAGAACTCAATGCTAGGTACAGTGTTCTGTTTTCCTTCTCCAGACAGGTTCTGTATACAAACTTGTTCCAATGTCAAAAAAACATATTTTCTCTCAAAATTGTGTCTGAAAATGTGCTATTACTGATTGACTGTAAAAGTCGTAATTGACTGTTGTCACATTTTTTCTCCCCGAATTTATCTAATGTCAGGACAATAAAAAATTACAAAATTAGATTGGACCTGGGTCTGTTTCCTAAAAGGCCGTTAGTTATAATAAGTACAGTCATGTGATTTAGTCATACATATTGCTGGATATTTTATACAGCCATGGATATAGGAAATTCCTTCTTCTGATAAAGCTTCAAGCAAGCTAAAGGAAGATTGCTGGTTATACCCTGGTGCTTGCTAGACCTGTGTTTAGTTATAAGCAAAGCAACTACCAAGGACTTTTTCCGAGTACGAGTATGGAAATTTATTAGATGACCTTAAAATGTCATCATTACTAAATTTTTAACAGGCAACGATATATTGAGATCTTCCTCAGCATGATGGTCGTCTTTTTCATTGATTTTAGAGCGATTTTATATGAATATTTGAATCAGACTGTGTCTTGAAGTTACGTGTTTCTGCATACTACACAAATACCTATTGGATAAATGTAAACTTTTCCACATACAACACATAAATCATTGGTTGATATGCAATGTTTATCTTTAAAGCAATCATCTGAAACTTAATGTACATTATGTGATTGTCGATAGGTTCAGATTCGAGTGTTTTGATATCTTTTTTATGTTTAAATGGGGATACACATTATGGGTAAGAGGTATGGGGATTTTTTTCAAGGAGGTGCACCATGTTTATTGTCAATTATCTCTTTATTAATGATGACATTGGCAACGAAAAGGTCCACATTCGATATAGACAGAGATATTGTTTGATATGCCTGAATTGGATGGCTTAAGACGGACCGAATTAAGACTGTTTGAACAAAACAATTGTTGACACTCTTGAAATATAGTGTAGTTATAAAACAATTGCAAATAATGACTTGGCTACATTTGTTTACTTTGAAAGTAATCCCTTGGATAGAATGAATTACAAAAGTTTAAGAACATTTGTTGAACAATTTTAGAATGATATTTTATTGAACAATTACTTGTAGGGTTTTGATTGCCCTGTTTTGAAATTATCATGAAAAATAGTGAAAAACAGAATTTGATTAATACGATATAAATCATACATTCATTTGAAAATGAGATTATCTATATCACTAACTGATTTTATTAGCAGTAAATATTTGGGGGGCCTACATGATTAAGGTCATAGATTTTGAACCACTTGCTCCCTTTAATTCCTCCCAGAGACTGGATTCATTCATGTTTGGAGGGTTAACAAAGGGCGTAGTTCTGGTCCCTGAATCCTAAGGGTTTCCCTTTACAAGTAAATCTGTAAAGTAACCATCTTACCATAATAGTGTCACTGTGACTTAAAACTCAACTTGTTTGTTGAAGTTGCCTCCCTTGTTATTAGAATACTAGTAGTACAGTTGCTTCCCTTTGTTATTTTCAGGGTGAATGAGCTGACCATGTCCAATGAGAAGTTGAAGATTCAGCTGGAAGAGAAGGACAAGACCGTCAGCAACCTTCGACGCGCTGTTGAACATCTCGAACTTAAAGCAGGGGAGAGAACCTTTGCTGATATGCAGGTATATACTTATGACTAAATTTAATCCTAAGTTAAGCAGCCAATTTCGATGATAAAAAATGTTGAAGGATATAGTGCAATATTGAAAGTTATGACTGACTTTTTATGTGTCCAGACTTTTGATTATTTGCCTATAATTTATCAAACATTTTATTGTGTGTCAATTGTATCATTTTAATTGAAAATTTTGCAGCTAAAATAAAAAGTTGATATTAGTTTTATAGGTGTCTGATGTAATATGATAAAGGGTTATATTTATGAAGTTTATGAACAACTTTTCTACTGTCTGTATTTACAACCCATTTGTCTTCATCTCAAGAATTCAGAGTGGAGATACTTGTATATTTTCCGCTGTGAATTGTTTTGATGTGTTATTAACTTTTGAAAATGTAATGAAAAATAATTTATTTCAAGGAGTCTGATATGTCAAGAGCAATCCGCGACGAGACTGAATCCCTTCACAATGCCCTCAGAAGTATCGCTGAATCAGTACTTAACGATGCTGATGAGGACATGCCAGTAGAAGGGGAAACCACTCTGTCACGAGCACGCTCCAAGTCACCCGTTGCACGTGCTAGGTCTCCAACTCTCCGCACACGCTCCAAGTCACCGCTGGATAGAACAAGGTCTCCAGCTTTTGCTGATGCAACTTTCTCTGCAGTCCAGGCTGCCCTCAATAAGAGACAGTTGCAGGTTGCCGAGTGCCGAGCCAAGTTGGCTGCGCAGAAGGACCACAATGCAGCGCAAAAGAAGATGATGGATGATATGGAGAATGAGAAGAGAAGGCTCGAACTTCAGATCCTTAACCTGAAAGAAGACCTTGACATTTCGTAAGTCTTCATTTCCTTTTGTCCAAACTTCTTAATATGATTTGACTATTCTGACAAAAGGCTTAAAGATTATTAAAACATCGTTTCAAAACATGTTAATTCAATATTGTAAGTCTTATACTATGCTGTAATCAAAAGTTTACCTGATAGTTTGTAAATTAAATCAAAATTAATATAGTTTACATGTCAAAATAAATTTAGATTGATTGATATGCTGATTATGCAATATTATATGAATATAATTTGTATAATTGTTAATAAATCTTTTCTTTTATAAATACAGGAGACGTGACAGAGAAGACACCACCCGTGACAGAGATCGTGTCAAGAATGCCCTCGGTTTGACAAGCTCCGAGAAACAACAGTTGGAGAGAGTACGTAACGAGCTGAACGAGCAGATCGAGCAGTTGAACAACGAGAACGAGAAACTGCAGGCGGCCAACTCCGAACTCCAGCGACAGAGAGATAACCTTGAAGATGACAAAGATGATATCACCAAGGACAAAGATCGCCAGATCAAGGAAAATGAGCGATGGTGAGTTAGAAAGGTGATAAACATAGCACATGGTGAATAAAAAGCAAACAAAAGTATTTGATAAGTATAAGGCCAAAAGAATTATAGATCAATGCCATTCATTTATTCACATACAAGACAGGTCTTTCACCCATAAATAAGTAAGAGTGTTAAACTATTCACCTTTGCATTAATGCAAATCGTAAAAGTCCACAGAAAATGTGTGACTGTAGAAGTACAATATTGCCAAATTTAAATGTTATTCTTAACCTCCTGGAACTGAAAATGGATTGCTTTTGCATACCAGGCCAGTCTACTCTTCCATATGTTCATATATTTGGTATTTCATGTTAGCGTTACACTATGAGTGTGTTAATGCAATTATTTTTCCTGTTAACAGTTCATATTTTAGATACGTGATAAATAGAATATTATATATGTGTAGCTTTATTACTAAATTTATTGAGCTCATTGAATATAATAATATTTTTTTCAACTTGTTCAATAAATTTAGTATTGAACCGACAATCATTAAATATCCTTTATTTTATTTTCAGTTGAAATATAGGTATTTTATTTTAACATTTTGACTATTTCTGTATGTATTTTTTTTACAGCCAGAGGATTATTGAGCAGCAGGAGCACAAGAATTCCAGTCTGAAGGAGGAACTAGTTGCCACAAAGGAGGCTCTCAACAGGGCACTTCTTGATAAGGAGGTTCTTGATCAACAAAGACAGGAAGTCAGTAAGTGAATACTCTCCAGTTTTGGAGGAAGTTTTTTTATGCAGGGATAGCAGAAGTACCACCAGTTTTGAGTAATAAATTGCCTACTGACATTTATTTATCACAAATTATCAGTTAGCAATTTTCATGCTCTGTACAAAATAAAAAATTGCCTTGAAAAACTTTTGTTTAAAATTAGTATAATGTTAAGGAACAAACAATTTTTTTTAAAGTTTTAAAGCATTTTTCTCCACAAAACTATGTGTATGAAATACTGTATTTGTGTGTATATATATCTGTGAACTTATTTATTTTCTTAACAAGCCTATGTCTATAAATAAAATATTCAATAGCTTAGCACAATGAAAACTGAAAATATTGATAATGGTATAGCAATTTTACCACATTAGCTGAGAGAGAACTGTAACCTGATCACCCATCAAAGGTTAAAAGTAAAACAAAAGATTACAACTGTTAGAACATGTAACATGTAACCAAAATGTTTCCAATATTTCTAGGTGAAGCTCACGCCAAGGCCGAGATGGTGAAGACAGAATTGGAGGGAGAGCTGCACAAGTCACGCTCGGAGGTGGCTGCCCTCAAGGACGCCCTCGTCAAGATGCAGGCATTGAACGAGGGTCTTGGACAGGACAAGATTGAACTTAACAGAATTATTATGCAGGTAAAAATATATTACTTATATTAATTGAAAAATTTTTATGTCTAGGATTTGTTTAGAAATAATTCTATGTGTTTTGTCATCTTTATACATTTTCAGTAGTCTAGTGACATACTGTACTTAGCTGTCAAGTTTAACCTCAAATTTACTCTGACATAAAAAGTAACTTTTTTTTGAAGAATCAGTCTGAAATTACTTTCAGGGTCACCATGAAACCCAAATTTTTACTAGCTTACATTTTTAGCTCACCTGTCTCAAAGTGACAGGGTGAGCTTTTGTGATCGCTTTTCGTCCGGCGTCCGTCCGTAAACTTTTACTTTAAATGACATCTCCTCATAAACCACTAAGCCAATTTCATCCAAACTTCACAGGAATGTTCCTTTGGTGGTCACCTTTAAAAATTGTTCAAAGAATTTAATTCCATGCAAAACTCTGGTTGCCATGGCAACCGAAAGAAAAAACTTTAAATATCTTCTTTTAAAAAACCATAAGAGCTAGAGCTTAGATATTTGGCATGAAACATCATCTAGTGAGTGTCTACCAAGTTTGTTCAAATAAAAGCCCTGGGGTCAAAATTGGCCCCGCCCCGGGGTCATTGATTTTCCCTATATGCATATAGTAAAAAACTTAAAAAATCTTCTTTTAAAGAACCCAAAGAGCTAGAGCTAAGATATTTAGCATGAAACATGTTCTAATTGGTGTCTACCAAGTTTGTCAAATAAAAGCCCTGGGGTCAAAATTGGCCCCGCCCGGGGGTCATTGATTTTCCCTATATGCATATAGTAAAAAATTTAAAAAAACCTTCTTTTAAAGAACTCAAAGAGCTAGAGCTTAGATATTTGGCATGAAACATCTTTTAGTGAGTGTCTACCAAGTTTGTTCAAATAAAAGCCTTTGGTCAAAATTGGCCCCGCCCCGGGGGTCATTGATTTTCCCTATATGCATATAGTAAAAACTTGAAAAATCTTCTTTTAAAGAACCCAAAGAGCTAGAGCTAAGATATTTAGCATGAAACATGTTCTAATGGGTGTCTACCAAGTTTGTTCAAATAAAAGCCTTGGGGTGAAAATTGGCCCCGCCCCGGGGGTCATTGATTTTCCCTATATGCATATAGTAAAAACTTAAAAATCTTCTTTTAAAGGACTCAAACAGCTAGAGCTTAGATATTTGGCATGAAACATCTTCTAGTGTGTGTCTACCAAGTTTGTTCAAATAAAAGCCCTGGGGTCAAAATTGGCCCCGCCCCGGGGGGTCATTGATTTTCCCTATATGCATATAGTAAAAACTTGAAAAATCTTCTTTTAAAGAACCCAAAGAGCTAGAGCTAAGATATTTACCATGAAACATCTTCTAATGGGTGTCTACCAAGTTTGTTCAAATAAAAGCCCTGGGGTGAAAATTGGCCCCGCCCCGGGGGGTCATTGATTTTCCCTATATGCATATAGTAAAAAACTTAAAAAATCTTCTTTTAAAGAACTCAAAGAGCTATGGCTAAGATATTGAGCATCAAACATGTTCTAATAGGTGTCTACCAAGTTTGTTCAAATACAAGCCCAGGGTGAAAATTTGCCCCGCCCCGGGGGTCATTGATTTTCTTTATATGTGTTCAGCAAAAACTTTAAATCTTCTTTGAAAAAACCCAAATAGCTAGAGTTTAGATATTAAGCATGAAACATCTTCTAGTAAGTGTCTACAAAGTTTGTTCAAATAAAAGCCCTGGGGTCAAAACTGGCCCGGCCCCAGGGGTGTCATTGTTTTTAAACTATATGTGTATAGTAAAAAACTAAAAAAAATCTTCTTTTAAAAAGCCCAATGAGCTAGAACTTAAATGTTTAGCATGAAACATCTTCTTATGGGTGTCTACCAAGTTTGTGCAAATAAAAGCCCTTGGGTTAAATTGGCTCTGCAACGTTGTGGGGGTTGGGGGGGGGGGGCCTATATACAGGTGAGCGACCTCAGGGCCATCATGGCCCTCTTGTTCTGTTTCCATTTTCTGTTGGAAAAATGACATATTTAATATATTTTCCTGTATCTAGCAGTGGTTTATCAGTTAGTTTGTCTCAAGGTTGCTAAACCTATCACCTTCTGGTATTGTGGTTTAAAGTCTTACAAGTATCTTAAACACATACCTCACATGATAAAAGTTTGTCTGAGAAATGGACATGCTGTAACTTAATTGAAGCTCAATGTTTTCAACAATAAATGACTTTATATTTTAAACATTACAGATGGAGGCAGAGAAGGCAGCTGTATACGGAGAGAAACAAGCTCTAGAACAAGAGCGCTCAGGAATCCGAGAGGAACTTGTCCGTGTAGAACAAGAAAAGATGGATCTTGACACAGAAAAAGCTGGTACGTTTTCTATAACATCACTTAATGTCAGACTGGTTCAAATGTTATAATACCAACTTATAAAAAACCAGTCTGAAACTCTGGAATCTTATTGGATGCTTCTGATCAGAGTAACAATTGACCAATTGTAGGACCAATTGTAGAAGTCCAGTTAGAGACTGGTTTTTTGAGTTTGGCCTAACTGGTAGGTTATGCATATTTTAGTGTATGAGTATTGTTGATTTTCTTTGAACTTGTAGTATCTTTTGTTGCAAAACAAGGAAATCATATACCTGAATGATAATGCAGGGTTTTCATTTGTATCTGAGGCAACAGATGTACTAACCAAAACAATTTTGCAAAGGGTTAAAGGGGATATTTTAATCTACAGGCTGAAAATACAGCAGATTTTAGCAGCATTTGAACCAATGATATGAATAGCCAATGTGTAAATAATAAAAACCCTGATAATGCTCTATAAAGAAATGTAATAAGTTTGTTGTTGTGTTGTTGTTTGAAGGATTGAACCAGACATTGGAGCTCAGTGAGATGACACGGCAGCAGCTTGAGGAGGAGATCCAGATATTAAACAGTGGCAAGGCCGACGTTACTGAACAACTTAATTCTGTAAGTACATGTTTGTCCAGCTTATACCAGCATGTTGGTATTACTGAACAACTTAATTCTGTAAGTTCATGTTTGTCCAGCTTATACCAGCATGTTGGTACATCAGTGTCAACTTTAGTAGTAAATTGTTAATTAACCAACGTGATTGTAGTAGTATGAAACTCCTGAAAATAATGGAAAAAACCGAAGTGTTTGAAAAATTTAAGAGTTTATATCCGTTATTAACTACATATATAATGATCTCCCTTTGAATTAAAATTTACTTCCTTACCTTTATATGGGAAAAATTAGTAAAACTATATTTTAGATACTTGTAGAAAAAGTGTTTTGTGCAAATTTGAATATAAAGACTTAAAGAGAATAGATTTTGGGAATAAAGTTGTTGTTTTTATGCAAATTTTGAATAAAGAGTAAAGTTGTTGTTTTTGTATGAACTTGGAAATAAAGAGAATAAAGATGTTGTTTTTATGCAAATTTGGAAAAAAAGAGAATTAAGTATTATTTTTATGCAAATTTGGAAATAAAGAGAATAAAGTATTATTTTTATGCAAATTTGGAAATAAAGAGAATAAAGTTGTTGTTTTCATGCAAATTTGGAAATAAAGAAAATTAAGTTGTTGTTTTTGAGATTTATTGAATGGTACTAGTTAAACAGTTACCTTTGTGGTGTTTCAGGTATCCAGATCGAAACAGAATATTGCCGAGGAGTTGGTGATAGCTCGTAAGGAATTAGATCGTATACAGAACCAGTTACAGAGAGTTAGCAAGGAGAAGGAAGCTCTTAACCTGGAGAAGGGAGAACTTATTGTACAGGTAAATAGTTGTATTATGTACACATTGTATATATTTAAACTAAAAGTACAGTATATTTAAACTAAAAGTACAGTCATATACTTCACATAGTAAAATCAAAGTAAAAAAGTAAAAAAATTGTTGCCCGGCTTGACTCATAGTATTTCTCCTAAAACGAACAACTATTTTTTTCAAGACTTATAAAACTTAGAATAAATGTTGTCAAGAAATTGATGACATAAAATTACAAAGTCAAGATTTCGGATCCGTGTTGTACTTTTGCAGAAATGTTTAAAGGGAATAGTTTAAGAAATTCATAATGGCAAAGGTTACTGTTTGACTATTTTACTTATTCTGCCTGGTACAATGTTAACGTACAATGTTATTATTACAGGTGACAGCCACAGAGCGTGAGAACCGTCAACAGAGTGAACTTATTGCTGCTCTCCGTATGGACAAGGAAGGCCTCGAGGGTAACTTGTACGAGACTGCTAACGGCCTCGCTCAACTTGAGGTGAAGAAACAACAACTTGAGGTTGAAAACCAGGACCTTCTTGTCAGGAAAGAAAATCTTCAAGGTAAATTTAAGATAAGTTTCTATGGCAACACATTGTTATAAAAGTCTGAAAAATTATTTGTGTTCATACTTAAAAAGAGGTAAATAGAAAAGTTGTTTGGCAGTTCTGTTCTATATACATTCTATTGGACCTGATTGAAAATGTGTGGTGAAGTTTAGTATTTATAGAACTTTAGTGTTAATCATTAAAAGCGGGACAATAAAATTTTATGCAAGTGTTAAGAAATTTTATGTCAAATTTGTAAATAGTTATTCTTGCAAGAAATTATAAAATAATTATCATCAATAGCTCTAGTTGAAACAAGAAAGATGGTAGTTAATAAAGATGATGTGGAATGTATTTTTAGGTGAGATTGCCCGCCTTGTTAAGGAGAAGGACTCTGACCTAGATAAGTACGATCATTCGAGGGAAGAGTTACAGAAACGTCTAGCCCAGCTAGAGAGAGACATGCAGATGGCACTGACACAAGAAAAACAAGCTCATGAAGATGATGTGGATAGACTGATGAGAGAAAAGGTAACAAAATTGTCTCCATTTTATGTGTGCATGTTAAATTTATGAAATTATGTATTATTTTATTGGCATCATAACAGATACATTTTTCATGCAAATCCTTGTGATATATTCAACCACATTTTGTTTCTTTAATGCTATTACTATATAAACTTGGCTTATCAGTTATCTATGGAAATTTTTTCTCTACACTTGACATATTTTAAAGGATACTCCTGAAGAAAATTAGAATTTTAGGAGTGCTTTAAAAGATTTGGCCTCTATGGATAAGTTTTAAGGTCCTGAAGTTTAAATCGCTTGCCTTTCTCTGCTGCGGGTTTGAATTACACCAGAGACTTTGAATTCTTACTTTAGCGGAAGCTGTCCAGCTCACTTAAGAAGGTTGATGGTAGATGGTACTTCTCAGATACCTAAAGTCATGTACAGAGTGGCATTTGAGGTCTTCCTCTGTCAGTTAAGCTGAGATTCTCCCTACGACCTTTATATTGTCAGCATAATCCATCTAAAACCTTACAAAATTATAATTACTAGTCTTGATATGCATATCTCAGTGGAATACAAATATATATTTCTTTATCATACTTTAGGACCGTCAGAGAGCCGAGTTGGAGAATGAGAGAGAATCAATTTTACACAGACATGCCATGGAGAAGGAGGAGCATCAACAGAACTTTAACAAACTACAGGAAGATATGGAGGAACAAATCTCCGCCCTGTCTCGAGACCGAGATAACTCTCTCCTTATGGCTGAGAATGATAGACAACAGGTAAATAGTTATATCAACTTTATATTTTACATTTAACTAACTATATCAACTTTATATTTTCATATGATTTCATGCAATTTTCTTAAAATTTTGTTGTGATAAATGCTTCCAAGGGATCACCCTTCTTCCAGATTTTAATTTGTATATGAATGTATAGGTGAAAATAATGTTAACTTTCTACTCACAGTCGGAATCTATAGTCTACAGGTGTGGTAATGAGTTATAAAGCTTGATTTCTATGAATTAGTCAATGGAATTCAGGTTACATACTTGAATTATAGATAGTTTACATAGGTTTCTTTGATGCATACTTTATCATCACTAAAATTTTGTACAAGCGATTTAGAATACAATTTCAAATTGCCCATTTTTCTTTCAACTTCAACGTTTCGATACTTCCAAAATGTAAAGAAAACAGACAGAACAACCAGATTTTAAAAGTATTTCTTTTTTACTTTGTGTGGATGAAACATATTTTATTGAATGAACTTTGCATTTGGATTTGAAATTATGAAAGAGTTGCAAATAAATTTTAGAAAATATGGTCATTCAAATATATACACATGCTAAATGATGCATTAATTTCAATAGTTCAGTAAAAAACTGAGGTAATGAATCAAGATTTGATTTATCTAAATCCAGTCTGAATAGAGGCTTTCATAAAACTGCAGTAACTGCAATTTGAAAATTTATTAAAACATGGCTTGTAGGAAGAAAGAGGATGGAATTAGAAATTTTACACAAGGTGATTTTTTTGTTTAATTTTGTAGTTTACATATTAATAGGTTCTTTTTTTAATGGTAGAAAAAAATGGAAGAAAATCTGTTTTTCGTCAAGAAAATATAATAACATTAAAAGCAGTGAAACATGTCTTAATTTATATAGTATGCATGTGGATTTGTAAATTTTTTCGATTGAATTTACTAAGCATAAAACTGAACATATTAAATTAACTTTGAGTATCAAAAAGAAAATTTTGGCTTTACTTTACATGACAATTTTTTAAACTTTTATTTTTATTTTTTCTTGTTTTTGTTGGGTAGGGAAGTGATCAATGAAGTTTGGGCTGGGTTGGAATAGTTTTTCATTTTCGTTTAAAAATATTTCATGCAAATATTTCTTTAAATTATAATTAATATACATTATAAACATGCAGAGAATAAGAAAATGAGCAAGTGAATTAAGTCATAACTTTTATAAGCTGGTCTTATTATTAGTACCATACTTGGAAAGAAAATTGCAGGTGTTAGCAATTTAAATAAATCACATTGACAAACAAATTTGGTACAATTTAAATGACCTCTATTATCATGTTTATAAAAGGGTTGCCAATTTTCATTTTAATTTCCTTCACAAATATGTCACTTTAAATGTAGGGATGTAGTTTAGTGTTGGTATATAATATACTGTTAAATGCATTGTATTTTACTTCGATTTTTTTTTTTCTTGGCTGTTGTTCAAGTTATTCTTAATTGTTGATTTTTTTCCGCATATTGCTAAATATTTTTCTATAGATCTGTTTGAAATATGTATTTCGTTTGGATAACTGGGTCATCGTAAATAAATACTCCTTGTAAAAGGAGGATTTACATCTCTGATGTGTGAAAAAAATTGAGAGGACTTTAATGTTAAATACAATTCTTTATCCATTGAATTATTTCCAGTATTATAGATGTGAAAATAATGGGAGTTTAAAATGGATATCACATAGTGTTTAAGACGAAAATTTATAGTGAATTTCTTTTTTTGTAAAAATCAAGAATTAGGGCAATTGTTAGCAAGTGGGATTTGTTTCATATGCAAATTTATACAGATTTATTGTATACACATAACTGCAAAGTGAAATTGGAATATGAAAAGAAAAAAGTGCTTAAAGATTGAAATTGAATAAAATATATAAATGTAGAGATGGTGTAAGGGAGATAATTCTGTTAGACTTCTCATAACAGATTAATTATATTGAACTATAATAGGGAATGTATGAACTTAATGCAAACCTCCATTTATATGATTATTTATATAAAATGAATCAGTTTCCAAAAGGCAATTTATTTTAATGTTGAAATTTGCAAAAAGATAGATAATAACATTGTTTTTAAAAGGTAATGGAAATTTAAGTTCAGACATTTAAAAGTACAAAGCAATGTTTAAAGGGAGAGCTAAATGTGCACTATGTGCAAAACAGATGCGGAAAATTGTAACTTTTGCCGATTATACACACGACAATGGCAGTCAATATATACAAGTATGTTTGAGCAAGGGAAATCTGTAATATTTTGTAGAATAGGTCACATATTATGTGAATAAAATCATCCCATAATAAAATACACAAATTACTGTTTATAAGTTCTATATTTTATTTGTTATAATATTCGGAGAAACTTTATGAACATCCACATTTTGACTAAAATATTAATTGCATATACAGTTGTTGTATTTTTTCGAAAATTCAGATTATATAGTTTTAGGATCAAGGGAAACAACTATTACAGTATATATTTTTGAGGATCAAGGGAAACAACTATTACAGTATATAATTTTGAGGATCAAGGGAAACAACTATTACAGTATATAATTTTGAGGATCAAGGGAAACAACTATTACAGTATATAATTTTGAGGATCAAGGGAAACAACTCGGATTACAGTATATATTTTTTGAGGATCAAGGGAAACAACTCTGAAATATAAAACATTCCCAAAGATTACCTTTCTTTGTTTCTATTTTCAGACAATCTCCCTTCTGGAACAGGAGAAGAGCACTCTGTTGGAGAAGAACAACAACCTGAACATGGAGTTGGCCAGTGGCAACGTAGAGTATGAGAGACTGAAGCGCGAGTCCCAGGCCCGCCAGGAACAGGACCGAAGCAACATCAACTCCCTCCAGTCCGAGCTGAAGAACTTCAGATCCCAGTTTGAAGAGACCTGGTAAGTACTGATATTAAAGCAAGAGATATCTGACCTAGAATTTGCTAGATTTAGCCAGCATTATAATTATGTGCCTATCCCATAATAAATGTAATTTACTTACTTATCTTAAGATGAAATCATGGTTAAAATGATTTTCCCTTAGACTTTGTTTACACTACAGTAAAAGTATTGAAAATTATCAAGATAAAATGATAATCTGCAAAGTTTTTGTGTACATTCAATGCCTGTTACTGTTACCAGATACTTGTTATATTAGCATTAGATTTGTGTTTTAACTTTGCAATTTTGTTTCATACAGCGAGAACCATGAGAAGGAGTGTAAAAATCTGGCCAATCAAATCAGAGATCTTGAGCGTCAGAAGGAGGCTGCCATGCGCGAGGTCGGAGAGTTGAAGGTTCAGCTGAAACTTGTTGAGGAGACACGTGATAACATTAGACGTGACCTCATCGAGGCCAACAGAAGAATCAGAGAAGGTATGTTGTTATCTCCCTTTCTCTAATTTGAAGTATCTCTCTCAGCCTTTCCAAGATGAATTTGATAATGAGAACTTAAGAAATTGATAATGTTAACATAACTCTGTAGCGAATTTTCCAGGTCTCAGTTACCACTAAATTATTAACTTAGTGTTTTCAAAGAGGATTCATTGCAATTTTACTTGTGTATTTCTGGTGTATTGAAAAAATAGATACAATGTTAAAGAATAGTAAAAGATAAAAAGGAATGACTAAGAGTCATGCTTAGAATAAATAAAGTGATAGTGAGACATTGTAGAATCATTAAATGTCAAGGGCACATTTTACCTTTTTTTCCATAAAAGGCATTACAAAAATAGAACAATCTTTCTATATGGATTGATGTATTTCAACATTATAATTCACTGTTTTTTAACTTCTGAACTTTGAAGATTGCCTAGAGCAGTGATCAGAAAGAAAAAAGTGAAAATTGCAGAGTTTATAGTATTACTTTTCCAAAGGGAAAAAAATGTTATCTTTCGTTTCATAGACTGTAATAAAATACAAAGATTTTTCTTAGCAGAGTCATAAAGCTTGATTTAGAGACGTCATTGTTATGGATAAAGAAGCTGTTTCAAAATATGCATAGAATAAGTTCATATTGCAGAGCATTAAAATAGAGAAATTTAGGATATATTAATTCATGGACATAACCCATGTTAACTAAGTTATACAATGTTGTTATAATACACAGGTGAAGAACAGAGGGATCAGTTAAGGAAGGATATGGTAGAGTTAAAGAGGAACATGAATGATGAGATCAGGGAGAAAGAAGCCGTTAGCAAGACTGCGGATGAGCTCCGCAGTACCGTCAAGAAGAACGAGACAGACAAGATCGAACTTAACCGAGCTCTTGGTGACACCAGACAGAGAGCTGCTGGTGAGAATATTTCTATGTTTGACATTAAATTCTCATAGGAAATCTTGTTTTAACTGCCTTTCCAAATGGTTTTTCTGGTTCTTTTCTGGCAGCATGTGAGTAATTGAGTAACTGCCTTTGGCCTTTATTGTCTTCAGGTTATGCTGAATATGGGAGTAAATTATATCTTATTTTTGAACAAGGACTTGACATACAGAACACTTTTAGTAGTAACTGTCAGTGAGTGATTATTTTATTTTAATTGATAAACTGTTACTTGAAGATAACAAACCATTGTACATCTTACATTCATATTACAGTCCTTGATGAACAAAAGGGAGCTATCACAAAGGAGGCAGCTGATCTTCGTGCCAGTCTGCGCGAGGTAGAGAAGGCCCGTCTTGATGCCAGACGTGAGCTCCAAGACCTGCGTCGCCAGGTGAAACAACTTGACAGTGAGAGGAGCAAGCTCGGCCGTGAGGTCATTGACCTTCAGCAGAGAATTTCCCGAGATGAGGAGAAGGAAGATGAGTCCAGACGCTGTCAGTTTGACCTGAAACAAAAGGTGCGTTACTTTTCTGACAAAACCAGTGACAATATCTAAATATCAATCTTTTATAGTATTTTGACAATGATGTATAATATTATTCATTTGTTTAGTAAAAAAAAAATCTTATTAATATCATAAAAAAAATTATTCTTCAAAGCCTAAGAACCTCAGAGTAACTTACAGTGTGATTTATCACAGAAAATTGTATGTCTTAAAATGTGATTCTTAAATTAAGAAAGTAGGATATTGTACCAAGAAAAATGTTATTTCTTGTAAAAGTAATTTGAGTCCTTTAAATGTCTGATTTGTTCATTTATAGGTTGTTGAGGGTGAGGCCAGCAGAGAGGCCCTCAGAAAGGAGATCAACAATCTCCAGCGTAAGATGGCTGAGGCTCATGATGAATACTGTCTGAAAGAGAAGGATTACCGAATGGCCCTCGAGGACAGTCGTCGTGCTGAGAAACGTATGGAAGACCAGAGACGTAATCTTGAAATCCAGTTTGAAAATCTGAGTGCTGAGGATGGTGAACTCAGATTGAAACTGAGTGGATCTGAGGGACGTGTCAATGCCCTCGAGGCTCAGTTGGCTAGATTGGAGGGAGTTAAGAGAGATATTGAATTCAAGTTGAACAGCATTGTATCAAGTCTGAGGAGAACTATTGGATTCAGACAGGAGATGCCAAGATCTAGGAGCCCGATCAGATCCAGAAGCCCAAGCCCCAAGAGATCCCGCCCAACGTCACCATCTAAAGGTACTACATCAATTAAAATTTTATGTTAACCTTTTTTTTAGTAAAATTTACAGGAAAAAATTGTAAACAGGAGCTTCTTATTAAATGATAATTTAAAGGACTAATTATTGGTCTTTTTTGTTTTGATGTATCACCTTTACCCTTAAATCAGCTTTCAAATAATTGTTCCACCTTGGATATAAAGAGTTGTCAATTTTGCTTGAATTTATAACTTCTGTATCTGTAGGATTTGAAAACACTTTCGCCACCACCACTGAAGGACGCGGCAGTCCAATTCCTCGCACAGGATCTCCAGAACGCACTGCCAGCCCTGTCCGTGTCCTTAGAGCCCTATCACCAATGAGAGAGGTTCAAATATCTGCCAGTGATGTCGACCCAGAAGCAGTTAGGATGGCTCTAAGAGACTTTGTCAACCAACTTGCCAACGCTGAGAGAGAAAGAGTAAGTTTAACCGTTACATAACTAAATTTATATAGTTTCCTTCTTGCCTTCAAATGAGAACTATTGTTTGTTTTATTGATATCAGATGTTACGTTAAATTATATGTCAGTGCTTGAAGTTATGCATGGTATTGTTGCCCAGTGGGTAATGTTTCAGACTGGTAATTTAGGGTTTTCTGCCTACATGGGTTCAACTCTGTCAGGGGCAGGCCTTTGTTTCCTTGAGCAAGATGATATACATGTATTTTGAAATACATGTATATCTGAAAAAGTTGATTAGAGTTGTTGTTCAAATCATTAAATGATTATAATGCGCAACATATTTCATTTGCAGATTGTGTTTTTTTTTAAGCTTAAAAGTTTTTTGTAGCTTAAAATTCTGCTAAAAAGTAAGTGTAATGAAAATTTTGATAGCGTTCTTTCATTTGTTGTTTTACAATCATTGTAGGACGATGCTGTATGCCAGATGAGAAATCTTGGTGTACAATACAAGGAGCTTGAACAAGAAAGGGAGAGAACTGAGAACAGACTTCAACAACTACAAAAATCCATGTGTGAAGTAGAGGAAGGTGAGTTGCCTCCCTTGTTTTACCACCACAGTCCATTATAATGTTAACATTATTGTGTAGAGAAATTTAATTTGATTTCAACCTTTTTATACATACAAAACTGCACCATATTAAAATGTGCATGAGGGGAGTTGTGACCTAGTAGTTAAAGTGTTTGCCTCTCAAACCAGGTAAAATGGGTTGGAGCCTTACTTGGGCTACAACCATGTCTTCTTATATGACACCAGTACTGGTTATTCCTAGTAGACTAGAAAGTTGTTCAAATAAGTGCGAAGCGGTCATCTTAATTATGCTTTAGCAAAGATTGTTTAAACTAATGTGCATACAGTACCAATGATTTATTTACCTTTTATAACACAGAACCCTATAAAAGACCTGTTCCCAGTGGAAATTTTCTTTAATATCATGTAGTTTTCCCAAAAATGTGAATTTTAGCTATAATTTTTCCCAAAATCAAGAGGCTAAGGCATATTCTCAAGATAGAAAAACCTGCTAATACCTGCACAGCAAGCCTGCACATCTGTGCTGTCAGACAGTCAAACTGTGATTTATACTGTTAGTTGCTATTTTTCTTGGTATTTTGCTATTGAAATCCCTTAATTTTTTAAATGGACTGTTCCATATTCAAAGCAGAGCAAGTCCATTTAAGAAATTCAGGAAGAAATTTAAGAAGAAGAAAAAAAAATCTGCCTAAATTATAGGAAGTAGAATTTTTAGAAATTAATTTTGTAAGCACCACTGTACCGTGGTCACTTTTAAGAACTGTATTTTTCTAAACCTTAATACCATTGACCTTAATAGCACAGTTTCCCTAGAGATGTGAATGAATAAGTAATGCAGAATTTGTAAAGTGTCCAATTTAAACAATTTAATCCCATCTTTAGAGCTTAGGTTTGGTGATTGAATAATATATTATTGAACACAATATGTTAACACAAGGGAATTATTCGATGTAATGCTTGATTGAATCGCCACCTAAGAGGCTTACAGTGTTTAATATAAGTATACAAACTTATAAGGTCATAAATGATATTCAATTTTCAGTTTAACAAAGAGGTAATGATGGTGTAATACTTCAGGTGTTCTCAAATATAAGGAAAAGTTTGAATCCTGCAAGGGTCATGATCTTGCGTTTTTCATAGTGCAAAGTCCGGATTTATCAATGCAGAGTAATTTAGATAAAATCATGAATTTAAACATGATTTAGCAATAAGATTCATGATGAAATAACATTACAATTGATCACTCAATTTATCAGGCAGAAGCTTATTAGTTCAAGTACAAATTAAAGCATCTATGCTACAATGAACAAGATCTCAATTGTATACTTGCAAATCAATGAGAAATCGAATCAAATATTTGATTTTGTAATTGTGTCTTATAAATAAGTTTGTTCGTCAGCTTACAAAATATACAAGCTTATCTTTTTGCACAATAATTAAGCTTAATCATGTTGTTTGATCGAAAATATATTCAACCATTTTAACATTCACTTGACTTGATTTTCATAACAAATTTTAATAATTTGCAAATTTTCAAAAGTTGGAAAAATGGTGCTGAAATGATAAATGGGTGGAAAAATCTTGGAAATTAGTTTTCAACTTGATTTGAATTGCTTCAATTGATAAGCAATTATCTAATAATTGAAGTTTAAGGCTTAGCAATTTAGGTTTGAAGGTCACTGTTATAATTCTGGCATGTTTTATATATTGTATATATACTTATTATATTGCTATTACTTTCCATGACATTAAAATTACTTCAAGTTCCTTGCTGAGAGGGAAATAAATAAGATATTTTATGACCTAATTTAGATTTATTGAATTTTATTTGCTTGTTAAAGTATAGTAAACCTTAATTAAAATTTATCTGTAAAATGTGTACTTTGCCAAATTTACTATCTATAGAAAACATGTACTTTAAAAATAATCATTTGCTTTCTCCATTGACATTCCCTTTAAAAGCATAGAGGAATTTGTTTACATATGGTTTACAAGTTTTCCAGACCAACTAAAAACTGATTCTGACTTTTCTGGAGCCTGTTATACAATACTTGATGATAATGATTTATAATAATTTGTTGACTAGTACATTTTGAGATTATGAAAAATGTGTATCATTATTTGATTATTTCTCATTAAAACATGATTGTCATTTATAAATATATAAAATAAACATTTAAATTGAAAAGTAGGATTTGATAAACATACATTTCGGTTGCTAATAGATTCTTATTCTACAAAACTCAATAATCATGTATTGAACTGATCTACATTTTAGGGCAGAAATGTAATGAATATACATGTTATACTTATATATCATCATGCCAACTATTCTTATTATCTTAATATAGTGACACAAAGTTGAATGGACATATATCGACAATAAAATCAAGTTTTGCAAACATGTCATTGTTAAAGGATTATTTTCATTTCATGTAAGTTGATATAAAGTCCCATAAAGTCTCTTAAATTTGCATAATCTTTCACACCAAATCTTATAATGATTGTTTACAGTACCTAATATAAAGAAATTACCTATATTGTTCAGGGTGGGAATTGTCCTGCCAGTGCTTGTCCGTTACTATCAAATCATTATCTGTCCAAACTTACACTAGAAAAAGTGCTAATTTGAGGCTTTTATTTGATCAATACTTCAATAGAACTTTAAATTACCCATTTCACGCTCGAGTATGAATGTTACCAAGTACGGGTTTTCAGTTAATAACCAAGTTTGGCATGATTGATTGTAAACGAAGTGGTTAACATGACTTTATTATAAACAAGGTTACCAAGGGTGTTAGGGTATTTCACTGTCCATCTTATTCTTTTATCAAAAAATAGATATAACCTAATACTGCCATATGGATATTGAAAAAATTTTTTGAGAGAATTTGTCAAGATTATGAGGTTAACAGATTTTAAGAATTATACATGTACACATTGTTGCACATAAATTCATAATTATTTCTAAATTGATTAATTTATTACCATAATTATTTTATTTAGTATGCAATTTTTTCTAGATTTAACTAAACTAATTTTCATCACAAAAATTCTTGTTCTCCAGTCAGTATATTTTGACATTTTAAACTAATGCTACCTTCATACTTATAATTAATTGATTGAGCCTTCAAATGATTATGTTACGTTAGAGTATCAAAAGAATTCATTCATTCCAGATTGACTTAAATTTCATCTATACTTTTTCCATTAAAAAAAGAATTTTAAAAAAGATCAAGTCCAAGGTTTTAAATTTCTGCACAGAGTTGATATTTTTCATTTCCCGCTAAAACCCAGTTGTCATCAGTTTGCCATGTCTGAACACGATTTGATTTATTACAAACTGGGAAGAAAATATTTATTTGAAAGCCGTTCTCTTTTCTTTTGAACTGTTAACCTTGGGGCGCGATTTTATCTATCTGAATATAGGTATTCTTATACGTTGCTAAACTTTTCAAGTAGCGAAATAATCTAATGGGGCGTTATTGAAATTTTGCCGCAGTGGAATTTGCTGAGTGCATACTAGGTGGAAAAATGTACATTATCGATAATAATGACACAGTTTGTTTACTGAATGTTTTACTACTCTCTTAAGTGTTCGTATATTTGATTGTTCAAACATAGGACAATACAAGCTGATTATATTTTCGGAACATGAGAGTTTTCTTCGCGATGCTTGTTTTATACATGACCTCATGAATGGCGGAATGAATATTTTTAATGTACATGTACAAAGAGCTACAAAAATGTTGGATATTAAGCTAACTGAGCAGTAATTAGGGAAAAGGCAGAAATGAATTGCAAAGAAAAACATTCTTTGTTCCATGTGTGATATTTGGGAGGAAAAATAAAAATGGAATTTTGATTCAGGTCAAGTTAATGTAAATTGATGCAATTGTTTTGGATGGAATAGTATTTTATGATGATGGTTTAAGATAGTTTTGCAAACAGTAAAATGGCATACAGGATATACATGCCTTTACCGGACCCACTTCCAGCATTCTTAAAACCTGGTTTCAAGACAGAAAACAATATCCTACCTCCTGATTTAAAATGTGCAATACTGGAGTACAAAGCGTCATTGAATTCTGGGATTGAAGAAGACGAAGGTGTGTATAGTACAGCTCATTTCATTGGTCAATTCAGATTACAACAGAAAAGGTTTTTTGGAAGGTTTTTCTCAGAGAATGTAACAAAAATGTTAATTGTACTTTTATAGGGTTTAGAATAAAACAGAATAATATTTAATATGTCAAATGACAAAATTTTTACATTTGACTGCTCTAGGTTAATAAAATCATTAAATTGATCTGATTGGTAAAGAACAAAATTGAATTTTTGATATTTAACATAGATAAACTATTTGAAAATAAAGTATCAGTTAATTTTTAATAAGATCAAATAAATTCAGATAACAGTTTCTAGTTATGTAATTGCAATTGTGGTCAACACTCAAAGGGGGATTAAGCAGGTTGGGTGTAAATCGGTCATTAATTATGCATGAAGCATATGGTCCTGTTCTACCTTGTGTATTAATGGTAGCAGATGGTCTCATGGTGTCGCAATATTTGTACTATACTTTACATGTTGATTGTACATGTAGTTAATGTGGCAACATGAATATTTAATGAACCTTTAATGAAAGGATGGAACACTGCACACACAAACTGTTTCATTTCTGTAAAAATGTAATTTATAATGCATTTATTAAACAGCATTATGATATAGATTTTGTAAATAAGTAAGAAAAATCAAACGTTAATAATCACAATAAATTTATAAAACTGATGAAAACTGATACATCTTTTTAAAAGAAATATGCTTGTTCTATATTTAAACTCTAATATTAACTATTTTGCATTATTTATGGTACAAAGGTTAAATGTTATTTTAAAACTGACAAAATGTGTTTACATAAATATTTGATACATTTAACCAGCTATGGTTTAATACTTAGAATAAATACAGATTGTTCAAAATTACCCCCCACCCCTGAGAGAATACAAGGTTAATGAGAAATAATATTGATTTGTGGGTTTTTATGATGTATAATAATCGTGCATTGTTCGATTATGTAGCTCGGTTTAAATTATACCATATTGAATATCTAGTTTACGCATGGCCTCGTTGGGCGGGAACTTTGTAGAAATGAACATAAGACATCCATTATACTTGTGAAATTCAAGTGCTCTTTAGAAGATATTCAAAATTGGGCCTTATAATAATGATTGTGCATGCAAGAAAACCATTTTTGACTTTTTATTGAAGAGTCTTTTTTTGACTTTTTATTGAAGAGTCTTTTTTTTATACTTTTAAGTGATACATGATTTAAAAGAAACCCCTAGTAGCCAGAGATTTCTATTTGCATCTGCTGGAAAAGATTGACATAATATTTCATTTAAATGAATTATAAAAATTTGCACATGTATGATTATACTGAAATTTATCTATATATTATACATGTATAATATAAAGAATAGAAATATTGTGAAAATTTGAATTATTTTCAGAAATTTTTGTCATGATGCCAAAAGAATATTTCAGAAAGGAATTTGCTGATCTTAAGGATTTAACATTAAAATTCAAAATGTAAAGATAAACTAGGTCATGGTTTAAACACACATAAATTATATAGTAGCAAAATTTTGAAGAGTAAAATGACATTAAAAAAAAACACTTTGAAAATAATTCTATTTGGATTATTTATAATGTTTAAAATTTGAGGACTAAATAAGGAAATGAAACTTAAGATAATACTAAGACACAAAAAGAAATTTACATATTTATTTAATACAAGAATGTTTTCAAATACTACAAATGAATTAATTCTTTAGAAATTTCTCTCCAATTCCTGTTAATCAAAGTATATATTTTTAGTCGCAAAAAAAAATGTTTTTAGTCACAAAATTTAACTTCAGGTTAAACTTTATTTTTTTTATGCTTGAGCATTGGTGAAATTGGAACCATTCTAGGTAATTAACCATTACCCACTTTAGTCCTATCAGAAAGCATGGTCAGTGTAAGTAAGGCTCAAACCCATATTTCCTAGGTAAAGAGGCAAACAATAAAACTGCAAAGTCACTCCTCAGCATTTAAGATTGAGTTGTTAAGGGATTAAACTTGCAACACAGACTTAAAATGTTTTCACTGGACCACGTGCCTATTGTCATGTATTTTCATGTTCAATAAGATTATGTGTTGTATAATTTCAGACAAGCGCGGAATCGATGGCCGTCTCGCAAGCGCCCAGACGGCACTTATGCTCCAGGAGGAGACAATCCGTCGCAATGAACGTGAGAGGAAATCCATGGCTGACAAGATAAGCAGCCTGGAGCGCACTGTTGCCGGCAAGGAGTCTGAGCAGAGACAGACTCAGGTTTGAACTTATAACTCTCTGTGTGCATGGTCTAGCTGACTGTATGAGCACTGTTACCATTTGATTATAATTTTAGTGCAAAAATAATATCTGATAGAAATTTAATTCAATGTAGCCTACCTCAAATCTTTATTCAAACTGTTGACTCTCCCATTGCCTTAATGACATGGATGAAATTATAACTTACATCATGGCATAAAGTAAAGCATTATCTAAACTATCGTCTTAACATTTGCCTATATTATAGTCTGCATTACGTGAACATTAACTACATTTAATCTTCGATTACTCGGTTATTTCATAAATTATAATGAAGTTTTTGTGTATAATTTCAGGAGAGGATAGCTAAGATGAGACAACAAGAGGGCCGACTTGAAGACGAGAAGAAGAATCTCCGTAATGCCCTCGAGGAGGCAGACAACAGATGCACACGTCTTGAACTCGCCCGCCGCTCAGCCGAGGGTGAACTTCAGAGGATGAAACTCGCATTGAACGACAAAGATACTGAAAACCAGGTATATTTATACTAAAATTACACAATTTTCAATAATAATTACGTTGAAAGTTACATTTGGAACTTGTACTTGTATTTTGCAAATTATCACTAGAGGAAGGACATTGTCAGTATGATTTCAAAGCCTTCACAATGACATAAAATATTTGATACTTTCCATCATTCAGGTGTCAAGACCCATAAATCATCTTGCAACTTAAAAACATACAAAATGAATAATTTTTGTGATATCAACGCTTGATAAATTTCAAATTATTGATTCTTTATTTATGTACTCAGTTGATTTATTTAATGAATGATTTAAAAAATGCATCATTCAAATTTTACAAATTTTTTATACCAGCATCTCTCCGTTGGTATGATTAACAAAAAAACTTGAGCAATAAATTCAGGGTTGAGCAATAAATTCAGGGATGAAATTTAAAGTCATAGTTCATTGAAATAAAAAATTTCAACAATTATATTGTGTAAAGTTAAGTTCAAAAATTTAACTCATAGTTGAGTGGTCATTAACTTTTCAACTTATGTTTCAAATTGATTCAATATTATATGCTCATGCATATATAATGAGATGCATTATGAATATTTAAATGAGATATAGATCAATATGTAAATTAAATATAGTTATGAAAAAAAAAAGAATCTTGAAAAGAATTTCATGGCAAATAAAATGAAAACATAATCCATACTGAAATTAATTAGTATTCAACATGAGTTCAAGATATTTAAACCTATTCTATATGGTATAATGATATAGGTAAAATATGCAAAAGAAATCGCCACATGTATGTTTATTTATTCAATGCCCAATATTTACATGAATAACATTCTGATGAAAGAAATCTGTTGGAACCAAGATCTTAAAGATGAATGAAAAGATCATTGCAATTGGAAATATTACATAGCAATATGGCGATCATGCATAATTAACGTCGTGAATATTTAACAACGTCTTAAGAAGAGATGGAATCTGTCGAACTACTGGCATACCTTATGTTGTGTAGTTTATAGTGGAACGTTGATAGTATAAACCATAGGTCCTTTGTCTTAGGACCACATATTGTAAAACGGACAAAGATTGCGTTATGTGCGATAATTTGGATATATAATTGAATTTTTTTACCGTTACAAAGGGTGTGAATTGGTTGATGCTATTAGTGTGTAGTAATTGGGTGAATAAAAAATGAGGTGGCTAATATAGTATATTTGTTTTCATATTAAATAGGTGTTCTTTGTTATTTATAGTGTAGATGTAATACAGTTTTATTTAGTTATATCTGGTCTTAGTTAATCAGTTTTGATTCTGCCTGATTCTGGATATAGATAGCAACAATTTATGCAAAAAATAAAATTCTTGTAAGACAGGATTTATATTTGAAATTATACTTTGTTTTAATATCAGGAATGATTTAATAAGTGTGTTAACATTGGAAAAAAAAATTCTGATATTGGTTTGCTTTGGATATTTTGCCACAAATATTTCGAACACCATGGAGCCCCTATCAGTTGACACAAATATTGGCAATGATGGAAGTACACTGGTACCCAGCATTCATGGGTCACAGGGGTCACTCCTTATGTCAGTTGACAGGTCACAAAAGTCTGACAAAATGTATAGAAATGGACATAAGGAGTTAGCTGAGAAATTGCACAGGCATGTTTCAAACAATAGTTCAAATGCATCTTCAAAAATAGATAATTACAGTAGAAAAAGTAGTGATTTAGTTCAAAGGTCAGAAAGGGCTGAAAGTCATTCCTCCTTTGATATGCATAAGGAAGATCATAATTTTGATGTCTTGACTGGTATTGGAAGTAATTTAAGAAATGAGAAGTCAGAAAGAATAAGCAGGCATAATTCTATAAATAGCTATGAAAATAATTTGTCAAATACAAATAATTCTATAAACAGGTTTAGCAATGGTGTGTCTGGTACTGAAAAGGGAAAAAGTATAAGGGGAGATAATGCTTGCCTGAATGAAGAAATAAGAAGGGGAGGTAATGAAGAAACAAAGGGAGGTAATGGTCATTTGAATGACAAAACTGTTAAACGTAGTGGTTTCGTAGATAAACTTGATGCGGGAAAAGATTATAATGGCAAAGGGAATATTAGTCTAGGTTGGTCTTATGTAGTTTCTGAATCAGATAAAAATGTTGCTGAAATGACGAGAAATGTGGACTTGCAAAATAGGAATGGGAAAAAAGTAATTCATGAAAATTGCAGCTTTGGTTCTTGTATCCCTGAGATAGTCTGTGATGGTAATAGGGTTTCTTTAGACCGTGATCATGAGCATTGTCGTCTGGGTGTTTGTTTTGTAAGAGAAGCTTTAAAATATCAAGCATCCGTGGATACAGATCATATGATTCAGTATGGTCAGTCATATTCTAAAGGTGATGGAGATTTTAAGTTGGAAGGTAAAATAAGAAAAGAAAGTGAAATAAGAGATGAAAATATTGGGAAAACTGGGGAGAAAGACTTTCTGTTTCAATATTCTATGCCTGTTTCATGCTTTGACCAAGAGTATTTTGATCATGAATATTTGGAAGAGTATAATAGTAATAAGAAATCAAGAGATGAAACTAACATCAACCATTCACACCCTCTGTTTGATAGTTCTAATAAAAGAAATAATGCAAGTGACAAAAACAAAAAAAAATCAGGTGATCATCATCAAAGAAATCTTGATTCAATGGATAATCGTCGAAATGGTAACAAAAACCATGGCAAAGAGACTGGAAGTTTGAAAACTACAGGAAATGCTTATCTTACAAGAAGTTATAAAGGAAGCAGTAACGATAGGCCTGAGATAAACAGTCAGAGAAGTAATGGCTCGAGGTGCAGAAATGGACAAAGACCTAAATTAAAGCGGTCCGACTCAGAGAGCTCCAGAGAGTCTGCTTTTCGGGAATTTCGTCGAAATAACATTGTAGAAAACAAGCAAAACTTTGACTTGATACAGTGTATGAGGGATGGGATGAACTTTGCTGAGAATAAGAAATCAGATTATCATCGGACAAACTTAAATGGTAGTTACTTAGGATCTGATGGTATGAATTTTAATAATTTTCCCTCCAAAGAAAATGATACGTCTGCTGATAATGGATTTGACCCATACATGAGCTTACATGGAACAGGCAGAGAAAATAATGGTGTAAGAGGTGATTCACTTACCAAACAAGTTGCTAGGGATGAAAGGTCTTTTAAACATAACTTAACTTTTAATAAAATTGATTATGAATTGGACCAGATAAGAAATCGAGAAAACCAAGTTTTTGCAGTGACTGGCAATGTTGAAAACAGGGGAGATCATTCACAGTATTATAATGGTGCTAATAGATCTCAATCACATGCAGCTGAAAAAGATGGCCTTTTTAGAATGGCTGAAAATGAACTGTCTGCGTACTCATTTCAGCGTCCAAAGGGAAAATCTGACATAGAATATGGTCAGTTAGATGTGATGTTTAAACATGTTAAAAATGACCAGTTTCAAATGGTGCTAGTTGCTGATGAAATGAATAAAATAAGAAACAGACAACAAGAGATAAATACTAAAATAGATAGACCAGTTGTAAATGTCTCACAACAGAATAGAACCATTTATGATCGGGAAAGTAGAGTGGAAATGCTTGAACACAAAGAAATGGTAAGACAAACAAACAGAAATAATGATATGTCAACTTTAAAGCCATTGCTTTCACTACTTATAATGGGATGATGTGATCTTATATGGATGTTATGAATCAGTAATAACTCACATGTAAGACAGGATCAGTTATAAGACGGGGGTCTAATTTTTGTATTAAATTTGAAAACAGAAGCATTTTGCATGTAATTTACTTTGGCTCTTTTGTAAGGCTAATTAAAGTTTATCATAAGCTTCAATGATGATTGAATTAGGTATTAATTTTCGTATTTCTATGGTTCTTGGGATAGAAATTAAGAAGGTTTCAAAAACAGAGACAAAAGGTCAAGGTGTTTGATTTATATTGAAACAAATAGATCTATGGTTTGTTGAATATTTCAGATTGTTGGAAGCCACAGTACCTGTAGTTTGTCAGTATATACTCTTAGTTAAACATGTGTACATGTTTATCAAAGCAAATCAAAATAAAGTTTTTTTTTGTTTTTTTGCAATTTGGATTTCAGGATACATTTCAGCAAAATATTTATATCTTAAACTTTTTAGACCATATTTTGCTCTTCTCTATTTCAGGTTCTACAAGACCGTGTAGAGTCTCTGACAAAGAACATTCAGGATCTGGAAGGCAAGGCTCAATCCCTACAACTGACCATTGATAGGTTGAGCTCTGCCCTTGCTAGGACCGAGGAGGAGGAAAACACACAGAAAGAAAAGGTAAGTGAGTTAACTTATGACCAGAACATGTCTGCAAATTATTTATTGAAATAGCTTTACTCTACCTAATATTTGTGTAATGAACTGGTCCAGTTTTGAATTTGAAAGTGTCCATTTGTATCTTAAGGGATTTCATTTTCAAAATACTGAGATGTGAAATTGGGCAGCTGTCAGTATATATAAATCTGGTCAAACTGCATGCATATGAAGGGTTAGCTTTAAACTATGAGCATTAGCTTGTGGCGTTGTTTTCAAAAAATTGAAGAAAGTGAGAGAAATTTAAATGACTTAATGTAAAATTTCTTTGAATCCGTAATATCTAATTTATGTTGAGGTATCGATAATATTTGAATTTATATCATACTATTTTCTTGCATATTTAGGTTCACCAGCTGAACTCCAACTTGTCTGATAACCAGGCCAGCATTGCCGAGCTTGAGGAACGTTTGACTCACCTCCAGAGGGCGCTAACTAGCAGCGAACATGATCGTAGGATATTACAGGAACGTCTTGATACAACCAGGTATGTATTTTAAGTAATTTATATTTTCGACAGGTTTGTCTCATTGTAAAACAGTTGTAAAGTTATACCGGATTTTTATTGAACGTTCACATGATGCAATTCAAAAGCAATAATTGACTGTGAATATTTCTATAGATTACACGTAACTCCATGTTTTTACTTTGCAAGCAAGAATTTGAAAAACGAAATACCTAAACTGACCAGGACTGTGAACAACAGGTTTAACGGTACTAATGATGTTTTCTTTTCATGCATTATTACACCAAATCTGTGACAATACATGACATCTGAACTTTATCACAAATGGATAAAAATAATATACAAAACCGGGTAACATACTTACACAAGTGCCAGCAACATATGGCTGTATGCAATATAGCCTTGGCTTTATGGCTGGGGTCATTTATACAAACAACCGTTTATACAGGGCCATATTACCTGTCAAAAATCTTCAAAACTTATATTGTACACTTGTTTCATGATTTCAGACAAGCATTGAATGATGCCAAGAAACAGAACCACAATTTGATGGAACGTGTACAGAGCATGCAGAGCGAACTAAGTGAGGCCGAGGTAGCAAGATCCGAGCTTGATGGACAGATCAGACAGGGTCATACCGTAAGTTGTTAAGTTAATCTCTTAAATAAAGATCAGTCAAATATAAAGCAATTTACCATATTCTTTCTTCCTTTAACCTGTACCTGCTGAATTTGGATAATGGACTTGTCCAGATTTAGATTTGGATCTGTCCATTATATGTATAAGGGAGTTCAAGATCTAAATGCTGAAGTTGAGCAGCCAGTAATACAGAGTGTGATCTGACTGCACAGTTATACGTCAGACCACGGAGGCCGGCCTGGTTCTATACTAGTCTATACTAGTGGCATTAACAAATCATTATCTATTTTGGCATTTAGATGTATAGTGAAGACCTTGCAAAGGCACAGGGGCATCTATTGCCAAGTGGTTAAGGTCTTTAAACCACTTTCCCTCACCCTTGCCAGGGTCTTTGGATTCTATCATGTTAGGAAGCTTAATTGCAGGTGGTTCTGCTGGTGTGCTTATCTGTGCCAAAAATGATGTGCGTAAAGGCATCTGATGTCATCCTCCACCGGTAAAAGCTTGAAAGTTGCCACATGACATTCACAGTGTTTGTCACCTATATTCTCTGTATCATGTATATTTCTCAAGTGTGTATCATGTATTAAGTGTTTTGTATATTTTAGGTACTGCTACAGAGACAAGAGGCTGAGCAGGAGCTGTCCATGAGGATAGAGAAAATGCAGGCTGAGAGAACCAGCCTCCAGGAACGTGTACAAGGCCTCCAGCGTGCCCTCGCTACCCTCGAGACAGAAAAACGTGAAAATGAACGTGATCAAATTAGATTGGAGAAAGACAAATCTGCTCTACAGAAGACTCTTGACAAGGTCTGTCTTAATTTAATAGTTTATCAAGACCTTTATTTGCCTCATTAATTCATAAATATCTCATTTATACAAGGACAAGCTCTTAATTTTAGAAAAGTCAGCTTTTTAGAAGTATACAAAAGTAAGATTTTGGATGGTGTTAACTTTTAACGTTCACCAATGCATTTTTATTGATAAGAAAGAAACTATCTTTTGATATTAACCATTGTTAAGTAAAAAAATTTTAATAAAAAAAGGACAAATTATCCAAATGTACCCATTTTATGATATTATGTTAGTCATATGTATAAGTATATGTGATTGTGTAGGCCATATTTCAGAGCTCCAGATAATTTTTTTGGCCAAGGGGTTTTTACCCCTCAAAATTTAGAGAGGAGTAAAATGCAAATTCTGAAAAACTTAAGGGGTAAAATCTGTCAAAAAAGCATTTTGCATTTTTTATAAACAAATTAAACTTACTGTTTTTGTTTGTTTATTTTCTTTTTTTTAGAAAAACCTTTAAAAATAAAATACTGATTCAATGTGAAGCAATACAAAACTTGCCCTGTAAAGTTAGACTTCCAGAGTATACTGGAACTCAAGTTTAAGATACACAGCAAAATTATCAGGGCTTCCATAGTCAAAGACTTCAAAATCTCTGATATTGGAAGTCACATTATATTGGTAAAGAAGGAAAAGTATTAGATTTTTGGAAGTCACAAGCCAAAATGAAGGAGTAAATGACTCCCAAACTTCCACTATTGGAAGCCCTGAAATAAATATATTTTCTAGGAGTCAATATTTTTCTTTCTTTATTTCTGTTGGCATGTAGCTTATCATATGCTCCAGTTTGAACAATTATAGTTGAAATTAGAATTAAAGAAAAAAAAACAAGATTTTTTATCTTTCCTTAAAAAAAGTATTGGTCTGAGAGAAAATTGTCCGTAACTGTAGACTGGGTACGAAAATATTGAGTACAAAACTGCAGGTGAAAAACATGTTATTTTGTTTCAACAACAAAAGTGAAAGAAATTAAAATATATTTTTGTTTATATTGAGACATAAGCATGTCAATAGATGCCTAAACAAACTTAATACTATGTTAACTCCTACGATGATTATCTGGCAAAAATTTATATCAATAATTTCACAGGTTGATCTACGGGAGTTACACTCTTCTGTACTTCCTGCTACTTTCGTTTTTAACATGCGTTGTTGACAACAGAACTTTTAGTTTTCAATGCAATAAAATGGAAATATATTGTATTTTTATGCTCAAAACATCCTCTATCTGAATATCAAATGTTTACACTTCTATTCTTTTACGCTTAAATTTTGACATACAAGCGTATTTTCATTTTGTTGTGCGTAACTTTGACGCACAAATTTTGAAAGTGATGCGTATTTTAGATTTTCCATGCGTATTTTACGCTTATACACACGCTATCTGGAGCTCTGTATTTATAAGCACATGTGATTGTGTAGGCCATATCTTTGAGTACATGTGATACTGTAGGCCATATTTATAAGTATATGTGATTGTGTAGGCCATATGTATAAGTATATGTGATTGTGTAGGCCATATTTATAAGTATATGTGATTGTGTAGGCCATATGTATAAGTATATGTGATTGTGTAGGCCATATTTATAAGTATATGTGATTGTGTAGGCCATATCTATAAGCACATGTGATTGTGTAGACCATATTTATAAGCACATATGATTGTGTAGGTCATATAAGTATATGTTATTGTGTAGGTTGAACGTGAGAAAATGAGATCAGAGGAAATTGCCAGTAAGACTGTGATGGAGCGAACCAGTCTGGACCGCAGCCTGTGTAAGTTTGAGGAAGACAACGCTGACCTTGCAACCAAGGTTCAAAACCTACAGGCACAACTGGCAGAGGCAGAGCAACAACATGCTCAGAGGTAACAACTCTTTGTTTGTAATTAACACAAATATTTGTTTCCCAACCCTGTTTTCCCTAGAATGTTGATGCTCCCTTATAATTTCCTATATTCATTGATCAAATCAACTGCAAGTTAAAATTTTGCATTTGTATTTCTGAATGTTTGAAAGCTAAAACAGAAATCATGAGTAAAAAGTATATTAAAATATGACCAGATTTGGTGAAATGAAGGTTATATTATTTTGGGTAATGGATATATCCTTGTGTTATGGATATTGGTGATAGATATGTCTTAACTTAGGGAGTTTCCATTACCAAACCATAGAAGTTACCATCACCAAACCATACCCAAATAAATTGTCAACCTTACAAATGATAATTTAAACTTACATAATATTTTACCATGTAGTTTAGATATTTTCTTATTTTTACATACTACTTTTTGAAATTATTGAATAGAGTTGAGACAATTTTATTGCTAGATTTTTCTTTCATTTAATTATATAATAATTTATATATGAAAAAAGAAAAAGCGTTTATCATTCAGATTGTAAAATTATTGTAAATGGAAATGTTCTGGAATAAAGTACACATTTATATGGAAATGTTTTGGAAAAAAAAGTACATGTTTTTCGATGATGTATTAGTTTGATAAAATGTTGCTTATTTAAACAGTGTTGATGAAATTGAAAAGAAGCATTTTGCTAGGTATCAGTTTTGACCTTTGTGAACTGATTGTATCTGATATAGCAAATGTAAACCCTTAGTTATAGATGTAAAAAGTAATATACAATGTTGATTGTACATACTGGTAGAAAAAGTAAACTCATTTGTTAGAAACATTTATATAAGAATGACGGCAGCAAAGCAATTCATATGTAAAGATTTCTGTTTAATTGTTACCTCTATAGAAAAAATTTATATACTATAATATGCTATAATTCTTTCAATAAATTCAGTAAGCAAGCATCAGATGCCTTTAGTCACACAAGTGTTTTTTTTACATGATTTATTCATATCACAGTCCATTAGTTTCTTCTTTTTTCTTTTTTCAAATCTAAAAAAAAACAGACTGGTTTTAAAATAAGTTATATTTAGATTGGTTTTGAAAATTTAAGTACCATGGACTGGTTTTGAAAAAAATTCAATATATTGACTGGTTTTGAAATTTAGTAATATTTGGACTGGTATTGAAATTTAAAATAATATTTTGTCAGGTTTGACTATTTGAGTAATACAAGTACATGGATTGGTTTTGAAGTTTTGATAATATGCAAACTAGACAATTTTTTAGCAGTATGTAGTGTGGTTTTGGTTTTCTAAAAAGGGAAATAAAAAGCAAACTGGTTTGCATTTTTTTCTTGATGCGGGTGGGAATTAAAAATGAATATTCATATTGATGGAACTTTATTTAAAATCTCAAAACGTTGCTTATTGAAATGAGGTTCAATTAGGGTGATGGTTTTATTTAGGAATTGATTTGTGTATTTAAAAAGTTTTGAAAGTGTCACTTTTGAAATCATAATGGACTGGTATATGAATAAAATCAGCCTTAATGTTACTATAATATTGATTTTAGATTTTGGTGGGACCGTTTTGAGGAGGCCCAGGCGTTGATTCGCCAACTGTTAGGGTATAGAGGCTTGCCTAACATAATGAAATTGTGTTTTCTTTTTTACATGTGACATGTAGATACATTTAGATTTCTGGTATTTTAAAAGTGCTTTAAAAGTGTCTGTAGTATATCAAACAAGCTCATTTGTTCCCTAAATTTGAATATATTAGTTAGCGTGATATTTATTGGGTAACATTGTGTGTTGTGAGTATTTCTCTATAAAGAATGATTTGATGAAATGAGCTTGATTGAGTAATTCCTTTCTACATGGTAAGCCTCTACATGGATAGTAGAAGTGAGATTCTTTATCATTTATTTTACTTCTGTAAATAATTACAGAAAACATGACGTAAAAATTACACTGAAGTTGACCAGTTGACGTCTGGGCCTTACCATGTTTTACTTTTTGATTTTATTGTATTACATTACAAATTTATGCATTAACGTCTGGTGCTTTAATATGCAATATAACACAAAGCTTTCTAATTATAGTGAATAATGCCCCCATAAAAAAGTTACAACATATGAATAATGACAAAAGACTAGTTAGAAAATATGTTTGTCAGAAAAGAAAATCTGATTTGAGGCCAAATTGTTTTTTGATGGATTGCACACTGTGTTTGATGCATTTGAGAAGAATCAGGGGATGTCCCATGACCATTTCTTTTAAAGTTACCTAGTTAGTACAATAAATGATATTAAAACAGAGGTCAACCTGTAAAGATAAATGAACAAGAAAAATTCCTATGTTACATGATTTGTTTTTTTGTGTAGATATTCCCCCAGAGATGATAATTAAATAAAAAAAGATAATTTTTTCACAATGTTTAGTTTTGTTTGTGAAATGAAAAAGTTGTTATTATATATTATCAGAGAGAATGTTTTACAAGCAAAGTAAGTTTAAAATGCACAAAAATCAAGTTTGATACCAATTTCACAACTTAAAGTGAAATTTTCTATTGCAACATAAGGGCTGTGACTTTTATGAATGGGTACTTTACTTTAAGTAAGATAGTGTTTGTAACTTAGGGTTGTGGTAACAAACAATGTGAACATTATGCTGTGATTTCATTCTGTTTGTAAGGTATTGGAAGTTTATGAGTGATTTTGTGTGTATTTTAACCTGTGACTTAATTTTGAAACAAAACAAAATTATTCTTTTACTTTTGAAGAACTACTTCTATTGTAATTGTGTATGAGTTTTGGGTGTGTTTAGTTTTTGCTGGTTTGTTTTAATCACTATAAGAATATTAGGTCCATCTGAGAATATATTTTGTGTAAATTTGATATAAATTTAAGGATTAATATTTGATGGTTTTAATTCCATTATAATCTTAAAAATACCTATTCATTTACAAAGTTGATTATGCCTTGTATTGTTATCCTTGATGGAACATAATATTCAATATTTTCATATGAAATTATATGAAGGTAATTGATATACCTTACATTCGTTGCTGATATGTTAAAGATACAAGAAGGTATTACGTTGAATTTTTGTCAAGACTTACTTTCAAATGGTTGTATGGAAATGTTTAGGTCAGAATACTCTAGAATCTAAAGTAACAGGGTCACTGATTATATAAACATGAATATTACAGATTGATTGATCTAACAACACGCCACCGAGCCGAGACCGAGATGGAGACAGAACGTCTGCGCCAGGCACAGATGCAGGCCGAGCGTCTGCTCGACTCGAGAGAACGTGCTAACAGGCAGAAAGTTAAAGGAATGGAAGAAACAGTAAGATGATTTTGAGATCTTTTTTTTAATTTCTTTCTTTTTTCATCAGATTTTAAGCCATAGACAACTCTAAATGGTCATATGGTACTGTTTTCGCCTTTGGTATAAGAAAAAAGTTCAGAGTGCCTGGCAGTCACTGACTTTCTTTAAGGTCGCTCATTAGGCTCTTCAGGTGTAACAGTCAGAGGGCCCTGACTGGATTTGAACCCACAGATAGTGGTGCAAGTAATTTGAAGTAAAGAAACCTTAACCATTCAGCCGCTGAAACACTTGAAGCTTATGGACAACATTTTGTTGATCCTTGCCTCGCCTTTACCGTGATGAAAATTTTTTTAGTTTTATTACTTTCTGAAAACAAACCATGCTAAATTTATATAATAGACTGGCCCTTCTCATCATTTGAAATGAACCATTGTTATTTAAAATGAGTTTCAATGAAAAAGTATCAAATGTTGTAAGTCACCATCAATTGCATCAGTGTCCTATGCAGTCTGTTTTCATCTTCATATCTCCAAAGTTGATAATAGACAGGTCCAAATAAGAAGCTGGAAAAGTTTATGTAGCAGGTAAAGGGTTAAACTGGTAGCTAAGGAAAGTTGTTACCACTGCTTGTAGCATGTTCACGATTGTAATATATTGTTTTATCTATTCAGATTGCCACTTTGAAAGATCAGCTTGCGACGGAGATGCGCAAACGCCAGCAGTACATCCAGAGAAGTGCCCGCACTGGCGAGGAAATTGGCGAAATCCGTTCCATGTTAGATAACTCTCTTACAACTGTAGGGAGGGATCCTAGCCTAGATAGACAACTTCTAGAAATTGAAACACGTAAACTTGACGATTCTATAGATGGTCATGGATATCCACGTACCCCAACCCGCAGAAGATCGCCGTTACGTACGCCTCCAACTCGCCTCGCCCAGTCTCCATTAAGACGCACCGTTAGCCCAATGACCTCGCGTAAATACAAGAAGTAGTGCCTAATTTATTATAAAATTGACAATAACTGTGGACATGTTTAAAACTGCTGTAATTTTCTATTGAAGATATAAAAAAGAACAGTTTTGTGACATTTCTTGTCAGATATTGTTACCGTTTTAAGTGCAACTTTGATCATTACTGTGATTCGTTTTTTAATTACGTAGAAAGTTTAAATCAAATGCCATTCATCCGTGGATAAAGTGTTTACTAAGTCATAGGTTAAATAAAAATCAAAAGTGAATATACCATTAGATCAAATATATAATTTATTTACAATAGATAGGTATAATAAACAAATTTAATCAGGATTATAATTACTATACATTTGTATTATCTTTGTAACAAATCTTACACAATTAGGTTTTTCATTGCTGGTTGCCCTTTGTAAAAACGCACAAAGGTGATGAAATATTTAGAACACGTTATGATTTCTTTGACTATAAACTTAAAACTTGTTTAAGACTTTAGTACTTAAATGTTTGTTTATATATTTATTCACTACTATTTTCTAACAGACAAAGGGAGTGAACTGTGGGCTAGCAGCTAGTTTTTCGCCTCTTAAATAAGTCTGTGATTTTTTGTGTGTTTTTAGTAGGAGAAGCAATTTTAAATAATTGGCATAGATGCAATTTGTTGTTTTAAATATATTTACAAGCATATATGTGATAAGATGTTTTTCTTTTTGTTTTTGTTTTTTTGACGTTGCATTGATACACAAAAACTTTTAGGATTTTCTTTTAAACCCAAGATGACTTCTTATCTTATTATTATACCTGTAGCATTAAGTTTGAAGTATTGTCAGCTTAACAAGTATTTCTATTTTGATTTACGAAGCCTTACAAACACCAAAGTAAAATTAAGTTGTTATTTCTCCATGAAATATTTTTCGGCAAAACAATCTTTTTAGGGTCCAACATCGTTTTGGTGTCGGAAGCTGGTCCAGTAAAAGGACGTTACATTTTTTTGTGCTGTCTGTGATAAAAGTAACAATACTATCGCTTATGTAAAGTAGTTCTTGCATATTTATTTCGGTTTAATTTCAATATGTATGAATATGTATTATATATACTCAGAAAGATACGTTTTTTTCCCCCGGCTTTAGTATATTTGCTACAGTATAATATAGGATACAGTGTCAGTATTATATTAAGTATTTGTAAAAACTGTAACTTCCCCTGTGTGACATTGATCGCATCCCTTGCCATGCAATGATCGACAAAAATGTGACGATTATCAGTACGATAATTGTTTTAGATCCGACATTAATGGGTCTGATTATTCCGATATTGTATTATCTGGTATGTAGATAACATGTTACACAGTCGAGATACAGATTTTTTACAAGAACGCACATTATTCAAGATTTAATAATTATACCCACTGTGATATGGAGTTATTGTATAATCTTTGATTTCTAGCTTACGTTGTTTTTATTATTATTCAATTTATTATTTTTTGACTATTTTTGCGCTAGTGTGCACTGATTATTTTTTCAGTAATTGTTTAATACAGAAATGATGGTTTTTAGTAAAAATGTAAGGAGATGTACAACATTTAAAAGCAAGTATCTGATTGCTCGGTTTTAAAGAAAATTCATAAATTGACCAATTAAAAGTTACAGTTACAGAAATGGCTGAAACTTTTCAAATTTTGTCTTGCATAGCTAAAATGTGTAATTCTGAGTATTTCAGGCATTTTCTAAAACCAATATTTGTGTATTTTAATTAATTGCTGCAAAAAAAAAGAATAATCTATAGTAGATTTTTAGATATTTTGAGAGGCGATTCAAGCTTATACAGCTTCCATGCAATAAGAATATAGAATGTTGTTTTAGTAGTGGTCATTTGTTAATTCTGCTGATTTTATAGAAAGATCTAGAAATTCCGAGTTTTTGGGTCAGGCTACAGTATTGTATTAGGCAGCAAAGCATCCCATTGATCCAGACTTTGTCCATGTGCTTTTTATTATATATATTCATTCCATCTCACTGACTCAGATTTTTTCCTTCATGCTAATATTCCGTCCAAACCAAAATGGCTGCCATGTTGCAAAAGGGGAACAAATAGAAAGCAAATGTGATACACCTATTTCATGTATGTGTCTAAAATAAAAAGTGTGAACTTGGTAATTTGGTGTATATATATATTTGAACCATGATATGTTTTTGGAAGATAAAATATTTATTTTTTATACCGTGTATTGTAACTATGTTATAACTCTCATCATGTGCTGATTGAATGATTTCTAAAAATAGAATACCGAAATATGATTTTTATTGATTTTATGTCATTTTAAAAATGTACATGTATGTTGTGTTGTTTTTAGGTATTTGTATTGAATTTTTTTTTTTAGTCTGGCAGGGTTGGAAAATGTTTTTGTCGGTTGTTTTTCTTTAACCGAAAAAGAATTGTGTCCGAGGTGTTTGACTGCCTAGTCGAGAAAGACTGGCCACGAATTATAGAAAAATGTAGACGTGAATGTATATGTTATAATAAGCACTGTTGTTTTTTGTGGTATATCTAATACACATTTACTGATGTGGAAAATAACTTGATATGTAATTGCATATAGTTATATTTAATATAATTTGGAGATATTTTAAGTCCTAGATACAATGTAAATTATAAATCAATGTCAGATTCAAATTTTTGTGTGATATTTTACCAACATAAAACGATCAGGTCATGAAATATTTTCTACTATTTAACATAGCAATAAGTAAGTGATAAGTAATAACTGAACCATGTTTTATGAATGGATGTAAGAAAGGTGAAATCTACAGTAACCGCCTTATATGGAGGACATATTTTTGGAACATTTTATAGGTAATTTGTGTAGAGAGATAAAGTATTACCCCACCCTCATATTTACACAGCTTGTCGTGGTAGTTTGAAGCACAGGTTAAAATCTCTTCTAGTTTTTTTTCTTTTCTTATTCTTTTATCGTTTTTGTTCTTAGTATATTTCCCTTTTTTATTTTGTTTTGTCAGAGAATCTTCTTTTCTGGTCTGTTTATGGGCTTTGCATCATGGGACTTCTGTTTTCAGATGCTTTAATGTCTCTTTTTATAATTGTGATGTGTTTTTACTATATATTTTGAAAATTTTAATTATTTTTAGAAATACAAAAAAGTCATAGAAATCCGTCCCTTTTTGTATTAGTTTCTCTGTTAAAGTTATCTGTTAGTTTCTTTATTTATCAGTATGAGTTACACTATGTACTCTCTCACTTCAAACCAGGAATAAAGTGTGATTAATATAGAGTTCTTGTTGTTTTATTTATAATGAAAACGATATATTCTAGTAGAGATATTCCAGTAGTTTCGACATTCTTGACCTCTTGACCCGTTTAACCTATAAACCCTTGGCCCATATTATAAATCATTGGCCGGTGTTACAAATCCTTGTCCCGTATTATTTGTTCTTGTCCCTTACTATAAATCCTTGGCCCTATTATAAATCATTAGCCCGTGTTACAAATGATTGTCCTGTATTATAAATCATTGCCCCGTATTATTTATTCTTGTCCCGTATTTTAAATCCTTTGCCCATATTATAAATCTGATCTGCATTTATACTTTTATCGTTTTAAATCCTTGATCCGTATTTGTATACATTGCTTGCAATGTATACAAAGTTATAAGCTATATCTCAGAAAAGATACAGGTTTAATGCATTACCGAACAACATCCACTCCCGGATAAAAACCGCTATAGAAACTAGTTCTTCATTCTGCAGTAGCGGTACATTCCGACTACACATCATTAAAATAGTGTTTTGCAAAGTTGTTTAAATGCTTTGAAATTTGCAAATCGTTCATTTTCATGAAATAATAGACTCTACATTCCTTTAAAGAAAACAAAAAACTAACAGTTCATTGATAAAATCGTAGTTTATACCTACGCGTTAAACTTCGCATATACGCATGCGCTTGCTAGCATGAATGAATACATCGTAAATATAGTAAAGTCGTCAGCGCTTATGCTAAAACAATACAAAATAAGCTTTTTTTAAACCGCTAGTTTGTTGTGATTAAATGTCCGATTTTAAAATGTATTACACCAATAGAAAGCTTTGGATCTTAGCTTCATCACAATATAAACTTCAATACATCTCCAAAGTATTTAAATTAACTGTTAAACCTACCATATGTCAGACCATTTTACATGCGATTTATACAGTGAGATACGCAATGATAAGAATAGCCTGTCGTCTGCTAGTTCTAAAAGTGTATATCGGTGTATTATATAAAAGGGACGAAACATCTCAGGTAGATATTAAATCAAATAAAATTCCCGATTTACATTTATGCAATAAAATTGCCCTAAAATGTTTTACAAAATAAGTATGGAGCACCGTCACAAAATTTACCAGCGTATACCGGAAAATGTTTTTTTTTTCAAAAACTGGCAACTAGTATCGTGACTTCCAAAAATAGAAATTTCGTAAGCTATTCTTTTGAATACCTTTTTTACACATGATTTTCCTTTCACTTTTGTCTGGGATGTACTATAACGTATCGTATGTTCCAGCTTTTGTATGCCTTAGATTTTTGAAAAGAAATATGTTTCGAAATTCAGCGAAGATTGCCTGATTCAGTACGGGTAAAAATAAAGATTCGGCCGCTCGACCGTTCGACCCATTACAATTCGTCGAACTTGGGATATTGACGTATGGAGCTAAATATAGGTATATGTGGCAAGATTCGACGAGAAGAAATAATCATTTGAAACTGTAAATCAGTGTAAGCATTAAGAAATAAATACATTATGTTATTTTTATCTGCTTATATTAATTGCCGAAAAACACCAAAAAAATACCGAAAAACACTTAAAATACAAAGAAATATTAATTCAGCAATATAAACCATTTTTGATGGTTATTTGATGAAATTGGTTTTTGACGGTTATTTGATGAAATGGGTTCAATAATATCAGTTTTAAATCGATGATATATACAATTGGTATAATTCCAACAAAATAAGTTTTATCTACTTTTTTCTACCCTTTAAATGATTAAAATTTACTTTCTTTTTGCAACCAGTGTAAATTAGAGAATGATTCTATTCTGTATTAAATGCGATATGAAAGTGTTTTTCGGCAAAGTTACAGTCTAGAGTCAAAAAAAAAAAAACATGGAAAAGCCGGAAAACACATTTTTACGGGCATTAAAATAGTCGTAGTTAAAACAAGAGCCGCTATTTTTTTTCCAACCTTTTAAATGAATAACTATTACTTTCTTTTGTTACGAATGTAAAATGTCAGTGATGTTTATATTTTTATAAATACAGCATGAAAGTGTTTTTCGGCTACGTATCGGTCTAGCGTCAAAAAAATGGAAAAGCCCAAAATAAAAAAAAACACATTTTACTTGCGATGAAATGGACATTTCAAAAATAGAACTATTAAATAAAATTTTAACCGTCTAAATGAATGATTATAACATTATAATTTATGTGTAAGAAATGTAAAATATCAGTAATATTTTTGTAATAAACATTGTATGAAATTGTTTATCGGCTATGATACTGCCTAGCGTCAAAAAGATAGAAAAAAAAACAAACAAACAACACATTTTACTTGCAATAAAATACTATATATATTTTTTTAAAAATGCTGCTAAATACATTTTCAATCGTTTAAATGAATAACTATGACATAGAATTTATTACCTTTGTAAAATGTCAGTTATTTTTTGTAATATGTAGAGTATGAAAAAGTCAGTGGTGAAACTTATAGGTTGGCTAGCTCAGGGTGAGGTTAGCCTGGGTTCCAGTCTGTCGATTTTTTGTTATGTTTCTGTTTGGCAAAATCGACACTATCAAAACGACGAACGAATACGGAATATTAAGCGCATATGTTATGAACAAAAAAATGTTATGAATAAGCAAAAGCTATCAACGCCTGAATCCCAGGCTATGTGAGGTTTTAGATTGTTGAATGTCGGCCATCCATCTTATGTCAACTCTGGTCTGTCCACATTTAGCATCGTCGGATACCCACGGCCGAACCATTTACATTTATCAGTTAGGTATCAACCACGTGTATCCGATGCTGACATTACAGTTGTTAACAATCTGCTGGTCATTTAGTTTGTTAACACTCTACTGGTCAAACTTTTGTCCCAAATGTCACACAACATCGTAAGAATGAGTGTGACATGTTTTGCTCGAGTTTGAACATGGATCACCTTGGTTGAAAATCAGAAGTATGTCACAGTAGCCAAAAAATAGAAAAAAAATGTTTTAGCTCAATGGTTCATCTAAAGTTAAGAAGTTGGTAACACAACCTGATTATGGAAAAACCCTTGTTAACTTGCTGTCCAATATAAATGGATTTCTTGGAAAGGTTGTTCATGAAGACTATATGTAACAATTATTGAATAATGAAAATATTACAGTACATTTGAATTGTTGTGATTATAGATTTCATTTTTATTAATTAACGATAAAGTAATGCATTTGAAAATAAATGTGTAGAGATAAATACAACACACCAGAATATATTTATTAATGCATCAAAGTACAGTACATAGATGTACTGTAATTTGGTAATTAAGTCTTGTAGGATGATTCAATTAATTGACTTTGTATAGAGTTCAAACCAGATCATGTATTTTATCAGATAGCATCACTGGAAACTCAATATGACTGTTTCAATATTCTATACTGCAGTCCATTTAACGGGTGTTTCAAAAAATGATTTCTTTATTGCTCATCTATCAGCTTGTCCTAGCAATACACAGATGGAACATTACATCTTCCTTGACTCATAAATAACTTTTGAAAAAAAAGCCTTGGTGCATGTGAATCACTTGTTAGGGACATTGATCTTGGTCAGAAGATGATCCCTATTGTTTTCGAGGTCAGTAGGTTAAAATCAACATGGCTTTGATGTCAAAAATGGATTATATTATCAAGCAATGTATACTTCAGTACTTTCAGTGCTTTGATTTTATCTTTGGCCCATGACCCGTATTCTAAATCATTGACCCGTATGATTTTATTTATTATTGTCCCGTATCATAAATCGTTGACCGTAATTTTTATCCCTGGCCCATATAAGTCGTTGACCATTGGCCTGTATTGAGAATCCTTAGTCTGATACTCTGTGTGACGAACTTGTCATAGTTAGAATTATGTACAGTCCATGGCTAGATTGAAGGGTTTCACCAAAGTTTGAGCCGTCAATCTTGTATAATGAGGTCGTACTGGCGTGCATATTGAAAAGAAATTCTATTTAAAGTTTATAATCTAGACGTTTTTTGGAAAATTTTAATATTTTCAAGCAGGAAACAAAAACAACACAACCTGTCTGGTATTTATGATAATCATTTATTTTAACCAGTTGAAATCTTTACGAGTTTACTTTAAAACATTGCTGATAGTCGAAATAAGAAAACAATATCAATTTAAGGGGAGCGGTGGTTAAGGTGTCTGCCTCTCAACCAATCGGGTAACGACCACGTTTCTTCATATGACACCAGTACTGATGGGTTCCAAGAAGAGTACTCAAAAGTGATTAATATAAGTTGCAAGAACTTGTTTCACAAGATTAAATAAATGTTTTTAAACCAATATCAATTTAATAACTCGACAACTGGTAAAATGTTCACCAGTTGCGTTACGTGACAATTCCCAGCATGGCAAACTTTTCTCAACGTGTTAATACATAATGGTCAACAGAGATTGCGTCCCAATTTTAAAACGTTTAGTTTGAAACTTCCAATGCCGTTACAAGAGAAATGAAATACTTAGACCATCAAAGTGTTACAAATGCTACAACAAAAACTGCCATTGATTTATTTTTAACCCTTAGCCTGCTGGCGGCTTCCAAATATACCCATGTGACACGTGCAGAACAAACGGCACACACGTACAGCCAATATTTATCTTGAAATTTTCCCTATAATGACGAATGGTTTTGTCCAGATTCAAAGATGGGAGAAATCCATTATGTATAGCATAGTAAGGGTTAAACTCAAGTTTGACTATGCATTATGTCAAAGGTGATTTGTTTAATCTTACAGAAAGAAGAAAGTGACATATGAGTCTTTTTATTAAAACTTTTTTTTATAATGAAACACTTCAAAGATGAACAATCTAGAGTGGTGAATTTTTGCACAATCCAATAAATGTGCATTGAAAAGGATAAAACAAACGAAACCAATATCTGCAGATACAATACTAATTATTTGGCATCCATTTATTCGTTCACGGAGGACTGGCAAGCACATTATTTCCTAAATATCAACCTTCTGTAGTAAAAAGTGTTGCATGTCGAAACACGAGGTTATCTGATTTGTATGAGGGGGCATAAAAATATAAACACTTTTCATGACACCACAATATAAAACCCCAGAATATATAAATGAACCAATCTAAAAGTATCTAAATATGATTTTTTTACACATTTCTTGTTTTGTAATAAGTAAACCCCAGGAAAATGCAGCTGACAATTTTTTGACCCGGACAAACAGTGTATTAACTAGAGTGTGGGTAACTAATACCTGCACTCGTGTTTACGTTCTGTGCATGTTTGGGTGTAGAATTAACTCTTGGCATTTTTTTGATAGAAAGGTCTCCAAACTATGATACACATTCTATAATAATCTCACTTAATTATATTATATTTTCTGTGTATTTGAATGTTCTCATGATTGGCAATAAAGAATAATGTCGGAATATATATGGCAACATAAGAAAACATTCCCGTATATGTCATATCATGTTAGTTTATACATAACTTAGATCATTTCGCCCTTGTGATTGTAATCAATGGAAAGAATAGTCAGACGGTAAATACATGTACATTTATGGGTTGAAACCATAAATTGGGCGGATGTTGCTCTGCTGCACCACGTTTGTTGAATTTACATCCGGGTAAGTGTAAGGCGACCCCTGATTGACCACTTGTACTTGGTTGTACACATTTGGATTTGCACCGGAAGTTGGAAGGTTCTGTTGATTAAAAAAGAGATAAAAGAAATATAATAGAGTTAAGACGACGTTCATAAGATTAAGTAAAATACAGCATTTCGTGACGAAAATCTCTGCCTTGTTGTTGAGAATTATTTATAATTCGCCACAATATGGTTTTCTTTTGAATTTTCAAATATTAAGTCTAAATTTATAAAGTATAAGAAACCATATCAAGCAATAGAGATATATACCTGTATTGTCCCAGCTTTGATTCCACTTCTTTTCATGCAACAGAAACAACAAACCGCTAAACTAATGATCATAGCCAAACCAGCCACACCACCTATCACAATACCAACTATAGCAGCCGTGCCAAGGTCGCAGCCAGAGTCGTCACCGCACGAGTCATAGCCATTGCACGCGATGTCGCCATCTATACACCGGGAGTTTTTACAAACATGTCCATAGCTTGGACACGATCCTGAAAGAAGTTATCAAAAAAAAAGAAGATAAAACCAGTTCACCGTGTATATCCAGTAACGCAATGATGTGCAAAGTAACATAGATCTGTACAATTATATGGCCGAAACGATCAACACGGTTAGTGAATGAATCATTTTTTTATAGCTTATCAAAGTGAAAGAAAAGAATGATCGCATACGGCTGCTGAGACATCATTTAAAATATATCCCGCAAAGTGTTTGCTTTTGGGATATCGACTTTTGGAGCAATAAAGTTTTACATACGTCATAATGTGCTATCGGCGTGTCATAAAACACAAAACTACAACCAAACTAACCAAATAAATAAATAGATGAATAAATAAAAATAAAATAGAAAATAAAAAAGCGCAACAATTTCCTACCGTCACCGTAGCTTGTGATGATGATGGAAAATAAATTTGTTAAAGATTGTCTCCTTTTCGGGACGTACTTTATCCGGAAATGTTGCATGTCCACTGCGAAAACTCCGACAGGCTTATCAGTTCCGCATATGTTACCCTGTAATCCTGAATATTAAAGGTTTTATAATAAATAATTATGATAATTTTTGTAAATATATAAGGCATATTGTAATCTAGAATCATATAAAGTGATATTGTCGAAGTATTTTACATGTGGTTTGAAATCGTAATATTTTACGATACACATACTTATACATTTAATTACACCAAAGTGGAAATTAATAAATGGTGTTTATTAAATCAAATTAAACATTTTTTTTTAAATTACGCAAAGGGAAGTATATGGGTGGGACTGTGAGAGATTCTGTCAGATAAATAACGTATATTAAAGTATCTAAATATGATTTTTTTTCTACATGTCTTGTTTTTGTTATAAGTAAACCCCAGGAAAATGCACGAAAAAAATGATGAAATTCTGTTTCCAAGGATATCGCGTGCTCCTTTTATTTGAAAAAAAAAATCATTTAGATAAATTTATCACCCCAAAACTGAATGTATCTCCTCTAGGTCAACATCTCCTAGTAACAAGCAAATCCATGCCTTCCAAAGGGTATTGCTTTGAAGAGGTTATTTGAGCCCATGTCCCTTGTGCAAATTTGTGCAGCCTATCTTTTACGATTTCTCCGCAATAATCCAATCTCGGACATCTAGTCTAACGGTCATTTGTCTCTCATGGCTGATTAAGAAATCCGAAAGCACACTTTCACTTGGGAAAAAATTGATAATAATTGGTAACTGGTAACCCTACAGGAATTAGCAGGACACGGGTTAAACAGAGGACAAAACAAACATCACCTACCGGATACTCGTGTGATATTAGCATAGCCAGTATTGCTTTCGCCAATGTAAAATTCCAGATGACCATCGTCGCAATCCAGGTTAAGGTAATCAAAATAGAACATAAATTTAGGATATCTTGTAATCCAAGCTTCCAGGCTCATCTCACAAAAGCCCAGTCTGTCATACGGGTAGATGTCGCTTTTTGTATCATAGATGTTGTCATCCGAGAGGTCGAGCTTTGCCTGATAGATTGTTTCCCAGATGAAACTTAATTCATCATTGCAGAAGTTTTGCATGTGATCTGAAGCAAAAATTAAAGTACTAGTACGTCTTTGAAGATAAATGTTCCTCTCATCATAACAATATTGTATTTAGTCGTCTGCTTTTGTATACAATTTAAATGGTTAGCAAATTACTTAAAATAGCAATTTAACGTACTCTGAGAAAAAATGTGCACTATGTCATATGACGTATACACACTTTTCCAGTATTTTCGGAACGTGCTGAGAAAGAGGCTTTTTACGGTATTTTGTTTTATTGCAATTTTGAATTTTAAATCTCCTATCTTAATCACGACCAAGTATACAGTTTGCCAAGATTTTCAATGAAATTGTAAAGATTGTGAATTCCATTGAGTTTTTTTTATTTTTTTTTACAGAAATACCGCTATATGTTAAGGGTGAAATTTCATTTTCTTAACACCCTTGTTTAGTTTTGATACTCTAATCACGAACTTTCATTGTCCTCTAATTAATGTATACTGCAAATTTTTAATTTGGCCATGCATGTATTTCATCAGGACTATATACCTTGTTGCTAGCCATACATGTATACGTACCGCATATGTACCAGATTTGTTTTCAATCTTATTTGTATAATGATATAACTATAATTTATAACGTGACCTATAATTTATAAAGATAATTTTAATCTTGACTTGTGACATCTGAATAGAAGTTACCTATCTACAACAATTTTCGGTAACTCCATCATTATTAAAATAAGATTGCACCTTACAAGTTACATTTCGTAAAAAAATGTTATATTAATTTTGACATGGGCTTTTTGGCCTAAGGAATTGAATGATAAACTTGTCCTAAACACTTGTCATTTCGTATTTACGAAATGCTATTTATTTATGATATATTATTCTGTTTTTACGATACAGTACACATTTCGTAATGACGTTTTAACGAAAAAATTTACGGATGTCGCTAAGGGGACACCGTACATTGCTCAGTTACTATCAACTGTAATGTACACTTTGTTGAAACAAATCTCTTAGATGTATATGTAAATTTATATATTATGTAAATCATGTCCCACGATGCGTTATATATATACATTTTTTTCAAAATTTTGAATGTTTTAAAACAATGAAAAATAAAATTTTAGTTTGAAAACTACTTATAATCGTAAAAGATGTTATTTTTGCATTCAAACGAATAACTGATTTAACATCTTGAATGAAATAAATTCAACGCAGGTCTGACCGTACTTGTATTCAAATAGATGTAAATTCGTTCACATCATTTGATCAAACCTCATTCACCAGATACACCGGGTGTGATTTTTTTACACACCGGATGTGATTCTTTTACAAACCAACTGGCATTGGAATTTACCCTGGATATATCAGTTTAAATCATATATTGGAACAATATGATAACGTTAACATAATTTTACTTACATTCAGCGAGTACTCCTTTTACAGCGAACAATAAAATACAAATAGTTAATAATTTACACTTTTTTGCTTTTAACATATTAGTCTCCATCATCATTAACTCGTATACTCGTACAATCCCAATCTTAAATATTGACGTAAAGTTGATAATTAATCAACCTCAAATGTGTAAATACAAAGTCCTTATCTCAAATTCAATATTGCGAAATATATTTTAAGTACACGCAAACTTTTTTCTGCATTTTATTTACGTAACACACGGATAATTATTCCCTTAATTTTAAATTATTACATTAACTCTCTATATACAAGTACATGTATTCACAATACTAGGACAACATCCGTGTTATAAATTAAATCCGTACTAAGAATGAAAATTTTAAAATATTTATTCGCCACGTGATCTTTAGAAATTTGTGCCTTCTTAGTATTAAAAAAAAATCCTAAAATAATATAGATGAGCAACTTAACTGTTTTGTTATGTCGAAATCATTTGGACCGAACGCTAAAATTTGTATGTACATGTATACATGTAAAATGATTAATATAAGTTGCAAGAACTTGTTTCGCAATCGAGCTAGAATTAATATGTTTAAACTAACTATTCATTTATCACATATTCTTGAAACGAACAACAGTATATCTAATCATAGATGGCAGTATCAGTGTTTGGACACCCGACCCCTATCTGCCCCTGGGTCAAATACAAAACCACTGATAAAATTTTTAAAAAAATCACTATCAAAATTATAGTTATATAATATAACTATAATTATTATAACTACATGTATAATTTTGATAGTGGATTTTTTTATATATATTTAATTTTTACAGTGGTTTTGTATTTGGTACCTTATAGTAAGCCTTAGAGTTTTGAATTTTTTTTTCAGGGTTGTAGGGATCCAGGGGGCAAATAAGGGTGGGGTGTCCAAACACTGATACTGCCACCTATGTATCTAATCTCTTTATGTCCAAAATCATGTAGTATCTCTATTTTGTCCTGTATGCTCTCTCTACCTTGTATTCTTCACGTTGTAACTTTCGTATCTTATTACCGTATGTCAAACTTATACTTTTTCTTTAACATAAAAATATGTCTTTCAAAATTTGGTCTTGTTATTTGAATAAGAATTGGTTACTTTTTGCATAATTTAATTTCTAGCCAAATCAGGTTCCCATTTGATAACTTTCCAACTTAACGGATGTATAAAGACCAAATTTAGGTGTGTGTCTTTTTAGTCATTGGCGGCGGTTATCTAGGTAGTATCAAATGCCTTAAAGCTAGCTTGATATATTACCCCCACGACATAAAAATCAACGGGATTTGAACCCATTGCGATAATGATCGATCCATTTTGTGCCAATGGCATTAACTTATCATTCGGATAAGGCTACCCTTCAAATATATTATTACTTTTATAATATTGAACTATTTTGAAACAAATTATAAAATAGTAGAAACTTTGTTTGGAAATTGCAAAAACAAATTTATTTATCATTTCTCATTGCAATATTTAGAAATAACATAAATTAACATTTAGCTCCTGGTGCTGCCGGCAAGTCGTTGTTGTGGGCGAAATGAACCAAACCTGTAACATAAAATCAATAAATCAACATACAGATCAAATATCTAATATGTAATTACTGTATCAGTGGACATTTCCGCGTTTCTAAATTTTCGCGAAATCACAATTGCAAAAGTTTTAAGACATTTCAAGTTTGGAAATGTTCAAAGAAGAATTATTCTTACAGTGTTTGTGTCAAAACCTATCTTTCTTATAGTTTTCACAATTACACAAGAAAAATATTTTTTTATTCAAAAGATTAGGTGTTATGGCCATCTGTGATATACTGTTTTCAGTAATTTTAATACAACGTTTAATTTACAATTTTATTGCAACAAAAGAACATAAAACATAGTTTGTTGACTGCTTTCTTAATTCTAACGCTGTTTTTGTAAAGTGGGATTATGCAACTTTCAACAATCCAGCTGGAGGGTTTTCAGCGAATTAGACTATTTACAGTGTTGGAGCACAAAATTAAATGCCGTATTCCGGTACATCCCGGACGGGCTCGTGGATTATTAAATGCTTAAATCTCCCCTTTTCATCAGCTGAAATGCACTTTAAGACGGCTTACCTGCTAAACAAGCCTGGAAACCGGCATTGTAATCACATGCTACCTCATTCTTGACGTAATCATCTCTTCTGTCGTCATAGTTATCCCACTGGTCAGGTCCTCCAACTAAACCACCCTTGAGAATGTTCGGGTTTGGAGCGTCGCCTTGTGCACAATATCCAGGCTTACAGGAACTTTAAGAATAGAAAGAGCTTTGAATCAACAAATAAAAGCTGGTGTCATTTTTCATATATCTAGATTTTAGCGATTTATGAAAATGTTGTTGAATTCCGACTTTTGCATTTACACTCATCGACCCTCAGGTATATTACATGTAACATTATGCAAATAACAACAATTTCATTGCTATATATTTAGGCTTTTATAGGTCCTAATTAAAAGTAACAAATCCCATATTAAGTTTTTAAAACTCCTTATTAAGAGTTAGTTATATAGAACATAAAGATTTGGCCCCAGGACGCTTCCGTATCAAAACAACTTCTTAAACGTTTTCAGTTTGTTAGAGATTTTTGACCATGCGACCGCATACACGCATCGATGACACTTTGGAAGGAAATTGACCTTGCGACCACGTACACGCATCGAGGACACTTTGAAATGAAAGTGACCATGCGACCACAAACACGAATCAAGGGCACTTTGGAAGGATTGTGAAGATTGTCAATTGCTGTGCACACAGGGAATTGGAAAGATAATCACACATTTCAATCATCCAATATCCTAGAAGTATGATAATAAGTTCAGAATCCACGTTGGTAGAAATTAAATAAAGGAGCAAAAAAAAAATCGTAAAAAGCATTAAAATACAAAAGCAATAACAAACAACGACAAGAACAACAAAACTTTTGACATTTACACTTCTATCGAAACTAAAACAATTTGGTAGAACATTCATGGTATCTACTCGTGTTTTTTTTGCTCCGCGGGACGTCAGACGAAAATACGACAAAGCGGTCCCTCTGTGGTAATTGTATGTTTTCATCTAGCGCCCCGTGGAGCAGAGGTACATCAAAGTGTTCACACAGTCGCATTTAAGTGTTTCGTCTGGCGCCCAGCGGAATTAAAGGCGGAAGCACGAAATTACGACAAACTTGTCATTTTCGTTTTTTTTCTTTGGGGCCCAGCGGAGCAAAAATACAACATGGCACAAATCAGCCGCCATACTTTTCAGTTCACGTGTTACACTTATGGAATAACAGCGTTGCTAATCCGTAACATTTTTGATATTTGACACTGTCGTACCTTCCTCTATGATGCGGTCGTTTGGGATAGTTGCTTCCAAATCCAATTTCATAGCTTATATGAAGTTTGTTGTCTCCGAGAAGGTAGTTGATTTGTGACATGGCCCACTTTTTGTAAGCGTCAGGTTGGATTCCATATTTGGCCGCCATTGTGGCAACAAATGCAACGTTTCCTGCGATAAGACATGTTTAATTTGAGGGCTTTGTAAACGACATTCTAATTGGGCTCATAATGAGTGCATATTTAATTTCTTATTCTGACGTTAAAACATTATTTAATAGTTAATTGTGTACAAAAAGAGCAATTTGTTTCATTCAAATAATGTTACTTCTACATATTAAAGTATTCAGTGCTTTTCTTTTCAAATTTAGATTTGGTACAGCTTAATTTAACCATATTAAACTCTAAAAGTCTAGGGCCCCAGTAGCATTTTACAAAACTATATCATGAATATAATACCGGCATGTCTGTTAGGTCCCCACTGGTCACGCCAGGCCAATCCACATGGTGTGTTTTGTACGTTACCACCGGGTTTGAACGAGTTCACCAAACCTTCGATGTCTGTTTTGTATTTGCCATCTTTTGTAATACCATACAGTAATAACTACAAATAAAATTTTATGAATGGTTAAATTTGAGGACAGAAAGTCTTAAGAAATAATGGAGATTCCGAACCTTATATCAATCTTTTAAGAATATTCCCTCTGGAAAAAATAGAGTAATATGCGGAGACAAAGTCCAGGCATAACTCGAATCAACCGGTATATTGCAGAAACATCACGAATTATTGTATGCTTTATAGAGTTTTAAACATTTATATTCAAAGCTTAAATTCGGTTATAGGTCAATTACTATTTGACAATAGCGTAAACAACCTGTTTTTAAATGGTAATAACTACATTGAACAACCTGTGTTAGTTTGTTCATTCTCACCAAATACTTAATAGGTTCAATCACAACTGAAATAAATTGTTTAGCATTTTTTTTTACTTTTTAAGCTATATCGAACCCAGTACTCACAGCAGCGCCGACGTCGGCATCGTTCCAGTTAAAGCTCCAGGCTGTTCCAGATGGGTAAAATCCCTTAGCGTCATTCAGATATCCCTGGTCGTTTGTGGCTTTGTACAACAATGCCCCGGCAACAGCAAGTTCGTCGGCATCACCGGTGGACCTTTGAACAAAAGTTAAATTCTCAAGATTCATTTTTATATCCGTATATTTAATTTCTATGTAGATTGTTATTGAAAAGTATATATGTATATGTCTAAAATGAATAATTTTATCGTTTGAAATTATGGCGGTTCCTTCGGGTTGAAAGGAATGGGTTTTTTTGTGAGAGAAAATTTAACTTTTAACAATACCCATAAAAGTCCTTTGCTTGCGTGACACAGTCGGTGTACTTTCCCCTGTTGCTCTTTGCAAATGTATACAAACTCTTTGAAGCTCCCAAAAGCCTGTCAGCAAATCCAGTATCTAAAATGAATAAGAATACAAACTTAAAATAAGTTGAAAAAATAACCGAAGGAATACATATAAATGCTAGAGCGATAAGCTCTTTATGTAAGTTTTGAATTTTCAAAGGTAATGTATTTAAACAATCGATTAGACTTATTTTAACCTTTAATTTGTCTAACCTCCGCACATGTCCTTGAAAACCATATATCCGGCAGCCATTGCTGCGGCTGTATCTCCAGCTACGTCACTTCCGTGACACGAGGTCGTGACCTTGTAAGCTTGTCGTCCCATATGCATGTCTTCTGGTCGACCCCAGAACCCGTGGTCAGCATGACCATCTCCTACCTGTAAATAAAATAAAAGGAAAAACAAGTATTTGAATTGACAGGAGATAGCGACATAACACATATTTATATGATGGCTTTATTAACTGTTTCTTTTGATATTTGCTCTGACAGAAAAACCATTACGAAGAGCTTACCTGTACATAAAGCGTTTGCTGATTAGGAATCCAGCATTTCAGGAAATAATCTAGCGGTGTTCGGATCATATCACATGCCATGTCCTTCTGACCGGCGGCCACATATCCGTCCTTGAACTCTAGCATACTATATAACAGCACCCATGTTGACCATGACATTGGCAAATTGAATTTGACATGATCTCCAGCTGTTAAAAGCAAATAATATTTTAAAAGCTTGGAGTGACCATGTTTTTTTATGTGACAACTATAATCGAAATTATAACAAGAGCGATCATTTATCACATGTGTCGCCTCATGATGGCCAATTTCATGTTGGGACAAATTTTGTGACAGACGGACAGACAGACGGACAGTGCAAACAAGACTTAGTACTGATCATTCCTGTAAAGTTTGAATAAAATTCCACCAGTAGTTTATGAGGAGTAGTCCGGACAAGCTTTTGTGTATCTGGCAACACACAGAAAAAAACACCTTTTTATCAAAGGGCCATAACTCGGCTAAAATCATTCAACCGGAAAACCCGTGCAATATGCGCAAGGACTTGAGCTACAGATCAATCCTGTAAAGTTCCATTGAAATTGCATTAGTGGTATAAGAGAAGTAGTCCGGACAAACTTTAAAAATAAAAATTATTAAAGGGCCATAACTGTGACAGACGGACAGTGCACAACAAGACTTGGTACTGATCATTCCTGTAAAGTTGGGATAAAATTGCACCAGTAGTTTATGAGGAGTAGTCCGGACAAGCTTTTGTGTATCTTGCAACACACATAAAAAAACCACCTTTTTATCAAAGGGCATAACTCGGCTAAAAATCATTCAACCGGAAAACCCGTGCAATATGCGCAAGGACTTGAGCTACAGATCAATCCTGTAAAGTTTCATTGATATTGCATTAGTGGTATAAATGAAGAAGTCCGGACAAACTTTAAAAATAAAAATTATTAAAGGGCCATAACTCTGACAAAAAATCATTGAACCGGAAAATGCTGACAATATGCACAACTAGACTTGGTACTGATCATTCCTGTAAAGTTTGGATGGAATTGCACCAGTACTTTATGAGGAGTAGTCCGGACAAGTTTTGTGACGGACGGACGGACAGACAGACAGACGACGGAGAAGTGATCCCTATATGTCGCTTCTACTCCGTAGAGGCGACACAAAAATTGAATAGACATAAAAAATCCACCATTGATCCCATTAGTTAAGTAATCAAAACTCAGTGAATTTGATGCTGGAAGTATAGTCTGGCACAAAGTGTTTAAATATTACAGAAATAAGGGACTTCTCCAGTAATAAAAACTAACCGTCATACCATCCACCGCTAAGATCATGGCCGTCAGCTCCGTCATTGACAGCAGAGTCTCCACGCCATGGTATGGGATTGTTTGCCGGAAGTCTTCCAGATCTTTGAGCATCGTAAAACAAGATAGATAGTTTTAAGGCCTCGTTGTAGTCATACTTCATTGGAGAACCTAATCGAAATAAATTAAAAGCTGACATTTATGAATCTATATATAGATATAAATATACAATTATTTTAATAATCTTTTTAATTATTCTTCGGTAGGACATCATTTTTTGCATCTAAATCTAGTCTGGATTACCTGCCCTTTCATATGTATTCGGTAAGTTATTAGAAGAACGCTGGGGACCAGACTATATCTTTAACCTGTTCCAGACCCCTTTTCTTTTTATTTGTTAGAAATAAGTATAGACGTATGAAATAGATGATGATGAAATGTTTTATTGGAACAATACACTCCGGTAATTCAATTGCCTAAACATGACTTTCATTAGCCCTGCGAACAATGTTGACACTGACTGTCATGGGAAAACTCCGGACGACAATTTGAAGCCAGGCACTTCAAAGGTAATACGCTTATTAACCGGAATACTCGGCAACTATCTGTTTAAAATAATGACCAAACAAACGTCGGATGGGAATCTTTTTGTAGTTGCAGTAACTTTAAAAACATTATAACACTTGTATAAACAAGTTCTTACCACCACCGGCCACTGGTCCTGGTGTGGCATTACCACCTCCTGTACTACCACCTCCTGTTGATCCACCTCCAGTAGACCCACCTCCAGTACTACCACCAGCTCCAGTCTTACCACCTGATACATAATAAATACATATGTTTTCTCTTTTGTCATTCCAAAGGTTTAATTCAGATTCTGAAACTTTATGTTCTCTTGCTTCAGGACTCCTCATTCGTATTTGTATTATAAACAACACGACTAGTGCTGGCATTTTATTGAATACAAAGTCCAAAAACTTTTTTTTGTATGTTTGCTTCTTTTTATGTCACATAGATTAAAACCAAACCTTATAATAAATTCTATCTCTAGCAATCAAAGCAAGACTTTAAAATCAAAGCACAGAAGGCGCTGAATTTGTTTGGGTCTCAGAATGTCAGAAAGGTGGAGGTTGTGAGATTATAAACCAATTTGTTTTTGTCTGACGACCCAAACAAATAAAAATGAGGTTGGTAAAACATACAGTAAAAGGACCGATAACATATAACTAGACCAAGGTCACGTACCTTCTATATAATACATTCCATATGGTACCGCGTCCCCGTCTTGCCTAGCAACGAAATGACACGTCAGTGATGTTGTAGAATTCAACTCTGAAAATTCAGGGAGTGCCCTCAGAATGAATTCTCTACCTCCGTTTGTCTGGCTTTCTACTTCCAGTTTCCATACCTACACACCAGAGAGGAGTTTAGCATACAATGTATTTAAAAGATGCTTCCATACAATTTAAATTAATTACTTGTTTGGTTTACGTCACACAAACAAAGTAGAGGACATATGGCGATTTTTCAGGTTTATTGGTGGATGAAGACCTCAGGTGCCCCTCCGTGAATTATTTCAGGCACGAGCAGACACCTGAGTAGAACCACCGACGTTTCGTAAGCTAGCTTGATAGCTTTCTCACATGAAAGAATCCAAAGTCCCTGGCGGGATTTGAATCTACAGTGGTGAATGGCAAGTGGTTGGTTTGCAGTCCACGACCTTTCGCCCACTGGCCCCCGTAAATAGATTATTATTTATATTTATGAGGACCTTCCTTTTTTAAACATTGCAAACACATAGTATTCTGTGTGTCATAAGCAATCCATTGGTCACAAGTGATCTTTTATATTATATAAGTATATCATATAAGTATCGGTCGAAAAGTGACAAATACTTAAAAACAATTGAAGTCGAATATTTGTAATGTGAAAATATTTGATGAAATTAACATACGGTTAGTATTGTGTAATTGAAAAAAAAAGAAATCTCGCTAAATACCAAGGAAATACTCACTTCTAGCTTATTTACTGGATGATCAAACACTAAATGGGCTTTCCAGCCATGAGCCTCGCCTGATGCTACAAAGTCGCCCTCAAAACCTCCATACCAGTGATTAGTAATGGTAAGTTTGTCCATTGCGAGGGCACTGCCCACAAATAATATTCCTACTACAGCCCACATGGTCCTGTAAATATTCTATTTCATTAATCAGTTATACGGATTTAATGGTCATCTTGTTCATTGCGCAATTGCGAGGTCACTGCCTACAGATAATGTTTCTACTATATAACTAACATCCCGTCTTTTAAAAAAATAGAATCAATAAAGAACGTCCAAAACAACAAAATTAAAATGTTACAGGCTCGGTTTGATTGATCCTGTTCATGGACGGTACTGAAAAGTGCCAGTTACCGTACTTCCCCCCCCCCAGCACCGACTTAAGCACAATTCAACTTTTAGCATGGTAATGGTGGATTTTTGAATTAAAAAAGAGGTTATACAGTATTTTATTAGAGAATTTCACAAGTCGAGAATAACGGCTTTATTATTGTTTATTCATGGCATGAGACACACCATTGGGTGTATAATTCAGGGTGAAGTGTGTACCATTGTTTAACACTATGTTTATTCATCTAAGAAATAAAATATTTCATTGAAATGTCATATGATGTTTACGAGCGATAATGTGTCTAATAAACTCTAATAATAAGATAATGCAAACTAGATAAATCATTTTAAGTAGTGGATTTTGTTAAAAAAGATATTTCTTTTGCATAAAGTACGAATTAAAAGCACCACATAATACGTAAAGCATGTTGGTGTCTCCGCAGTCAAATTTCATTCTAGAATCATTACATTTCTAAATTCAAAACATACATCATCCTAGAAAAAATACAGCTTGCAGATCTGATCCTTGTTAAATAGCCAAACGTTTTAAAGTAACCACTTGTAGCTTAATACAATACAAAAGCATAATATAGATTTACTTATTAATATAACACAGAATTAGAAAAAAATCATTGTCTCTCCTCCTACCTTGCGCCAGTTGACTGTTCTAAAGTTTATCTGACTTTAATAGCGAGATCTAACTTGTTTTATCAAGGAATTGTTGAACTTAAAACTGATCCCCTAGATTTTGACTTCCTTATCGCTCTTGTAATAACTGTGACCTGCTCTAAAAGGAAGAAAACTGCCTACTAGTGTATGCGGTACAAAGATCATTACGTGTAAATCTGGTATATGATTCAGGTATCGGCTCTAATTTTATTATTAAAGACAGGTATGCACCAAGGATGCAATATATTTCCCTTACTCTTTAACCGATTTATAAACACATATTGATTGATTATATTTGTGAAAGTAATGGTTTTTTTTTTGGTTTTGTGTGTTTTCTGTTTCTTGCTTGGAGCGCACATCACTTACATATATCATTGATATAATTGCAACGTTGTCATATGACATTTTATATGTCAAAAAGCATGTTAAATAAACTTAGTAGATTTGTTGATGTAAGCGTGAACAGATCAAAAGACTATTTGTGTTGGGAGGTTATTTAAAGTTTTATCGTCATTAAGATATCAGCCAAATCAAAATTAAAAATCTATAAATTTATGATAGACTATGTTACAACGGCACAATCTGTAGTTGTTGCAAAAAATGCACAATAACCCGCCTCGAATGCGCCTTTATAATGAGACGGGCACATCAATTTTTGTTAATTCGTTTTAGCGGGCGTCTGTGGCCGAGTGGTTAAGGTCGTTGACTCCCACCACTGAAGACTCGAATCCTGCCAAGAACTTTGGATTCTTTCATGTGAGGAACCTATCCATCTCGCTTAGGGAACGTCGGTATTCCTCAACCAGTAAAGCTGGAAATCACCTTATGACTTCTACTGTGTGTGCGACGTAACACCCAACCCAAAAAGGACGTTTTTTTTTAAACTATAACCTTTTATGTATTAGTAAGAGCAGTTTCTCAGTGCATGAACTAAACGACTGAGAAAAAGGAAGTGAATATTTTAAAAGACTTTTATTATTTTTGCAGCGACAGTTTTCAAAGTTCAATTACATTCACATTGTATTTATGTGAACGGTGACTATTATTTATCTCTATAGGATGGCAAACTATGTCAACTCTGGTTATAAAACGACTTATCTTAAACTACGTATGATTAGTCCGCGACGAGGTTTTGTCCTTAGCGCTCAAGGTATTGCATTTTTGTATTTTCTTTCTAAAATTTTGTATGCACGTCTAAAATGTATTATGGCGCATTTTCTATGAAATAACTTAGTTCTTAGAAAAGCGGGAAAACCAAATGTCATATTATTTATTTAATTCGTATAAAAAAATGGTAATAACGGATGCGAGATATTAATCATTTTGTTTGGTGGGATGAACACAAAGTAATTAGATGTGCGACTCCTGACAGATCCGTTCTGGCTTTGGAGCGGAACGGGAACTATTGTGTTATATATCGTCTGAGCTTACAGATATATTTTACTTTATTATAAATTTTCCACTTTAACAGGATGTTGATATTGGCTCTGCTAGTAGGTGTTGTGGCTGCGAACCCGGTGACAATTACCAACCACTGGTACGGTGGGTTCGAGGGAGACTTCACTGTAACTGGCGAAGCTCATAACTGGAAGGTCCATTTGAAATTTAGCCATCCAGTTGACAAGGTCGAGGTGAGTGACTTTTGATTGAAATAACATTTAATAAAAAAAACTTATACGTTGTACATATATATGCATGTACTTACGCATTTTTATTTACATATATTATTATAGTTTAATAGTTTAATTCAGCAACTTTTATAGAACACTGTTTATTAGGCATTTATTGGAAAATAATTAATCACTAAATTCTAAAAAAAAAATGGTGCTTATTATAAAGCCATGGTGGAGCAACTTTGCAGTTTTTGGAGCACACGAGGGACATTCTCTTTGATTACTTACAGTAAAATTAATTTTCTTCGACAACGTGGTACTTATTCTTATAATGGACATTTTCTGATTTTTGTATAGAAGGAATTAAATGAGTGCCAGCTTCAAATTCTTATGTTTTGTTGTTGTTGTTGTTGTTTTGTTTTGCTTTCTTTACTTATAATTGAATTAATTTCGTCTATAACATGATTTGTTTTTCATTTTGATGTTTACATTTACCTTGGTGAAACACATATGAGCCGCGTCACGACAAAACCAACATAATGCGTTTGCGACCAGCATGGATCCAGACCAGCCTGCGCATCCGCGCAGTTTGATCAGGATCTATGCTGTTCGCTATCAGTTTCTCTACTTGTAATAGAGTTTGTAAGCGAACAGCATGGATCCTGATCAGACTGCGTAGATGCGCAGGCTGGTCTGGATCCATGCTGGTCGCAAACGCATTACGTTGGTTTTGTCGTGACGCGGCTCAATTTTTTTATATACATGTAAATAGGATATATCACTTAGTAGGACTATGAGAAATTATGTTGACACGATCGACCGACGCATGACTGTATCCTGTTTACATTAAAATATAACAACAACAACATCAATAAATACCGCAGTATAGGAAAGACATACACCTCGTTAATTTTTTAGAAATGCTTAACACAAATAAACCTTTTCGTCGTTGCATCACGGGTGATTGTAGAAGACCAAAATTTTCTGGACCTTCGGGATCATTGATTCAAATACATTTATGTATTGAAGATTGAATACTGGTTAAGCCGGTGCTAGACGGGAAGACTCCATAACAGATTCAGCCAATCAAGTCGAATTTCCTTAGGACTTTGTTTATGCTCTGGATTACTCGCCTTGCAGATATATTGGAAAAATCTTTTAATATCAGAAAATGTATTGATTTTTTATTATTATTTAACATAATATAGGTATGGAAGTTTGCTGTTGAAGGTCGAGTAAATGGTGGCAAGGAATTCATTCTTCGGGCCCTTCCTGCTTTCGCTAATTTAGCGGCCGGAGCTTCTCTCAAATGTCATTTTGTTGCAAGGCAAAGTGGCGATCAAGTTCCCGCCACATCATATTATTTGGAAGGTATGCACATCGTCCATTTTGATGTTAAAATTAAAAACTAAAACTAAAAAAAGAATATTTTACCAAATACGAAAACCACCAAAACTTTATCTTAGGTATACAATTTAGTTTCAAAAAGCCAAAACCATTTACAGAATTATATCAGCCTTGTAGAAAAAATAAATAATTTGAACATGGTTTATTTTAAATATTATATGGACATATGAATATAACGGTAAATACAAAAGGTACAAATGTTAAAAAAAGGAACACACCAAAAGCTCATTTCACTCTTCTATTAGATTTTGTGATGTTATAAATACTTCACAGCTTATACTAAAAAGTCTAGATTAAAATAAATTTTAGAAATATAACTTGACTTATATTGATAAGGACATATATAATACACAAGTATATTTGTGCTCCATTTTTGAACTATGTGAATGACTACAAATAAACATTAAGGGTTCATGTTTAATTAATCGTTACCTTAGATAACCTTATCATTTGACATCGTTTTAACATGGAGATTCATTTCTATCACAAGGGGGCAGCGGTGTCGGCGGTACAAGTACAGGAGGCGGCGGCACGAGCACGGGCACAGGGACCGGTACTCAAACTTCCGGCGGGGGTATGATAATTGTGCTATTTATTTGTACTTACATTAATGTAAACATGAATGAAACGTGTTCATATATGAATCAACTTTGTTGGGAACAGGATAAGTGACACTCACACATATAAATAAATTTCAATTTTCTATTTTACTTCAAATATTCTTGTATTATACATGTATATGTTTTTTCTTTTAGATTTTTTAAAAACTGTTATATAATAATACCAAAGTCATGGATAGGTGCTGTCGTGATTTTTCATTTTGCAAAAGAGAAATATTAAACTATAAGTAATCATATAATAAAGCCACTCACCGAAGGATCGTAGGTTTGACACGACAATAATACTGGTAACTTCAAGAAAAGTGGACTCGAATTTGATTTGTATGAGTCAAGCTTACATTAATATGTTCAAACTAGATCAAATTTGAAAAAAAATATTGAAAATAAATCAATATATAGACATAGTTATAAACCTAATTTTATCTATATAATATTTAGGATCCGGAGGTTCAAAGAACTACAAAGAAGCCCTGAAACTGTCCATCTTGTTTTACGATGCTCAAAGGTCCGGCAGACTGCCCGCTAATAACCCAATACCATGGCGTGGAGATTCCGCCGTAAATGACGGCGCCGACGGCCATGACCTCAGCGGGGGCTGGTATGACGGTAAGCTTTTGAACGATGTTTTATGCTGATCTTATGAATGATTCCATGAATTATAAGCACAATGGTTGGTTAAAGCGACCTTCAGCTTTTATTTTCTGTTAAAAAAAACAATTCTGTGTTGTTTCAAACTAAGTATTTCATTAATTTTATCTTGGGGAAAAGTGCATTATATCATTAAAAGCCCTCACGAGAACTATTTATATGTAATGTTCGTTTCTTAAAAAAGAAGATCGGGAAACGAAACGCCGCTTCACTCATTTAAGCATAGAGGGCGGTACGGTAGATAAGAGGTATCAATTAAGGGATACCTTATTGTTTATTTTCCACCTTAATTCTTTTGATTTGACAAAATGTGAAATTATTTATTCAAAAATAACATATTCAACATATCAACCTCATTGAATTTAATCAAAACATATAATATCATAGATCTTGTTTTCTTTTTATATCCTATCATGTTATTTTGAAGATGCATGCATATTTTACTCGCAAGTAAAATTATTTGTTTCTATAGCTATATTGTGATGACAATATCATTTTTGTCGGTGTTGTTAATATCTGTAAAATGTTAAATGATAAGTATAGACAAAAATCAAATATACTTCAATAACATTAATTTAGTAAATTTACAATGGTATAAAATTGTATCGTCAAGGTACAAAACTAATTGCATGTAAGTATATCATTAATTTGATTTTTTAACTTACTTCAGCTGGAGATCACGTAAAATTTAACTTACCAATGGCTTGGTCAACATGGGTGCTGTTATACAGTATGTTAGAGTTCAAGGACGGATATGTGTCCGCCGGGCAGAAGGACATGGCATGTGATATGATCCGAACACCGCTAGATTATTTCCTGAAATGTTGGATTCCCGACCAACAGACACTTTATGTTCAGGTGTGTTACATACATGATAACAGAATTGAGCATCTTTTTTAAAGAAAAGGTTAACTCAAAACTTAGTGTCTCGTGAAAACAAAATGAACAAACACGGAAAAATTAGTACAATGAAAGTGGTCCATGTATATAATTTTTATGGTAAAATAATAATATCATTTACGCGGCGAATCGTGATTTTAAATAAAATAATTCAGATTACTTTATGCGAACCTATTTTTTGGCATAAAGTTATATGCTTTAATATAGAATAATATAATAGAGTATATTGTTTATTGTGTAGCAAAAAAAAAACAAACATGCTGTCATTTTCTAATTTGATAAGAGATATTTAGTAAAATTTGCATAATAATAAAATTATTCAGTTACATAAACATGTTAATATTCAGGTAGGAGATGGTCATGCTGACCACGGGTTCTGGGGTCGACCAGAAGACATGCATATGGGACGCCCTGCTTACAAGGTCACGACCTCGTGTCACGGAAGTGACGTAGCTGGAGATACCGCCGCAGCAATGGCGGCCGGATATATGGTATTCAAGGACATATGCGGAGGTAAAAAATATGTTTATACATTATTGTAAAATGGCCTGATTATCCGTCATAGAGATGGTGTAATTAGGAAAAAGTCATCTTCAGTTTTAGGAATAGTAATGCAGGGAAGGAATACAAAATTTATGGCTGGGATGAAATACAAAATTTATGTTATTTACGTTCTGGACTTCCGGCAATTTTTCGTTTTACAAAATAAAATTGAAATCGCTTTTAGCATAAGTTGTCTTGAAAAATAAATATTTTTCAGTGTTTCAACAGTCCTACCTAAAAAACAACTTTTAACGGTCACTTATAAATGCCCTAGTTGAGCAAAACAGTGAAACCCAATGTCATTACAGTAGAGGATACATTGATATGTAAGCAATTATTTGTTCATATGTTGTAGATACTGGACTTGCTAATAGACTACTCACAGCTTCAAAGAGTTTGTACACTTTTGCTAAAAACAACCGAGGAAAATACACTGACTGTGTGACACAAGCAAAGGATTTCTACGGGTAATAAGATAATTCTTAATGGCACTGTACTCACTAAGTTGCTACTTCACGGCACAATATGCATCATAAATAAATATCATTTTCTTTATAATGGATGTTGAGCAAGTAGCTTGCTTATCATACAAAGAAATTAGCGTTGAATGTAAAACAATGTGTATTGAAAGTAACAAAACGTTAACAAAGTGGTAATTTGACTTCCATACAATCTACCAAATCACTTAAAATTTTATTAATGACCAAAACGCAACAGAAGCAAAAAATGGTTTATAAAAATCATAAAAGTAAAAAGATTTTGAGAAAGTAAGATAATAGCATAGTTTGAGCGCAATGATCCTTTTACTATCTTGCTACGTTGCTATTCAGTCTCAAATCTACATACACTGTATTTATTTTTCGAAACTTTAAACAAAAACGTAAAAATATCAGCGGCATTATCATAGAAAAAGCTTTATTGCCTGAAAGTTTGCTTATAAAGCCCAATTGAAAAAGAAAATAACGATAAGAGCTGTTAAGAAAAAGCTTTTACTTGTCATAAATAATGTAATATGTCAAAAACAACTTAAGTGTCAAAACAAATGAGGATTGAGTAAGAATCGAATTCAAAATGTTTGCACATAATATGATTGATTTTAGAATAACAAGTCTAATCTTTTCTCTCAATCATTTGATTGTTTGTTCAAAGGTCCACCGGTGATGCTGATGAGCTTGCCGTTGCCGGGGCAATGTTGTACAAAGCCACAAACGACCAGGGATATCTGAATGACGCTAAGGGATTTTACCCTGCTGGAACAGCCTGGAGCTTTAACTGGAACGATGCCAACGTCGGCGCTGCTGTGAGTACTGGGTTCGATTTTATTTGACAGTTTCAGGCAATCTGCCACAAAAATAAAACAATAAGATCTTTTAAGAATATATAATACTTGAATCCGTTAAATCTATAATAAATTAATGAACTACACCAACACGACCCTGTTAAGACCTTGTTTATCTTTGATCTTTTTTATTTATACGAATTTGTATAGAAACATGTATTTAAATATATTCTTACATGTCCTAAGGTCTCAATTTACTTTTGTTGAGAAAAGGACCAGCAGTCTTTCCAACTATCAGTCCAATCTATAAATGTCACAGACTGGTAGTCAGTTAATTTGTTTCAGATTCTATATACAATAATGACAACAACAATTACAAATTAATATTTAGATTGGGTTATATGTATTCAGTGTCATGTAGTTTACTTTCATAACCAGTGTTGTCCATTTCGATTTCAGCTTCTGCTATATGGCATTACCAAAGATGGCAAATATAAGACCGACATTGAAGGTCTGGTCAACTCTTTTAGACCAGGTGGTAACGTACAAAAGACACCGTGTGGACTAGCCTGGCGTGACCAGTGGGGACCTAACAGACATGCCGGTATATATAAGTACTAATTCAGTATCCAGTAGTGTCCCCCTTCTAAGACGTTCAGGTGTATGATTGCGGGTATTTGTGGTAAAGTCTAACGTAGATTGTCGACTGTATTGTTAAAAAATGTTGTTTTTCCGATGTTTTCAATGAAATATCTAGTTGATTTTCTTTCCGGAAAGATAATATGTTATACAGACTGTTTTTATTTAAATGAAATAAAAGTAGGTGACATCAAATTATATGTATAGCATGTGATCTTCAGGAATGCAATGGAAAATAAAGTAATACAGCTCAAGAGCACATCCATTCATGAGTCTAGCTTATTAAACGCTCAGTATAACGCGTTCATGCATGTTTTTTATTCTAAAATATTTAATTTTATTATCATATTTTTGTTTTAAATCGCTATCAGGAAGACGTCAGCATAACAGCAACTACGTATATCCAGATGATTATGACAACGATTTTAGGCGCATACATTATAGCAACTATATCAAAATATATATCCAGATGATTTTGACAGATATGTTACAAGACAACCTTAATTTTACTTACCTTTGCAACATGTCTCAATAATACACCATTATTTTAATTATCTCCTTTCCAGGAAACGTTGCATTTGTTGCCACATTGGCGGCCAAATATGGAATCCAACCAGACGTTTACAAAAAGTGGGCCCTGTCACAAATCAACTACCTTCTCGGAGACAACAAACTTCATCTAAGCTATGAAATTGGATACGGAAGTAACTACCCTAAACGACCCCATCACAGAGGAAGGTAAGCTTCGATCCAATCTTTAAAATCTTCGGAACACCTCGACAATTATCCATACAAACATTATCGAAGTTTGTCAGCAAGGGCCAAAAAGTTATAGTTGTATCGAAATTGTTGTCAAAAATTGTAAATATAGATCAGTACATTTCTGTCATTTATCATTATTAACCTTAAACAAATATTTCTGCACTTTCGAGAGCACAGCCTGTTGTACAAGTTGTTTTCAAAGCTCTTTATATTCTTAAAGTTCCTGTAAGCCTGGATATTGTGCACAAGGTGACGCTCCAAACCCGAACATTCTAAATGGTGGTTTAGTTGGAGGACCTGACCAGTGGGATAATTATGACGACAGGAGAGATGATTACGTCAAGAATGAGGTAGCATGTGATTACAATGCTGGTTTCCAGGCTTGTTTAGCAGGTAAGATTTGATAATACACGTTATGTAGTAAATGTAACATGACCACCGCCATTTGAAAACATCCACGTTTTTTAATATATATTATTTCTCGAGCTTTTTGACGAGCTTTGTCGAATTGGGGCGTGAAAGGTACATGTAGTACAGGTAGCTTGAAAATACCATGACGCCCATTAACAGATAAAATTTGAAACATTTTCACCGATGAACAACAGCCGTTATTTTTTTTCTCAGCTGCTGATGCTGTTTCTATTTTGGCGGGAAAGCTAATATTCTAAAAACTAAGCGGTTGTCCTTTTTTCGCAAGTAAATGTTGATTGTAATTAACGTCGTTATTTTATTTTCTATGTAACTTCGTCAGATGTTCTGACCAACACTTTTATCATTACAGGTCTCGTTCATTTCCAACATACTAACAGTCTACCCGCTGCACCGGCTCCAAAATGTTAGAGCAGTTTCTTAAATATAATGTAGTAATATTATATTACATAATATATTATATACATCTGAATAAACAAGTATAAATAGCAAACTGTTACTTCCCTTTCGTTACAAGTTTTAGTCAGAAAAAATAACGTACGTTTTATTTCGGGTTTTTCAAGTTTAGGGCAATGTCTTGTTTGAAATATTGTATCCCTGCTACTTCTAGTGGAAACAAAGACCATACTATCTGGTACAATTACTGCTACATAATATTGTATATAGCTAGCTAGTCATGGTTAAATTACTAGCTCTAATAATTCTTACAATCAGCCTACCTTACAAACGAATTTTTGTCAAACATAACTGTACACTCTTCAAAATGTAGTCAGATTGCCTTACAACGGATCTAAATTAATTTGGACATAGGGTATAACAAAATAACAAACGCACATGTACAATCGCTATTCTATATTTAGCTGAATGCTGAACATTCAGTCCATTCAAAATAAATTAATTTTCGGTGTACATTTCGCTACAATTATTTTAGTAAATGATGGAGATCGCGTGGCATCTAACACTTGCGAGCTGGAGATGGAGGTAGGTTTCCATTTTGTGCAAATTGCAAGAAACCTGAAATAGTTTCAATTACAGAGACAATTAAACGAGTTTTTGTATTGCTAAAATGAGAAAATAATAATTGCCCCAATGCCGCATGTAATCGTATAATGATCTAGTCGTGCAATGCATGATTCGATTGTATTTTATTTATTCAGTTATTATAAGATACAACTAAGCTATTTGTATTTTCTTGGTACTTACATTATGCAGATGAAATAAAAATAGAAACACTGTGGATTTATACTACACATTTACGAGTTACTTTTAAGCAACCTTACAGTACAAAATTCAGATGCATTTCAGTGGTCTAAAGTTATCATAAACGCAGGATAGCAAATTCTATTTAAAGCATTTGCGAAAAGAAAAAAGCCTGCTTAGTGCCTATTTCACAGTATTCATGCTGTTCTTAACTTGTCTAAAGCTGAAAGGAATGAAAACGGAAAAAAATGCAGATTTTAAAAAGACTGCTTACTGAGATTCATTGACATAATTATGACCAAAGGGGTACGGCTCATTGAATGTTCACAAAATATGTATTTGATGGTAGAAAACATTTATCCTAAGTCAGAAATGAATTCTAAGTACATTCCCATTACACTATATACTAATATATAGACAAGGGTAACAACTCCCATAAGAAGGTGTCTATGCCCAATCAGGGTTTTTGCCTCGCAGTTTTTTACACGATACAGCATAAATAAAAATGAATTAGCAACTTGTAGTCGAATGATTTATCTATCGAACCAATGTAAAACTTTTCTTATATCTCTTATACTTAACGAGTACTGGCCGTCAAAGTAACAAAAAACTGTTCATTTTCGCGAGGTCGACATCGATCGTGGCTACGCAGGAAACACAAAGTTACACGACTGTTGCAATCGTTGGAGATAATATCACAAGCATTTATCATGCTGGGCAATTGAAAATACATAAAAGTAATCAAAATATACCAATAACCTAAAATGACAATGAAATGATTTATTTCCCGAAAATATACCCGTAAATTTCCGAAAAAAAAAACGACCAATCAGATGACGGTTGTTTATATTCGTCAAGATGGCGGTGTTTTATAGAAATTTCAACGGGAAAATATTTTGAAGCCGCAGGTGAGTTTATATCACATTGTCATTATAGGTTATTGGTATATTTTGATTACTTTTATGTATTTTCAATTGCCCAGCATGATAAATGCTTGTGATATTATCTCCAACGATTGCAACAGTCGTGTAACTTTGTGTTTCCTGCGTAGCCACGATCGATGTCGACCTCGCGAAAATGAACAGTTTTTTGTTACTTTGACGGCCAGTACTCGTTAAGTATAAGAGATATAAGAAAAGTTTTACATTGGTTCGATAGATAAATCATTCGACTACAAATTGCATAATTCATTTTTATTTATGCTGTATCGTGTAAAAAACTGCGAGGCAAAAACCCTGATTGGACATAGACACCTTCTTATGGGAGTTGTTACCCTTGTCTATATATTAGTATATAGTGTAATGGGAATGTACTTAGAATTCATTTCTGACTTAGGATAAATGTTTTCTACCATCAAATACATATTTTGTGAACATTCAATGAGCCGTACCCCTTTGATTATGATATGCCAAGGGAGTTAATCGATTCGTGTGTCAAGTGGAGACAACTGTTGACTTACCTGCTAAGACCGACTGAAAACCAGCGTTATTATCACACGCTATCTCGTTTTGAACATAGTTATCCCTCCTGTCATCAAAGTTATCCCACTGACCAGGTCCTCCAATTAATCCGCCTTTCAGGATATTTGGGTTTGTATCGTTTCCGCTCGCGCATGCGCCGTTGATAGAACAGGAACTTGAAAATGTAATGATTAGAAATAATATAATAAATTCTTAAATGGTAAACAAGTGACGGTTTGACATGATACTATGTAAAAGATACTGTATTTATTATGAAAAAACAAACAACATATAACAAATAAAATGTTGCAACCCATTTAATTGTATACATGCAAATGACATTATGATGTAATTACGATACGAGTACTGCAATGTCACTAAGATAGATTTCATTACATCATGTTCAATTCTTATGTCTGTTTAATGCTTATTCTAATAAAATGCAAATACAATCTTTTTGTCATAAAACCATATAATTAAACCGCCTTTATAGTATAGATAAAGAGTGGTCAAACATTACCTCCCTCTATGGTGGGGTCTTTTAGGAAAGTTATTTCCGAATCCGATCTCATAACTTATGTTTAATTTGTTGTCACCAAGAAAATAGTTAATCTGTGATAGAGCCCACTTCTTAAATGTCTCGGACTGAATTCCGTATTTCGCTGCCAGCGTTGCTACAAACGCTACATTTCCTGAAAGTGACACATTGTATTCTGTTTAAAAGACGAAATCCATTTGTTTAAGGTTGGTGGTCGATGGTAACATAGGTCATTAGTCTTGTATAAAATCTGTTCTTTTTTATGTGAATTTATGAAATTTAATCAAACTACTGTATTATAATATTTTGTAAATAGGACCCATATGTTCAAACAATATTACCACGTTTCTTTCGTAAGTTCTATTGCAAATGGAATTATAAAATGCTCTTACGATTCCTTCGAATGGCAGTCGATTTTATTTTTTACAGCAGTAATTAAAATAAATTAAATAAATACCAGCGTGCCCATTAGGACTCCACTGGTCTCTCCAGGCCAGTCCACACGGGGTAATTGGTACATCTCCACCCGGTTGAAACGAGTGCACAAGACTTTTAATATCCGTTTTATATCGAACGTCTTTTGTTATGTTATACAACAACAACTATAAAAGAAAAAAAAAAACAACTTATTTTGAGATTGTAAACTAAATAAGAATATTTGATTTTGTATGTATATATGTGTTTTACGACGGTTCAATAGAAATATTTGAAATACCCGACTGAATTTCAAAAAATTTCTTCATCGATTTAAAAAACCGGAAACCGTTAAATTCAAACATATGTCGCTTAAGGTCCACAGTTACTAAAAGTAATATATTTCATTTAAAAATGGTAGCTTTTATAGAAAATCTATATTGAAAATATTCTGATAAATGTTATTCACAATACAATTTTATATAAGATATACCTGTATATTGTTTTTGTTTGTTTTGGGTTTTACGTCACATCATAACGCGACGTTCCAGCTTTACTGGTGGAGGAAGACATCAGGTGCCCTTCTGTGCATTATTTCAGGCACGAACGGGCACCTGAGTAGAACCACCGACGTTCCGACATGTATATTAAGATATAGTATTGTGATTGCATGTTACCTTGTAAAAGAATTATTCATTCGATGATATTATCAACCAAGCTTCCAGGTTACACTCACTGACTATTCTAAGATGTTTGAGTGCAAATCCCTTATTCCAACATAAATTGAGCCTGCTTATGGATGACACTGGAAATTTCTAGTTATCGTTCACGCCCGCTTGCACCGGCTGTAGCAGAACACAACATTTAAACATGAAAATAGTGATATTTTGAATTTAGAAACATCCGCTGATGTTTTCAAACGGCGGATATCATGGAATCTTCAATGTAACACATTCGTGCCATTCCATGAAAAGCGGTGTATGGTCCCCAAGTAAAAGAATGCGTGTACCCTAAACGAGGAAACAACTCTAGTCCTAAAATAATCAAGACTTAAATCAGTATATTTGGAATAACGCCTACTTACAGCAGCGCCAGCGTTAGCATCATTCCAGCTGAAAGTCCACGCTTTATCTGCTGGATAAAAGCCTTTGGCATCATCTAGGTAGGATTGTTTATTCGTGGCAATATACAGCCATGCACCGGCAACCGCCAAATCATCCACTTCGCTGGTGGATCTAGATTTAAGGAATATTTTTATATTAATGTCAAGAAAGAGACAACAAAGAAAGCTGTTTTTAGAAATGTCTCTTCTTATTTGTTTTGAATCTTAATTACATGTCAATGCTAAAAACCATATATTACGCTCTTGAAAATTACAGAAGCACCGCATAAATACAAGGTAAAATTGTGTCATTTTTATGAAATTATGTTACTATTGAATCTTTTTTAATTCAAACATTTTTTTAAATTCAAACATTTGTCGAAAAACTGACGGAAATAAAAAAGAATCTGTTTTCGATGAAAGTGTTCATATTTTATAAATTGCTCGTATTGTCTTGTAAATGACCCCAAAAAAGGTATGATAATTCAAACTTATGCTTATGTAAGACATGGAAAGTTTATATATAAATTGAATAATTAGAAAGTCAAAATACTCATAGAAATCCTTTGCTTGTATCACACAGTCTGAGTAAATCCCTCTATTGTTCTTGGCAAATTCGTATAAACTCTTTGATGCGTTTAGAAGTTTGTCAGAAAATCTTGTATCTTCAAATAAATAAATAAATACTTGTAAGTAAAATAGTGCCTGAACTGTAGTTATCCGTTAAACATAGTGTAATGATAACATTAATAAATCTGCGTATTCCTAAATTAACTCATCTACAGTTCATAATGCGCTTTTTAATGTTTACCTGCGCACATGTCTTTGAATACGAGATATCCGGCCGCCATTGCTGCGGCGGTGTCACCAGCTACGTCACTTCCGGGACACGAGGTTGTGACTTTGTAGACGGGACGATTCATTTTCATGTCTTCTGGTCTACCCCAGTAGCCGTGATCGGTATGACCATCTCCTACCTTATAAATAATTTCATTTTCTATTCAGATAACCGAACTATTAATAGTTGACTCTTCTTTTTTCTTCGCAAGAAAATAACTGACGCTCATTGTATTCGTCTCTTTACAGACAAAAGACATTCTGCTCTATGAAAGTCAAAGTTATAATTTTACAATCTCAAATGTTTTATATGGAAAGTACATCCCCGAATTAGAACTGTAATATTTTAGATTTTGTTCAATGGTCAATCAAAACATGTAATAAAATGTAATTTGTGTTGTGTTTTAACAGTATTCTTCAGCTTTCCCTGATCATATAACTTGCTCGAATTCATTTAGCGGCATCACCTGAACATAAAGTGTCTGTTGATCGGGAATCCAACATTTTAGGAAGTATTCTAGCGGAATTCGGATCATATCACATGCCATGTCCTTCTGACCGGCGGACACATATCCGTCCTTGAACTCTAGCATACCATACAATAACACCCATGTTGACCAAGCCATTGGCAGACCAAATTTTACATGGTCTCCACCTATTGAAACGGTTAAAATAGAAACATATATGTTAATGTTACTTGAGAGCAAACGGGTGGTCATCTTACTACATACAAACTGTATTAAATTTATGTAATTTAGTCTAAAGCCATAAAATAAAAATACTTTTGTATTAACATTGAGTTCATAGAAACTGTAATTACACAAAGCTTTCAGTTTTGAAATTGTGAACATGTTGTGTATTCAAGAAATATTATAAACAAATATACCGTCATACCACCCTCCGCTCAGGTCATGGCCGTCTGCACCGTCACTTAGAGCGGAATCTCCACGCCATGGTATCGGGTTGTATGGAGGAAGTCTTCCAGATCTTTGAGCATCATAAAACAGGATGGACAATCTGAGGGCTTCCTTATAATCGTACTTCATTTTTGAAACTGTATGTTAAGAAAATGAAACGGAGCATATGAAATAGTCGCAAAACAACTTTGATTTTGAATTTACAATGCTTATTGATAGTAACAATACCTTGGACACGAAATGAGATTTGAGCTAAATTAATTTGCTTACAAATCAAACAAGTATTCAATAGCAATTTTATTTGTAAACCTGGCGTTCAACATTATGGCAATACTGCCAGTTATTGTTTCACAATTACAATCAAACGAACCTGGAGACGTTGTGCTAGTTGTCGAGGTGGGTGGTCTAGTGGTTGTGGTAGTTTTCTGGGTTGTTGTTGTAGTTGTTGTTTTGTCACTCTTTTTACCTAAAATTATACGTGTATAAATAATGTACATTAAGATAGTTCTAATCTTAAGAATATGTGTTTACTCTATGACTGAACAGATTGATTTTATGTTTGTGCGTTCTCACGTTCATGACTTCTTTTAGAGTGGCGACTACAAAAATGGAATTTTGGCACCAGCATAAAAAAAAGCATTCGTGAGATACAATAATAAATTGGTATCGTTTGCTCTAAGACATGCGACGGCAATTAATAAAGGGTTTTACACACTTGCAAGGCTTGAAAAATCAAAATATTTCAACAAACAGAGAGCCATTTTAAAAGAAATGTCACTGTACGAGGGTTCTGTATCGCCATATCATCGCATCTCTAATTAACACTGACTTTTCTGAACAATTCAGGGGTAAACAGGAACTGTTTTTAAACGTTTGCAGGTTGCGAACAATTTCACCTTAGACATTTTTTTTATTTTAGAAACGGTGACACATGCGCAGGAAACGTTTTCTTGTCTTATTTACCATCAACTGTATACGTTACATACGGTACTTGATCACCATTCTGTCGGACAACAAAAAGAAACGTCAAGGAAGAACCGGCAGCTAGATTTGAGAAATCCGTTAGAGGACGCAGGGTGAACTCTGTTCCATCACTATTTCTTCCTTCCACTGATAACTTATATACCTGTTGTAAGTGATATATTTTTCAAACATTTCATTGACAAAGAACTATGATACATTTAAAATATGTAATACCTATTGATATCTTTCTTTAATTAGATTGTGATGAAAAATTAAAACTTATCTGAACCGTTCTCGAGCTCTAAGAACTGGAGCCACGTGAGGAAACATGGCCGTGACATCAGTGATACTCGAACTCAGGATCGCAGGCAATTATAATAACTTCTTCCATCATAAAACAGTGAACGAGACCAAGTGAATTGGAATTTAAAACAATTAAAACTATTAATATGTGTACAAATTTACTGAAATAATGAGAAAGAAAACATTTCTTCTATTTCATTGAATTCTTAATTTGCCAGGATAACTTTATCTTTTTCGTATTTACATGATTATATATATATACAATGCATTGGCTATTGTAATTATAAGCGTATATGCTTGTTTTCTTTCCTTTTTTTGTCAAACCCCTTTTCTGGAGACCAAGAAATAGAATTTAAGGTCAATTCTTCATGGGTATCTTAACCAGTATTTGACCTAGTGTGGATTAAAGAAAATAAAGACTTTCACCTCTACAGATATTAATTGACGCATTGGACATCCGGTATGAGAATCTGGTTATTGTACAATAACAATACTTTTCTGAAAATGTTTCTGCGCTTTTTGCGCTGCGATTCCGAGATGTGACTATCTTTATTTACCTCTACATTATTAACAGGTCGGTCAAACTTGAGATGTACTCTCCAGTCGTGTAGCTCCCCATGAACAGTGATGTCTCCCTTGAACCCGCCATTCCAACTCTGCGTCACACTTGCTCGATTATCGGCGAGAGCACCGCCAAAAAGAACAACACACAAGATGATGTACATCATAGCGTTACTAAAAGAAATTATGAGAAGTTGTCTGTTATATAAAAAAGGTCTTCTTTTTCAAGTTATTAATGTTATCAGCATTGCCTTCTTTTCATATATTAAAACTAATTGTTGAATTAACTTAAATGGATTTATTGTTAAGATAATCACACGTAGTCATCTCTCATTCGTCATCTGTCGGTATTTGAGAATAATATTTAATATGACGTATCACCGATTTCTTTGCTATAAAGTAGCAAGGCGGCCAATTAAACCCGGTAGTTTAAATCATATTTCACCTGCTTCCTTTCAATATTTTTGGCGCAAGTAATTCGGCCAATGTCTGAGCGAAATGTGCAGTAATAAAAATTAAAACAATAAATATTTATAGGCGTTAGTGTTCTTATTAATTTTGTTGCCTTCACAAGGGTAGCCACTTCGCCTTTCTAACGTATGATCTTTAAAAGCAAACACTTTCCTCTTTGCAGTCGTCTGTGTTTATTCATCTTTTTCAGTTTGTTTGAATATGATGGTGCCTGAAAGCATTGGTCGTTTCGGCGTTCCTTTGCACCAGGGATTTATACAGTAAAATCGAATGCCCGAGTTGCAAATTAAATGAATACACAAACGCTCTAAGAAAGTAGCTATTGAATGATTTAGGTTATTCTTTACATTTCTACTGACAAAACAGATTATCGCATGGTTTGGAACTTTTCCTTTGTTCTTACTAACCCATTATACTCAATACACTTCCATGAGCATTTAAAAACTGTATTGATATATAGCAGTACAGTTTTTCATTGATTCATATGGGAAAAAAACTCGACGTTGACTTTTTTTCGTACCTTGTATATATCAGTGTAGTTTTATTTTCATAGAGGCTTCAATGGGGCAGTGGTAACGAACATTCCCAGTAGCAAAAAAATGGAATCAATAAAATAAAACAAGTACAAATGTTGCTGCAATGCAGCAATTGAGAAGCTCCGCGCAAAAAATGCGCTCATTACAGATACCTTACCATATTATTCCTACGCACAGGTCATGTTATATTCAGATTAAGTACTATTGTAGATTTTTTCCGAATGTTTTGTAAACCATTTTTTGCATAATTATACTTATCTTATGCACTGTCAATAATTAAAAATAGTGGAAAGATATTAAATACAAAAAAATGCTGTCACTGATGCCTACCTGGTAAGGAAAGTAATTCCATTGAATACAAACAAGACTTACAATACTTGTAAATGTTATGTGACATGACTGTACTGTGTTCTGTTTGTGTCACTACTGTAGTCAGTAACATAAGATGATAAAATATCAAAGACTGTTTTTATTATTATAATTGTAACAAATATACAAATAGTAACAAAAGGGACATGTATTTTTTCATGTCAAATAAAAAAAAATGGTTTCTTTCAATACTGAAAGTAGAACACACTCTGGAATGAAAAAATAGGATGAATTTCAAAAAGACCAAATTCAGGATTTTTTGTTTGTTACATACGCGCTACATGGTGATACGGTATCTATCAATATAATAGAAGACTGTTACCTGAATTTTAGGCAGGTATGAGGAAATTCACTAACATCATGTTCGTGCGAGTCAAAGATGTAAAAGCTATTTGACATTTTGACATTGGTGATATATATAAAAAACTATTGTAAATTGATTTATTGGGAGATCAATATACTTTTTTGTTGAATTGCTTTAAAACCATTCATAAAAACATTACACTTCATGTTTAACTGCAGATCAAAGATTCTGTTATCAATGATGCTATCTATCTAAAGCCTATGCTTAATGAGGGTCCATCCGCTCGTAAGGCCATAAATGCAGCTTTCGCTGTCGAGTACGGACCCCGGACATGCCACCAGTCATACCCTTAAAGAGTCAAAGTGGTATGCAATACCAATGACGCCAATGAAATGTAACAGTATATAATAAAGTTTAATTTTTTCAATACAACCAATATATCAACATGTTATTATTAAACATTTAATTTCATAAATATTAATTAAGAATAATTATCAAAAGCAAAAGCCTGTGGGCGCGGAGCAATAAATAAACAAATACAATGAAAAATATAAACAAAGATAATTAATGAAATGAAATTTACTCTCATTTAATCAAAAGGTACATCCGCTGAATGAATTATTTCCACGGAAAAAAAATCCTTTAATCTTGAATCATTATTGGTAACAGTCTACAATCCGCCTCTAACATTAGATGTCTTTTGTATATATTTTTGTTTTTGCGGCAGCGAAAACAACTTGAAAAAAACTGCCTTATCATAAATAACTAATGTAGCTAACGATTTATTTATTTATTTGTGCAAAAAAGAAAACATTATGCCATTGCCATAAAACAGTTATACATTGTAGTATATGAAACTCGTTAGTTACAAAGATATAACACTGGCTGGGCGACATCTCGGGATGTCTTCCTTGATTTCGCCCTAGCCAGTGTTATATCCTCGTAACTAACTCGTTTCATATGTTATAACTATCACTTATTTTTTTACGGGTAAGAAAAAGAAAAAGCATACCTTGATTTCAACAACCAGTCGGTTAATATTTATATGTCTATTACTACATAACGTTCCACTGACCTAGTTAAAGATAAGACCAATTTATCAAAATAAGACGTTACATTTGGTGATTAAATTTTAGATAACATACATATCTGCGAAAGCCCAGGAGAGGCATTTATTATTTAAAATATATTACTTATTATTTATCATTTATTATTTTATTTGTTTCTAAATACTTATTGTCCTTATTTTGTCCCATGTCAATACGAACATAGTTGTTTGTGGAAATCGCAAATATATGTGTTTCAGTGAGAAACGTTTGTCGATTTAGTAAAAGAATAAGCAAAGGTCCTGTCAGTGCCAAACAAGAAGCAAAATAGACGAAAATACACGGTGCAGTAAAAGATATAACTCCGAAAGGTAGGAGTTTTTCTGAAAGAAATTAGTTAAGACGACCTGTAAATTTATTTGTATATCTTTATTTGTCTGTAATGCACGTTAAACTTGACATGATCTCAAACATTATAGCAGAAACATTTAAAGCGAACAAAAAAGACAGTCATGACTCTGTTAAATAGAATAATTAATGTTTTAGAAACGTTGGCCGAGACTAATGTTTTGATGAATTTAATATTACATACTGTTCACCTTGATTAAATTGATATGTCGTTTCCAGAAAACCATAAAAAAGTCACATAAACATGGTGATCTGCCTCTTTGATTTGTGGGCAAAATTTTGAACAGCACATACAACTATTTTCGAATTATAAAATTTTTGTAAACGAAATGCATGCTTTGTACGTAAATAATAACTAATACATGTAATTTTTAAGAAATAAATGTTTCGCCAGGGTGCATATCTCACCTGTGTGGGTTTTCTTTATCTATGACACCGGCTTTAATAAAAAAAAAATCAGTATCAATCAAAGTCATTCAAAATGTTGTCAGAATGATTAAGCGAGCAATGCAAAATTGATTCTTGTCTTTTATACTCATGCTGGCCTTTAACATGGCAGTGTTTTCTATAAACATTTCCCTTTCATTTGCAATTGAAGTGGAACCTTATAAAAACTAAGATGATCATATTTTCTAATGATGTCTAATGTTCTTTTCCTATCGACTATCAAACATTAGCATTGTCTGAAATGACTCAAAAAACAACAATGACAACAACTTTAACCGGGAATGTATTTATTTACTACATACAGCACAAGCTAATTCTCTGCCATCTACATATGGCAGGCAGGGGAGAGAACCGCATGCTGCTTCTACAATATACAACAAGTTGCCATCTTCACTTTTACTTCCATGTGGTATGATCTCTGGATCCTTATCAACACATATATATTCACTCGATGATTGATAGGCCCGACTCATTGTCATAAGATATCCAGTATATTCCAAGTGCCAGCCTGAAATATAAAAAAACTATTGTGAAATCAGGCGATGGTGTTAGTCTTAGATATCAGCACAAAGTAAATTTGGCGGTGAAATTTGTTACTGATTCTCAGAGCTTCCTAAACTGCATTTCCTTAAATTAAATCGGTTCTTAGTTGGAAGCATGATACAGATTTTTTTAGCAAAGTAGGGTTAAATCATTCTATTCGATAGTGATTTAAGCGTGTAAATTATTCAAAACAGAATGAAATTTACTTTCATTCCTTTCATTGCAAGATATTTTCTCTTGAACTTTGTTGTAAGTGCAATCCTAAACAACAACATTAAAAACAAAAACAGCAACAACAATGCGTTTGAATTTAATTTTATCAATCAGATGTACCGTTGTAGCAACTTGTTCTTGCTGGTATCATAACAGTTGTCGCCCTTTGTGATTTGCAGACGACACAGGGGGCGTCCTCGTCATCTCTATGAACATTGAATGGGTTGAATGTTGACTCATAGTTATCTTCATACTCAGTACCATACATTCTGTTCCCTCTATCTTAAAGAACAACAAAATAAATACCGAAGATAAATTTCAAAGCTAATACACGGAAAGTCCGATATATATTTTGAATAATTCATTTCATATTGAGACTAGAAATGTGTCCATAGGACACGGGTGCCCCCACACTCCACTGTTTTGTCAATCTTATGACTATAGGTCAAATATTTTTGGGCTACATGTGCCACAAGTTGAAAACTAAAAATATTTTAATAAGTAAATACTGAATAAATCCACAAGCGAACCCCTGCATAAGTACATATGCTGACCAACATTCAAGTAAACTTTCAGGCCTATATGTCAAATACTTTTTGAGGTATGCATGAACAAGTTGAAAATTGCAAAGTTGTTCTAAGTCAAGGGCAATAACTCTTAACTTAACTAAAATAAAAAATCTACATGCAAAATCCCAGGTGCATAGCTTCACAGTGATGTTGATCATTATTCCTGTAAAGATGGTTGATTCTAACTCAAGTACACTCAAGGAACAATAACATAACATAATGAAACGATTTTTACTAAGTAAAGGGCAATAACTCTACAAATACTGGATAAATCCACAAGCGAAACACAAGGTGCACAAATACACTTGCTGACCAACATAAATATTAAGTTTCATGACTCTAGGTTAAATAAATTTTGTGCTACGCACGACACAAATTGAAAATTGCAAATTTTCACGAAGTCAAGGGCAATAACTCTGACAAAACGTATAAATTCACAAGTGAAACCCTAGGTGCACAACTCCACATGCTGATTAGCATTCCTGTAAAGTTTCATAACGCTAGGTCAACTACTTTTTGAGCTACCTGTGACACAAATTGAAAACTGCAAAAGTCAAGGGCAATAACTCAGTCAAGACAGAATAAATCCACAAGCGAAACTCCAAGTGCACAACATGCTTAGCAACGTTTCTGCAATGTTTCATGACTCTAGGTTAAATACTTTTTGAGTTACGTGCGACACAAATTGAAAATTCCAAATTTTTACTTAGTTAAGGGCAATAACTCTAAAAATACTACATAAATACACACAAAATACCCAGGTGCACAACTTCACATGCTGATCAACATTCCTGTAAAGTTTCATGACTCTAGGTCAAATACTTTTTGAGTTAGGTGCGACACAAATTGAAAATAGCAAATTTTTACTAAATCAAGGGCAATTACTCTAAAAATACCTAATAAATCCACACGAAAATACCCAGGTGCACAACTTTACATGCTGATCAACATTCTTGTGAAGTTTCATGACTCTAGGTCAATTACTTTTTGAGCTTCATGCGACACAAAATGAGAACGGACGCACGGAAGGACGGACGGACGTTCTAACGGGACAGTAATTATGTGGCTACTCTATTGTTCTTTCTATTGTTCTTTTTAGCCACACAAAATAAAATAGCCACATAAAAGCATTACGGAATGAATGACATCAAAGAGAAAGAACAGTTACCTATTGTCCCTCTAGCCACATCATTACTGTCCCGTGAGAGTGAATGAACGGACGGACGGACCAGGGTAAATCTAATTGTGGGGGCACAAAAATTAGGTGCTACCTTTGACGCGGAAAGCCCTTACGATTTAATATCAAGCATAAAGTTTTCAATATCTAAACCAGATTTTTCCTGGACTTCGTAAATAATAAAAAAAAAGATTTTTTTGTACAGTAAAAAAGATATAAATGAATTGGTGGTGTTCAACCTATCATAGAGTGTCATAGAGTGTTTCCGAATATCTCGTCCGACATTTTGTTAGAGTTGTTGTTTTTACCTTATTTAAACGTGATGATTTATCAGAGATAGATATTAAAAAGAGTGACTTTTTATGTTAATCATTGTTACACTTTAGTTCTTATCAATGGTTATATTTTTTTTTTCACACTTCTACCAGAATCAAAATTTAGGTTAGAAGGTTTTTTTGAAAAGAAACAACTATTTTTCCTCTTTTAAAAATCATAAAACGGATCCTTTGTTACACCGAACAACCTCTGTAGGTGACTATTGAATAAATTACGAAGCACTGAGGGTACCTTGAAATCCGTCTAAGTATTTTGCCCATTGGGGATCTTCAGGCATACATACATAGTTTGCTGGACCTCCAGTATCTCCATACCATTTTCCTCCTGTGTAACCTTTGAAAAAGATGATGTTTAGATATAACTGTCATTTTTCTATCAATCAGTTATGTCACAGGTTCTGTGGAACCAAACTGCAAAGCTAAACGAACTGCGTGTAAGTTAGTATCTCCAAAGCTATTGGAGAGAACGGGTTGACACCTGTTTGACATCATAATAGTTCACTGTGCAAAATCCATCAATCTAACTAAAATTTTGACATAATTATTGCCCTGTTTGAACTTAAAAATTGCCCTGTTTAAACTTAAAAAAGTTCTATACTTGTTTTACTATCAAGGTCCAAGAAAACTCTTGTGTGTTGTCATTCTGACAGCTCTTGTCTTATTTGCATTTCGTAAGGTTAATGTTTGGCGCTGTTGCAGGAATAATCAAATTCTTTAAAAAATGAAACTTGATAGTTAATTTATCATTATTCTTTAAGAAAATCAACGAAAAGTCCGTATGTTTTGGCTGACCTTTGTAAACAACGCTGGAATTGCTGGAACATTCTGTACGCCCCCATCGTACATACGTACTTCCCATATCTGCAAAAGAATTCCCCTAAGGTGATCAGTAAAGATTATTGTAGATTAAAACAGTTGCTAATGTAAAATGAACATTTTTGTTGGGTTTTAAAGCAGTTATACTCTTGAATCCTTATAAAGTATGTTTTTCGTTCAGATAAATGCATCGTAAATAATCGCTCTGGCCAATGACATTAGGTCTACATGTCTTTAGGCAGTCAAGATGTCTTTTTGCAAACGCATGACGTTAAGGATATTCAGCCAATCAGAGCGTTATACGATATTATATTTGACGCCATTACCAAAATTAAAATATAAACGTCAAAGATGTCAGGGAAGTCAATATTATACTTGTACATGTATATGCTGACTAAAATTCATCGGCTTGTGGGGAATTATCTCTTGTGGGAAATTAATCACACCAGTGGTTTCATATAAATCCACATAATTAAGATGTTTTACAATTTCAAAATAAATATATTAATAAAGAACATCACCTTGTTTTATTCCTTGAACATCTTGAATGACCTTCTTGACTTCATTTTCTATGTCTAGTTCTCCGTCCAAAAGGTAACGCCTGTTACGTTCTTTCTCTGAAATGAACACACACTTCGAGAAAAGTTTTCATTTTATCCATTTAATATTTGTTTTTATATTTCTAGACATTTGAAACCACACTATTTCAACGTTTATGGAATAGACAAGAAGTTTATACAACTGAAAGGCTATTTACCAGCATTGTGTTCTAAATCGACGACTTGTTGCCGAAGTTTAGAAAATTCCTTCTCCAACTGAGAAAACCTTTCTTGTAGTTCCCCACATTCGTTACCGTCTGTTTGACATATAAAGAAAACTACGACTAAAATTCTAAAACACAAACGTTTAGCTTTATACATGATCGCTTGTACAATATCTCATACAATGGGTTCTTTTGCAATCTGTCATATCTCAACTAAATCAAAACTATTATCTTATCTTCTTATTACTTTAGTATTTACTTTAGCTTAATTGCACTTCAGTGTAAAGGGTCGTTTACATTGCGTGACTACTCAAAACGAAGTTCAAACTGTTAGGGGAAAGGATTTACACAGATAACAGACCGTAGTCTAGTGAATTCTCAATAATTACTCAACATGACCCACGTTACAAGAACAGAGAAATCATAGATCTTTACCATTCGTCCTTTAAAAACAAAATTACTTATAAAATAGAAATGCTGAAGAACCTTATAAATGTTGCAGGTTGTACCGTCCATGTACTCTACTTACATTGCAATGTTTCTTCCACGCAATCTACTGTCCATGCAATCTAACGCCAACGCCATCTACAAGAATAGAAAAATCATATATCCTTTTGATACACATATTCAAAAATCTGTCCTCGCAATCTACCGTCCATGCAATCTTTTATCCACACAATTTACCGTCATCAAAAATTTACCCCCCAAAGGGAAATTCGATATTTTTTTCATTTTTTATTTACACTGGGCACGGGAAAATTTTTTAATTTAAATAGCCAAAATTTTTTACGCCTAAAACAAAAACTAAATGTAAGTGTTTCCTTTCCAAAACATTTTGAGGGCCGTGCAAAACCTTTTTTTTTAAACAAATGTTTAAAGGGTGAACAACCTGGCTAAATGTGGGAAGAAAAACGGGTAGGAAGATTTAATTTCATAAATTTCTTTTAAGTTAAATCGTGATTAAATAAAACTGGCTTTGGTTAAATTTCCCTGATTTAAAAAACGTGAATTCTTTAAAAGTACATTGGGGAAATTCTGTATTTTTTAAAATAGGGGAATTCATAAAGTTGACATTGCGAATTCTGTATGTTAGAATCGTGAATTCATGAAGTTGACATTGAGAATTAAGTACGTGAATTCAAGAAGTTGAAATTGAGAATTTTGTATGTTAGAATCGTGAATTCATGGAGTTGACATTGAGAATTATGTACGTTAATTCATGAAGTTGACATTGAGAATTCTGTACGTTAGAATCGTGAATTCATGAAGTTGACATTGAGAATTATGTACGTTAATTCATGAAGTTGACATTGAGAATTATGCACGTTAATTCATGAAGTTGACATTGAGAATTTTGTATGTTAGAATCGTGAATTCATTAAGTTGGCATTGCGAATTCTGTATATTAGAATCGTGAATTCATGAAGTTGACATTGAGAATTATGTACGTGAATTCATGAAGTTGACATTGAGAATTCTGTATGTTAGAATCGTGAATTCATGGAGTTGACATTGCGAATTCTGAATGTTAGAATCGTGAATTCATGAAGTTGACATTGTTAAAATTGTTTTTTTAAACTATTGTTTGAACTGAACAACCTTGTTAATGGTTGTTTGTACACGAAACACGAAAGAATTTATGAACTTGAAATCGTGAATTCATTAATTGACATTATGAAGTCTGTATACATGAAGCTGACATTGTAAATTCTGTATGTTAGAATCGTGAATTCATGAAGTTGACATTGAAAATTCTGAATGTTAGAATCGTGAATTCGTGAAGTTGACATTGAGAATTGTGAATGTTAGAATCGTGAATTCATGAAGTTGACATTGAGAATTCTGTATATTAGAATCGTGAATTCATGAAGTTGACATTGAGAATTCTGAAAGTTAGAATCATGAATTCATGAAGTTGACATTGAGAATTCTGCATGTTAGAGTCGTGAATTCATGAAATTGACATTAAAAATTCTGTATATTAGAATCGTGAATTCATGAAATTGACATTGAGAATTCTGAATGTTAGAATCGTGAATTCATGAAGTTGTCATTGTAAATTCGTGAAGATAAAACCTGAGAATTCATGAACTTAAAATGTCAACACCGATCTTTCGTACAAATGCCCTGGAATTTTTGTGTAATTTACACACATGTCGTCTCTGTGCCACAGTAGTATCTTTTCTCCAATTGTAACACCTAATTTAAAAAAATTTCTTCAGTTATTTTTTGTCTCTTGTTTCCCTGTTTTATCATTGATAATTTATTTTTGTTAAATATCCTAACCCAACTGACGACAAAATTGCCTCCATTTTTAAAAAACGGAGTAAGAACAGTTTCACCCTAATCAAATTATTCCGGTCAACAACCAGGTCATCTATAAATAGTTCAACATCATTGTAATGAAATATCATACAACCATCAGAATATTATTACCATTTATAAAAAGAAGAACAACACCATATGTAAAAATAATATCACCATTTTTAAAAAGAACACCACACATATAGCAAAATAGTATCACCATTCATCATATAGCAAAATAGTTTAACCATTCATAAAAAGAACATAACCATATAGCAAAACAGTATCACCATTTATAAAAAGAACATAACCATTTAGCAAAATAGTATCACCATTTAAAAAAAGAACATCACCATAAAGCAAAATAGTAACTCCATTTATAAAAAGAACATCACCATATAGCAAAATAGTATCACCATTTATAAAAAGAACAACATCATATAGCAAAATAGTATTACCATTTATAACAAGAACATCACAAAGTATCAAAACAACAGCATCATCTATCAAAATTACAGCACCATTGATCAAAACAACTGCACCATATGTGGCTGTGAAACGTGGCTAAACCCAACAATCTATGATGCTGAAGTTCTTCCAACTAACAGCAACTACACCATTCACCGTAAAGATAGACCTGATGGCTATGGAGGGAGCCTCATTCTTGTTAAGGACAACATTGTCAGCGAACCAGTCGAAGTCAACACTCCATGTGACATCCTATTCCAGAAAATTGAATGCATCAATAAAGAGACCCTCATCATCGGCTCAGCTTACAGACCAACTAATAATGATGAAGAATATTCAAGACATCTATTCAATGCCATCTCACACATCTGCAACAGATTTAAAAATGCTACTATTTGGATTGCAGGTGACTTCAATCTACCAGATATTAATTGGTCAAACAACGCAATCAATGGACACCAATACAGGAAAGCAATAAATGAACAATTTCTTCTCCTAGAACCTGAACTAGGCCTCACACAAATTGTTGACTTCCCTACAAGAGGTGACAATATACTTGACCTTTTCCTCACCAATCGACCACAACTTGTCAACCGCTGTACAGCAACCCCAGGGATAAAAGCCGACCACCACGCCATATTTGTTGACACCAACATGTGTGCCACACGTATTAAACCAACAAAGCGCACCCTGTACATGTGGGGGAAGGCCAACATTAATACCATTTAAAGAAAAAAGCAAAGCCTTATCAGATACCTTACTAGAGAAAATCAACCCCTCTTCAGACATTAATTACATCTGGACTATTTTCAAAAATGGCTGCCAAAAGATCATTGAAGATGAAGTCCCACATCGCCAAAGTGCTCAAAGATTCAATCAGCCATGATCAACCGGGATATAAGGCGAATTACCAGATTTAAAACGAAGGTGGTTCCGGCGCGCCAAGAACTCAAACTCCACTTCTGACTGGTCAAAATATAAAGATATCAAAAGGAAAGCCCAGCGCCTATGCAGATCTGTCCACGATGCCACACATATCAGACATGCTCCAGCCAGACCATCAAAACCCAAAAAGTCTTCTGGAACTACATCAAATCCAAGAAGAAAGACAACTTTGGTGTGTCTCCACTCAAGAAGGACGGGTTGGCATACAGCGATGGTAAACAGAAAGCTGAACTTCTAAACAACCAGTTCACCTCTGTCTTCACCAAAGAGGACATGGCTCAACGCCCTACTCTTCCCCCAAGTTGCCTTACCAACTCTAAAACCTATACATGTCACGATTAAGGGCGTCCAGAAACTTCGTCGAATCTTAAAACCAAAACAAGGCTCCAGGGCCCCGACAAGATAACCCCCCTGGGGGGCCCCCCCCCCCCTCAAACCCTTTCAATAGAAGAGTTGGGCTCCAGGCCAGCAAAGCCATTCCCAAATGTCCCCTGGGTTCAAAATTCAGATCCACTTTACTGGAAAAACCGCCCTTGGGTTTACCTGTCTTCAAAAAAAGGGAAAAACCGGGTCAAACACCAATTTCCAAAACAGCCATTTTTCTCTAAAAAATCAGTCCCCCCCTGCAAAGTCTTGGAACACCCTCATCTTCAGGCCCAAAAATAATTTTCTCATTTTACTCCCAAAAACAACATCCTCTCTGACTCCAACCCTGGGGTTTAGAAAAAAACCGCTCCTGTGGGCACTTCCACTTTAATTTAAACCCTCCCAAATCCCTTTGCCAAAGGGGAAAAAGATAACAACCATCAAATTGACGCTGTTCTGCTTGACTTCCTCAAAGCATTTTGATAAAGTTCTTCACACTCACGTCTCCTTCAGAAACTGGACCATTATGGATAAGAGGCAGCATCAACCCACTCCTGGGATTGAAGACTTTCTTCTCGTCGCGCACACAACAGGTTGTCCTTGTAGGGCCTTCCTTTTTTTCAGCTACCTCACCTGTCACCTCTGGTGTCCCCTCAGGGCAGCCGTCCCTTGGGGCCCTCTTCTTTTCCTGGCCTACATCAAATGATTTACCATATCGAAAGTCCAATCCACGGCTCGAACTCTTCGCCGATGATTGCCCTCCTGTACAGAAATCATCCGTAGCCCTGAGGACTCACGCCAACTCCAACATGACCTTGGATAGTCTCCAATCCCTGGGGGATGAATTTTGGGAGATGGCCTTTTTTAAACCCCCGGGCAAATGTGAAGTCATCCAAATTTCCCCAAAAAAAAAAAACCTATTTTCTAACACCTTTTAGCATCCCGGAAAAAAACTCAACACTGCCCGATCATGTCAAATATCTTTGGGGGTCACCTCTCTTCAGACCCCTCATGGGAAAAAAAAATATCGATAACCCTCACAAAAAAGGGTAACTCCAAACCCTGTCATTATTTAGGCGAAAAAATCGATCTAGCCCCCCCAAGCCCCAAAATCTAATGCCTTCCCAAAACATATATCCAAAACCTAACTGTTGAATACGCCCCAAACTGTTTTTGGTCCCCCCCCCTCTGAGGGTTCCCTTTTCAAACCCAAAATTTGAAATGGGGCCCCCCCGGGCCCCCGCTGCAAGGGTTTTGTGAAAAAAAGAAATACAAAACGAAAAAGCAGGGGGCCAAACCGACATGCTTAAACCCGACCTTCCCAAAGGGACCCCCGGGCGGGAAAAACAACCCCGAACAACTTTTGTTTCCCATGTGTCTTTAAAATAATGCACAACCTTGGGGGAATTATCCCAAAATTTCCCCCAACTTATCAATTTCTAAGAATGTCCCGAGGGCACAACCCAAAGCTCCCCGGGCCCAAAACAGAAACACGCCCCCTCCATCTTCCAAAATAGTTTTTTTTTCCCGCAAAAACCCTCCCCTGCTTTGGGGGCAAGCTGCCGCCCAAAAGTTGTTTACCAACCAAACTGGGGTCTTTCCAAAACAGCTTGGCCCCGCCCAAAAATATTAAAAAACTTTAAACACGGGGTTTGTTTTTACCCCTTTTTTTTTTAAAAGAAACCCGTAAATTGGGAAAACCTTTTTTTTTTTTATTTTGGAAAACAGTCAGTCCTGCCTGCTGCGTATGTATATACAGTTTTTACCCAATTGCGAGTATACTCCTTGCGGAGTGATGCAATCACTTGAGATGATGATGATGATGATGATAAAACACGACCAGGTACCAAAGTACCACCACCATATATCAAAACGACATCACCATTTATCATTACCGCAGCACCATTTATCCAAACCAGGGCACCATCTGTCAAAACCACAAGACCAATTATTAAAATGACATCACCATTTATTAAAACGACAGCACCATCTTTCACAACAACACCACCATTCATCAAAACCACAAGACCATTTATCAAAACCACAGCACCATATGTCAAAACAACAACACCATTTATCCAAATCACAACACCATTTAGCAAAAGGACATAACCACTTTAGAAGTATGTATATAAGGCAGTTATGACGTTCCATAGTCCTAGTTAAAGATAAGACCTGACGTATACATTTGGTGATAGAAGAGTTGAAATTGAATTTTAGATAACATACATATCTCCAAGGAAGGGCATTTATCATTTAAAATCTATTACTAATTATTTATCATATATATATATATATATAAAACAAAAAACACAGTCCATGAATAAACTTATTTAATATTTGCCAACCGGTTTCTCTTACGATTCATAAATTTGTTTTGTAATAGGAATCAGCAAAACAAAAAGCAAACAAAAACAAAAATAGAAACCCCAAGATAAAATGAACCAGAAAAGAATGAAACAAGATATGCAACCCTTGACAATTTAAAAACGTCAAATGTTAGAGACGGATTGTAAACTGATACCTTGTGGAGAAAGTAATATTGATTCAAGATTTAAGGACTTTTCATGTGGAATTAATTCATTAAGCGGATGTACCTCTTGATTTTAGCAGTTGTATATATGAGAATAAATTTTCTTTCATCCATTATCTTTCTTTGTATTATTCGGAATATTCGTTACTGATGCCTCATTGGAGCCACTGTGAAAAAAAAACTCAACCGAAATATAGCAGGACGAGGTGCAAAAAACTCAACTGTTATATATCAATTGCGTTTTTTCCTATAAGAGTCAATGAAAAAAACAACTGCACTGCTATATATTAACACAGTTTCAAATGCTCATTGAAGTGTTTTGAGTATAATGGGTTAGTTAGAACAAAGAAAAAGTTCGAAACCATGCGATTATTATTGCATATCAAAACAAACATAGTTGTTTGTGGAAATCGTACTTATATATTTTAAGTGTGCAAACGTTTGTCATTAACACTTAAGATTAAGTGATCGAAAAAATTAACAAAGGCACACGGTAAGCAAAATAGACGAAAATACATGTTGCAGTAAAAGATATAACTCCGAAAGGTACGAGTTCTCTGAAAGAAATCATTTTCAAAGGACCTGTAAATTTATTTGTATCTTATTTGTCTATAATCTACGTTAAACTTGACATGATCTCACACATGATAACACAAACATATTATTGAACAAGAAAAATACATGACTCTGTTAGATACTAGAACGTTGGCCGAGACTAAAGTTTTGACTACATCATCTCAATGACATATTATTCACCTTGATTTAATTAATATGTCGTTTCAAGAAACCATTCTCTGAAAGAAAAAATCACTTAAACATGGTGAACTGCCCCTTTGACTTAGAACAACAAATTACTGTTTCCTATGATAAAACAATTTTAATCGGAAATGCATTTATTTACTACAAACAACACAAGCTAATTCTCTGCCATCTACGTATGGCAGGCAGGGGAGAGAACCGCATGCTGCTTCTACAATATACAACAAGTTGCCATCTTTATCTGTACTTCCGTGCGCTGTAACCTCTGGATCCTTATCAACACATATATATTCACTTGATGAATGATAGGCTCGGCTCATTGTCATAAGATATCCAGTATATTCCAAGTGCCAGCCTGAAAAAAATAACATAAATAATCGTTTCACGCGAGGCCATCAACTCAAAGTCTAATGACGGTCTGAATTTGCTGCTGATTCCAAGGTGGCTTATTTACGCCATGTCGTATTTTCGCTTCTTTGCCTCCGGCTTTTCGCCTTTTCGGATTTTCGAGGCGACAATACGACACGTAAAATCTATTTGTCGTCAATTTGCAATTTATCTGTCGTATTTTCGCTTTTTCGCATTGTTGCATTTTGACTTTTTCGCATTGTTGTGTTTTCGGTTTTTCCCATTGTTGTATTTTTACATTTTTTAAATTTAATTTTTATAATAAATGCAAACCAATCGGAAAACAATACAATTACAAATAATTGAAAAAGGATACCATCGTGGTCGCTATAGTCGGCCATTGTTATTTTGGCATATGTGTTATTGATGTCTTCATGCACATCTACAACCGGAATGGAAAATGTAACAATGCGAAAAAGCAAAAATGCAATAAATGCTAGAATGTTACAATGCGACAAAGCGAAAATACAACAATGCGAAAATGTATCAATGCGAAAAAGCGAAAATGCAACAGATGGAATGCAAATATACAACAACTATTGTATGTCGTATTTTCGCCCCCACACGTCGCATTTTCGTTTTTTGCCCTAAAATCCGAAAAAACTTTGTCGACCCTTTGTGTTTTTGCATGTGCGCATTTTGAGGCGAAGATACTTCATGGCGTAAATCAGCCACCATACTTAACTGTAAATCCTTAAAATAAAAAGGGATAGTTCTTAACTGGAAGCAGGATAACGCCCTTTAAGCACAAAGGTAGGGTAAAATTTAAATGTGTATTTTTTTACAGAATGAATACCTTTCATTGCAAGACATTTTCTCTTTACCTAAAATTCTAAACAACAAAAATAAAAACAGCAACAACAATTGCATTTGATTTTGAGAAGTACCGTTGTAGCAGCTAGTTCTTGCTGGTATCATAACAGTTGTCGCCCTTTGTGATCTGCAAACGACACAGGGGGCGTCCTCGTTATCTCTATGAACACTGAATGGGTTGAATGTTGACTCATAATTATCTTCATACTCAGTACCATACATTCTGTTCCCGATATCTTAATGAACAACAAATTAATATCGAAGATAAATTTCAAACCTCAAATGAAATTAGGTGCTACCTACAACGCGCAAAGCCCTTATGATTGAATGAAAGCATAAAGTATTCAATATCAAAACCAGACTTAGTTAATAATTAAGTTAATGCAGTTTTTTGTACAGTAAAGTAAATATATAAATTGGTGATGTTTAACCTATCATAGAAGTGTTCCAATGGGTTCCGAATATCTTGTCCGCCATTTTTGTTAATCTCTATCAGAGTTGTTGTATTTTTCTTATTTAGACATGATGATTTTATCAAAAAATGGATATAAAGAAAGTCACTTTTTATTCAAATCATTGCAACTTTAGTTTATATCAATGATGATAATATTTATTTACTAATTTTCTTCATCTCACTTCTACCGGAAGTGTAATTTAGAAAAACTATTTTTCCTCTTATAAAAATCATAAAACATGAGGTGCCAACGAACAGCCTCTGTAGTTGACTATTGAAGAAATTACGAAACACTGAGGGTACCTTGAAATCCGTCTAAGTATTCTGCCCATTGGGGATCTTCAGGCATACATACATAGTTTGCTGGACCTCCTGTATCTCTATACCATTTCCCTCCTGTGTAACCTTAGAACAAAAAGATGATGTTTAGATATAACTTTCATTTTTCTATCTAAAGTCAGTAATGTCACATGGTAACAAAGGTATCTGTTATACCAAACTACAAAGCCAAACAACAGAAGAACTAAAATGGCATTGTAAATGAAAATATCTTTTCGTGGAAACTATTAGAATTCCATAATATTTGACTAAAATATAAAACTTTTTTTTTCAGATGATAATGTACAATTATAGTTCAATTACCCTCATCAATTATGTAAGCAAAAACACTTTGATTGTTGTCGGAACCCTTCACAAGAATACGGAATTTTCAAACTTCAATAGTTTTGTATATTTGGAAAAGGCCTATATTATCACATCCATTTCATCAGCGATGGGATCTAGATCCTCTATTTCATGCAAAAATAACAGTTGCAACTAGTAACCATTTGTAGCCCATACATTCAAAAAGTAGGGACATCTTTTGTTATTACCAAGGCATAGCCGTCGCTATCACACTTTGGTTAGGTTTTTTGCGTTAGTATCTCTAAAGTTAGTATCTCCAAAAATATTGAAGGGAATGGGTTGACACCTATTTGAGAGCATAATAGTTCACTGTGCAAAGTCTATCACTCTAACAAGAATTTTGACAGAATTATTGCTCTGTTTGAACTTCAAAAGTTCTATACTATCCAGACTCTTGTTTTACTATCAATGTCTAAGAAAAAGTTAGCGTGCTGTCATTCTGACAGCTCTATTTGCATTTCGTTATATTTATGTTTGGCGCTGTTGCAGGAAAAACCACATTCTTTAAAAAATGAAACTTGATAGTTAATTTGTCATTATTCTTTAAGAAAATCAACGAAAAGTTCGTATGTATTGGCTGACCTTTGTAAACAACGCTGGAATTGCTGGAACATTCTGTACGTCCCCATCGTACATACGTACTTCCCATATCTGCAAAAGAATTCCCATAAGGTGACCAGTAAAGATTATTGTAGATTGAAACAGTTGTTAAGGTAAAATGAATATTTTTGTTGGGTTTTAAAGCAGTTATACTCTTGCATCCTTATAAAGTAGCGAAAATGTTTTCGTTCAGATAAATGCATCGTAAATAATTGCTCTGGCCAATGACAGTAGGTCTACATGTCTTTTTGCAGTCAAGATGTCGTTTTGCAAACTCATGACGTTAAGGATATTCAGCCAATCAGAGCGTTATACGATATTTTATTTAATTCCTTACCATTGAAAATATAAACTAAAGATGACAGTGTTTTCCTACTATTCCAGTCACGAAGTCAATATTCATATTTTTACATGTAATGCTGACATAAAATCGAATGGCGGAGTAAAATCTCATATTTCATTTTATAAGCACATTCTACGATGTTTATTTGAAAAAAATCTTTTTAAAAGAAAACAACTTTTTTTTCTTGAATTTTGTTTTTGAAAATTTCTGTTTAGTCTCGTCAAAGAAAAACCTGCGTCTTACTTGAAAAAACTTAATCCTGCGAGAATATTTTAATTCATTAATTAACCTTATACAGACGTTTAAAGCACATTTTTAATTTTATGGAATGCACAAATTTTAAGCGCACAAACGACGACGTGCTTAGAAAATTCTTCTCGCACTGTAAATTGCATTGTAGCCCAACATTCGTTACCGTTTTCATATGAATAAAAAACTAAAATTAAAAAAGGTTATTTTTGCGCTTGTAAATATCATAATGTTTTTCACTTCAACCAATATAATAAAATTGAAACATTATTTCAACTCTTCGTTACTTTTGAAATAGTGTGGCCTTTTAATATGTGTCTCAAAAATATATCCAAAGATTTCACAGCAAACGAAAAAATTCTTTATAATTACGCCAATACCAAAATTAAAAAAAATCAAAGATCCTTTTTCGCCTACTTCACACAATCAATTATAGACTAGTAAATGTAAGAACGACTTATAAATATCAGGCTTTGTTGAATTAATCTCTGTGACAAATCTGCTACCAGTGTTTCATCAAATAAATCCAACAAATTAAGCAATTTAGTAGCAATTTCAAAATAAATATAATAAGAAGAACACACCTTGTTTTATTCGACACTTGATGACTTTCTGACATCATTCTATGTTTAGGTTCGTCCAAAAACGCCGTACGCTCTCTCTGAATGAACACACCTTCGAGAAAGTTTTGATTTATTCATTTAATTATCTTATTCAGACATTTGAACCACACTATTTTAATGTTTATGGAATAGACAAAAGGTTATTTACCAGCATTTTGTTCTAAATCGACGACTTGTTGCCGAAGTTTAGAAAATTCTTTCTCCAACTGAGAAAACCTTTCTTGTAGTTCCCCACATTCGTTACCGTCTGTTTGACATATAAATAAAACTACGACTAAAATTCTAAAACACAAACGTTTAGCTTTATACATGACCGCTTGTACAATATCCCATACAATGGGTTCTTTTGCAAACTGTCATATCTCAAATAAATGAAAACTTTTATCTTATCTTCTTATTACTCTTGAATTAACTTTTGCTGAACTTTCACTTCAGTGTAAAGGGCCGTTTACATTGTGTGACTACTCAAAACGAAGTTCAAACTGCTAGGGGAAAGGATTTACACACGATAACAGACCGTAGTCTAGTTAATTCTTTATAATTACTCAGCAACATGACCCACGTCACAATAATAGAAAAATCATAGATCCTTTCCATTCGTCCTTTAAAAACAAAATAACTTATAGAATAGAAACGCTGAAGAACGCTTATAAATATTGCAGGTATTGTTGAATTCAATCTGCAGGTCACACAATCTGCTACCATAGAAATTTACCATCCAAGCAATAATAATCCACAACAAATACCGTCCATGCAATTTACCGTCCATGCAATTTACCGTTCATACAATATTCTATCCGTGCAATTTACCATCCACACAATTTATCTACCTACCTCGCGGAATCTACTGTCCATGCAATTTAACGCCCACGCCATCTACAAGAATAGAAAAATCATATATCCTTTCTATAAACATATTCAATAACCTGTCCTCGCAATCTACCCTCCATGCAATCTTTTATCCACACAATTTACCGTCATCGAAATTTACCGCCCAAGAAATTCGATATTTCTTTCATTATTTATTTACACTAGCACTGACATATTTTAATTAATAGCCTAAATCTTTTACAGCCTCAACTAATACTCACATAAGTCCTTCCTGCAGACATGTGACGCATGCATATCTTTTTTTAAACTAATGTTTGAACTGAAAACCTTGTTAATGGTTGTTTGTACACAATTACACGAAATAATTTTCGTGAATTCATTAAGTTGACGTTGTGAATTCTGTATACATGAAGCTGACATTGTAAATTCTGTATGTTAGAATCGTGAATTCATGAAGTTGACATTTTAAATTATGTATGTTAGAATCGTTAATTGAAGTTGACATTGAGAATTCTGAATGTTAGAATCGTGAATACAAAAAGTTGACATTGAGAATTCTGTATATTAGAATCGTGAATTCGTGAAGTTGACATTGAGAATTCTGAATGTAAGAATCGTGAATTCATGAAGTTGTCATTGTAAATTGGTGAAGATGAACCCCAAGAATTCATGAACTTGAAATGTCAGCACCGATCTTTCGTACGAATGCCCAGGTATTTTGGTGTAATTTAGGTCTAAGAGAAAAGTAGATAATTGATGTACTGGCCATAAATTTACATTAATTTATGTACAGAACGTTCTGTAAGCAAATGTTGTGTGGGGTTAGCAACATCGATTTGAAATAGAAATATCTCTAGATTTGATGTAAATAACATACGTCTTCCATGTGTAAATATAAGTTAGAGAAATATGTTTAATATGCACAAAAAACCCACATCTCTTTGCTAGACAAATCTTCAACATCTGTGATTTATGGCTTGGTCATCGTGTAATAAAATTTCAAACGTAAGTGTTTTAACTATTTAATATTACCTGCATTATAATAACTATGCATCACTAAAGCAATGGACTATAAAAGCCATATTTCAAATAGTTGGCTATAGCAAATGAAGACGAGGCTTTTATTTTTTTATTCGATATATAAGACGATTCGCGAAAATGTTCAATATTGTTATAATTATCTTCAGTAATGTATGCTGTGCACTTCATCATTACATGGTGAGTTCTTTTCCAGGAAATATGATTGGTAAAAAAATGGCCTCAAAGAAATGATAAACAATTCTAATCGGAAATATATTTATTTGCTACAAACAGCACAAGCTAATTCTCTGCCATTTACGTATGGCAGACAGGGGAGAGAACCGCATGTTGCTTCCACAACATACAGTACGTTGCCATTATCATTTCTACTTCCATGCGGTGTAGCCTCTGCGTCTTTATCAACACATATATATTCACTTGATGAGTTGAATTGCCGACTGGTTGTCATGAGATATCCAGTATATTCCAAGTGCCAGCCTGAAAAGAAAAATAACATGACTTACGTTGTGAATGTAAGCGGCAGTGATGTTTTGACTAAAACTAAGTTGCCTAAGAGCAAATACATTTTCGACCGCAGGGACATGATTTACTAGTATATACCTTATCTGGAGGACTACCAGACAATGCTACAAATTAAATTACCCAGCTTTGAAAATTGTAGTTTTCAAAGTAAAGGTTTACCCCGTCCGAGCTTTGCCTTGTGCCCTGTCCCATTTTTATTTGTGTCCTGCTGGGCTCCTTGTCGGTGGTCCTGTGTTGCTGGGTCATGTGGGGTCGCATTCAATGAACGCCACACTTCCTTGTTGGTCTTGTTTTTCATATTACATGTATTTCCCTATATAAGTCTATTTAAACTAAGGAAAATCTGTGACGGGATCAAAGTTAACTACAGGGTAATGGTTAATAATAATTTTGCAGAGGATCACAAGGTTATGCTACCTTTTATCTATACTTTGAATTCTAAATTTTAGAGGGAACCTATCTTTAAGACGTATTCACTTAACAGTCAGTAAATTCAGTGACCCTTATTTAAGCGTGACCATTTTTTCCTCAATGGACAGATTTAGAAAACCTTTGATAACGTTTTGAAGAGGTTCACTAGATATTTCTTTATTGTCCTACATAAGTCTATATTTAGAAGTTGCCTCTGCCGCGGAATCAATTTTGACATAATGGGCTTGATTGACATAACTTTTGTACATGACCACAAGGTGATGCTTAACCAAATAAGTAAGATTTGTGCATTATTGTAAAGGAGGAGATTTAAATAGACCTATTCTAAGTAACGCAAGAGCGGGATAATTTTTGATCACAGAGGCATAATAAATGTTTTCAAAAGGTCCATCTGGCTACGCTTCATGCTAAAATTCTAAGCCTTGGGAAACATTTAGCTTCACAAATGAATACTTATATTTAAGTATTTATAAACTAAGTTACCTAAAGGGCGGAAAATGTTAAAATAGAGAAAATAAGAATCCCTAAATAAAGCCCAATAGGACAATATTGAAAATGTTGCAGGCTCGGTTTAATTGAGCCGGTTCATGGACGGTACTGGAAAGTGCAAGTTACCGTCCACGCCCCCAAGCCCCAGCTGAAACAGAATTAAACATTCAAACATGAAAAGGTAAGTCTGAGGGCATGAATTATATAGCTGTCATACAGGATCACAATGGGACATTCCATGCCAAATATCTATGTTCCAGGCATTATTGCTAATGAGAAGAGATGATTATTAAGTTATTGTTGCTATAAAGTGACCCCTTTCTTGTCATAAGGCATGATTTATATAACTTGGTTTAGGGGAATATGTTGTTTAAAGAAATACGAAATATAAAAAGACATATTGTCATCACGAAAGTTCATCCATGAAATAAAATGTACCGGTGTAGCAGCTTGTTCTTGCTGGTATCATAACAGTTGTCGCCCTTTGTGATCTGCAGACGACACAGGGGGCGTCCTCGTCATCTCTATGAACATTGAATGGGTTGAATGTTGACTCATAATTATCTTCATACTCAGTACCATACATTCTGTTTCCGATATCTGAAACACAATAATGTTCCAAAATAACAAGGACATAGACTATTTCTGAAGTTTTACATTATGTAATCAAATAATGAAATAATTTTTTTTCCAATACAAAGGCACTTTGGAAATGTTATGCACGCTCAAAGCACACTAATCCATGCCAATCAATGCACATGTATTCGTAAAAAATTATCTAGATAAATAGTTTGTAAAATATTTGATTATTTCACTCATGTATAAAAAGGTGATCTCTCAGAAGCAATATAAACAACAATATTTAATGAAAATCGACTGGTTAGTCTAATTCCTTATCTAGATCTTGATTTAATTATGCAAGCTCAAGTTTATCTACATTATCAGCAAAACCTTGCATCCAATTATCACTGTGAATTTATGGACGTTTACAACGAGATTTTGTGAACGCTTGCGCAAGCAAAGTAATTTTGTAAATGCTTATAACATAGGACAATTCTTTATAACATAGGACAATTCTTTATAATATAGGACAATTCTTTGCTATTTTACACCACGTGTACCTTGAAATCCGGCTAAGTATTTTGCCCATTGGGGATCTTCAGGCATACATACATAGTTTGCTGGACCTCCTATATCTAGATACCATTTTCCTCCTGTATAACCTGTGACAAAGACGATTTGAATGATCAGATAATAAAGGCAATTATTTTAACTTCCCTTTCTTATGTACCAAACTGCATAGCCATTATAAAGATATTTCAATTTTTTTATTGCCTTCAAGAACAGCTTCACGCTGGCAACTTGTTGGCGTTTGTATTTTATTTTGGTAAAGGGTAATGTCTTATGTTGTTCAAAAATGAAATAAAAATATTTTTTTAGGAAACAAGTTAACTTCTTTTCCTTATAAATTCGACAATTTTTTAAAGAATGTCTACGGAAATTGGTAAGCTGGTGTAAGCACTGACTGACCTTTATAGACAATGCTTGAATTGCCGGAACATTGTGTACGTCCCCATCTTACATACGTACTTCCCATACCTGAAAAAACCCTCAAATTTTCAGATAAATTGAATATAAACACGGGGCTGTCACGCGACTTTGTATAGTAATACAAACTAGTAATGGCGACTTCTGAGCCTCGGAAAGTTCATTATTTTAATAAATTTAGGTACTAAATACTATATTCTGTATTACTATACAAAGTCACGTGATCACCCCGTAATAAATATACTATTTGTTTTTAGAAATAACAGTTGAAACATAAAATTAAAAATTATAGGGTGTTATAAACATTTAATTTCTTGCATCATCCCCTATATAATTGGGCTCAGTTATCGTTCACAGACTTTATTAGCCAATCGCCTCCATGCTAATATTACGGTTCATAGAGGAAATCATGCTTGCGTCTGATTTCATTAAATTCATCAGGCAATGGTAAAGAAAAGAATGGTAAGGCTCAATCGAGACCTTCAGTTTTTGTTTCGAACCTGATACATTTTATAATATCAGACACTTGTTTGGTATTCTCGGTAGTATGCTTTCAAATTTAATAAGTGTTTCGTTTTTCATTTTAACTAAAACAAAATCCTGTCAAGAACCAAGAAGAGTTTATGCCGTGCGAATTTACAGCCATGGGTCACATCTATAAAATTAGTTTCGAATGTTTTTAGTTAATTGTAAGAGATGCATTAGTATTAAAAAATCTAAAATATCTTCAAACAGGTAAAAGTATACCGTCCTCTTTATTTGTTTTCCAAAGTGTATTGATGAGCTGTCTGATCAGGCTGAGCATGATTGATAAAACATAAAACAAAATTGATCAGACCTGCAGTTTATCAACAGAAAACATGATCATGTATATACAGTATTGTATAACTTTGCATCAAATATTAGAATTTATTTGTTTAATCTTAACGTCATAGATAGCATCTGCTACTCCTCCGATTATAACTCAAGAAGCTTTCATATTTGAGTTTAAATGTACTGACGAAAAAGTCAGCCGGACCTGTCGATTTATATAACGTCATATTTTTAGTATGTCAAAGGGCTTGAAAAGAGAATATAATATGGTGGCTAACTGGTACATTGCGCGTACAACGCAACCTATATCGTTATCGCCTTTTCGCTAGCGGCAACAAGACAAAACGCCAAACGGCGCGTTGTCGCGCTGTCGTCTTGTCATCCTGTCTCTAGCAAAGCACGCCAAACGGCGCATTGTCGTGCGGCGCGATGTCACCCTGTCGCTTTACTTATAAGCCAAACCGAGCGACAATGTGACATCGCGACAACACGCCGCACGACAACGCGCCGTTTCGCGTACATCGTTAGCGTACCAAATCAGTCACCACAAAATTACCTTGTTTTATTCCTTGAACATCTAGAATAAGTTTCTTGACTTCAAGTTCGATGTCTACTTCTCCGTCCAAAAGGTAACGTTGCACACGTTCTTTCTCTGGTAAAGAGTACACAATTCATTTCACTTTATTCAGGGAATATATTTTAATATTTCTAGCATAATACTATATTGTTACAGTTCAGATGCGCGGTGATAAAATTTCAAACGCAATATCCCAGAGTACCTAATTTATTTAGAAAATCATAGTAATCATACTAATAATTTTAACATCAGACAGTAGGATATCAAATATTATACCACAATATATCATTTAATGTAAAACTCCTCTAGACCTATTATGCCTTCTAACCGAATATCAACCTAATAGATAATATTTTATATTTTCCGGCAGATATTTCTTAAATCACATGAAAGCACGCACCCAGAGATATATCCCTCGGATAATATGCTAATCTGGACTATCCTTCCGACGGCCATGCATTATCAATATATGATTTAGTTATAATTTGTAAAGCAAACGTTTTTAGAATAAGAACAGAATACATTACCCGCATTGTTTTCTATATCGGCGACCTGTTTTCGAAGTTTTGAAATTTCTCTCTCTAACTGGTCAAACTTTTCTTGATGAAGTTTTGAATATTCCTTCTCCAGCCTATCAAACCTTTCCCGTAGATCGCCACACTCATCTCCGGCTGTTTGGCATATGAAGTATGCTGTTACAAAAGTACAGTAGCACACAAGTTTAGCCACGTCCATGACAATTTTTATATTATTGAATCAAATTAATTTTGTCTTATCTCAATTGACACAAACTATTATCTTATCTTCTTATTTTTCTTGTCTTATTTCTATTTCTGCCTACCTTCCACTTTAGTTTATATCTTATGTGCAAATAAGTGACTTATTTTGCAGTATATATCACCATATTCCTATCGCGTAACTAACATATTAAGGGATATTTATGGATATTCTGGCCTGCTTTTGGTATTAACATACATTAAAGTTCCGTTTGCCGTTTTTAAATTACTTTCTTTGTTCACTTGACAAAATTTTACTTTTTAATATATTTAAAAAAAAATATGAAAAGGCATGCTGCTTTAAGATACATTACATAGCATAGAAAGAAAAACACGTGTAATATAGGGCATTTTTTTGTGTGCTCTATACGAACATGCTATTTTATTCAAAGACTGACATATTTCTATTGTTCGTTTGTTCTTTAAAATAGCTTACAGATACCAGTATTCAAGTATCTAGAAATATACGTTGTTGCCAGGTTTTTTATATATTCCTATCAAAGTTGATTAATGAGCGAGATTTAAAGATTGCCATTATTTCTTGCACATGTTTATTTTAGTATACGTGCCTCTTTATACAAACAGAAAACAACTTACTGGAATAAAGTGTTTCAGAATATCATAAAATTATTCACCTGTTACATGTTATAAACAAAATATCAGGTTACTCTCTGTTTTCCGAGCTTTGTGTTCCCCTCACTGTAAATGCTAACCTTTTTCTCGCTCAGCATGATTTACCTGTCAGACTTGTCAAACATGTCATATCGCGTACTTACGATATCCAATTGTTTTGCAATACTTAACATGTTTTCACAGAGATATCTGTCAGAAATTCTGAGAAATGTAGTTGTTTACTAATGATTATAAAGTTTGGAATTAGAACAATTGTAACGACTGTTATCATAATGCTTCTTACGTTATTATCGTTGCAAATCGTGTAATTTAATCAGATTGACAACACTTTATGGTTGTATTATTTCAATGAAACGCTGGTACATGGTCACAGCTTATCTACCAGAGACACATATAACTGCATATATTTGAAAATGTCTGCAAACCAATAATTACTAGTCTTGAATATTGTATTTTCTTTAATATACATGTTGTATTTATAATATTTTATTATTGTTGTTGCTGTTGTATTAGCATTATTTTAAGTTTATGATTAAAGATTAAGCTGACTTGTCAGGAATGCAAATAAATTCTTTCTGAAAAAAGTGCAAAGAATGTTGTGCATTCACTAAAGGGCTACTGAAGTTGATCATGACGCGCATTTTCAAAGTAAAACTAACGACGAAAGGAAATAAATATAACATGAAAAGAAAAAATAGTATACCATCTGTTGGAGGTAATGATAGAAATGCCAGACTATCTCTCTGTGGTTTTGTTAGCAGATGTGTTAATGTAATCATCCACACTGTTAACCACAGACTTTCTACCTGTAATACATGTCCTATATATTTATAACCAACATGCATTCTATGTTTATTCGATCTTTCTTGCAGTAATTCTAGGAAAACGATGTCTGTTTAACTACTCGTTTGTCATATATAAATACTATGGATTTTTTGTAGCATGATTCTAGCTAAACAAATGAAATGGGTAATGCTAAATGATAATTTAAATCATTTATAAAGTCATAAAACATAGTGTACGCACAGACTGCTATGTATTTTCCAAATAATAAGGATACATTTTGTTTTTAAGTGAAAGAAAACTTTTACCTCAAATATTGGAGACTTAATATTAATTACAATCTTTGTTTCGAAAACAACAGACCACAATGAAGTCGGGTGTGAATTCTGATTATTTCAACCCTCTCCGAAATTCTAGATATCTACAATCAATATTTCATCTTAACGACTACTTCTAATCAAGAAACAATCAAACAGATTGTTAAAATAATTTTAAAATAAACTTGAAATGATTCTGTTTAAACCATTCGCGCAACCTTATATGCTTAAATGAGTTCTTAGGTTTTTGTCATCATCGATAGGTAAAGAATCAAGCGATGTTTGATACATGTCTGTGAATAAAATTATCCATATGTTATGCTGCGCTTGACATAAAACCACAATCTTATGGAAACAAGGGTATGAAGTTTAGGAACACGAAATGCAATTTGTTGCAGGTAATAATATGTAAACTGAAATATCTCTCTTTTAGCAGGTGTATTAGTGTTAGTATCAGCGTCAATGTAAACATTAAACTCTCTTCGATCTATAAAACATGTAATAAATTTTCACAATCAACGTAGATCTTTTGTTTGTTTATTCGATCATTCTTATAGAAACTTCTAGATAATATGTAGTGTGGTTTGGTACTTTTTATGCTTTTCAGTGATATCATCATTATGATTTGTTGCATGCCTGTTTAATCTCATGTTATTTCATATCTCAGAAAATACAGTGTCTAACGATTTAGATTATGATTTTAAATGTAAAGATCCTAATAGATAATTTGTGATTCCAAAGTTTTAACAGCAAAATTAAAGTTGCTTTAGTAAATAGAGTTTTTGCTTAAAAAACGCATGCTTTTCTTTTTGAAGTTTCAAGATCTTAGTTCTTTCATGGCATATTATATTCTTGTATTTTTGCATTTTCGACACATTGCGACATTATATTCTTTTCTATTAGATGTACATTCTAAAAATTTTCGTATTCGGCCATTAGTCCTTTCTTTTAATTGTCACATTCTATCAAATGTCGTGCAATGCTTTTATGGCAACTTAAAATGATATTGACATATAATACAGATCGTACTAGTGATAATAACAAGCAGAAATATTTCTTGACAGGTAAACTGGATATTGATACTTATTTCAGTATTTTATCATAATAATAAGCGGATACTGACAGACAAAATATCTTTTCCGTATGTATTTGCCTATGATAAATAAGAATTTTTTAGAGTCTAAGAAATTATTATACATTCTTAGTTCTGCTCTACAACGTATCTTTTTTTTAATGTTAAACAAATTTCTCCTGTAAATCATTTTCAGCATTGTCATAATAAAGAAAGTAAGTATTTTATGCTCTACTTCTTTATTGTAAAAGAATTTTTAGCGTACATAAAAACATATATTATCTAAGGTTGATAGATATTAGAACATAAAAACTTGTATTATTTTCTTTCACATTTCTTTGTTCATCTTCTTGTCTTTTTATATACTCTGTCAAAATAATATTTCTAAGCCGAACGAAAAAAAATGAAGATTTTGAAATATTGCTTGGCATCCACATAATCATGTAAACAGTGCTATATAGCGCTTTGTTTTATTTCTTACTATCTTTATGATAACTAATCACTCAACGATCTTTTAAGATAATTGCTGCTTTTGTAAGTATAATAAACAAATACAATGGATATTGTTAGTAATGTTTGTTTTGTTTTATTATCAAACTTTTTAATTGTAAAAATAATCTAAAGCAAACCTTTGAACAACAAAATATAACATTATATTCTTTCAAAGAAACTAAGATTACTTTAAAAATGCAGTAGATCAGAAATGATCAATTAAGAAACGATATTCCTCACATATAAAGGAGGTCTCGCGTCGCGTCAGACTAAATGTTATGTTTTTTTTGCCCTGAAAATATATACATATTTATTTACTTCAATTTTTGAGTGAAACAGAACTGATCGAATAAGAAACTGTTTTTCTTACTTATTGAGGAAATATCGTCAACAACGTAGTTTGAAAACAGGAAACATCTGTCAATCAGATTGATTTTTATTTGCCAAGAAAAGGTACCTTTCTCTTCAGTCTTAGAGTGGTTCAGATTCAAACGTTTGTTAAAGGACTTTACCTTGAAATTTTCGTCAACCAAATATGTGGACCTATCGAGCAGTATGTGCCGAAAGAATGTGACTTTTTGAGAAATTGTCAGAATTCATCGTCACACTGTTGTTTTATTTATAATTATTTTTTGGTGCTGAAATTAAAATCACATATGTAGCATGGTGGTGTGACAATATAAATTTTAAAGAACTTTAAGTGGTTCATAAAGATAATTTATTTCAGGGATTTTTTGGAAATACATATTTGTATAAGTAATGAAATCTTTTGTTTTGTTTTGTTTATATTTTTGTCGACATTCATTTTTATAAGATAAAAAATCCATTTTCTAAATATTTCAAAAGTATGATAGGTATTTATAATTTTAGATCTGTGTTATGAAAATTTGATATAGACACAAATATTTGGCAATATTTTTCTTGTCTTTTTAACTACTCTGTCAAAATATTATTTATAGGTGAACGAAAGAAAATGCAGATTTTGATATTTCTCTTGGCACCAGTGTATGTAAACAGTGTTATATGGGTCTTTGTTATATTTTTATTATCTTTATGATAACTTATCACTCAACGATCTATTAAGATAATTGCTGTTTTTGTTAGTATGATAAAACACGTGTGAAATGTAATGCCAATGTTATGTTGTAAGCTCTGCTTTGTTTTATTATCATACCTTTTAATTGCAAACATTACGGGAAGAAGAAAAAACTTGAGACATAAAAAATTACGTTTTATTTTTACAATACTTCAATGACTTATTATGTTGCTAATTATATTTATGTATTCCTATTTTATGATTAATAATGCTCAAAATGTTTTTGTACATTTATGAAACATTAATGAAATATAATAAAAATCCTCTCTGAGTTTTGAAATAATCACTATTGCTTATGACTCCATGTATGAATATTTCTTATATCTTCTATTTTGTTATAAGTTAGATGGCAACTAAGTATGCTTCGAATTCAGACAAAAAGATATCAAGAATGTAGCACACAATTGAAAGGGCTACTAAAAATGCAGTTCATAATCCTTATTTTCAAATATATTTGAGATACTTGTTTAAAGATTTTTTTATTGAATAGATTGACAAAAAAGAAGGTACATCTGTGCTACTTTACATGAAACAAGAATGTTGTATTATATATTTCGATATTACATCTATAATGTAAATTCTTAATTATACCACTAGGATTGTAATGAAGCTTTACTTGAATGAACGTTAAAATGTTATATCTGCTTACTAGCATGATTCATGTTCTAGCCTACATTACTTTTGTTTACACAAATAGCTTTGTCGCTATTCATGAGAAAATGTTTTAAGTCTTGGCAAAGGTCGTGCATTTCCGATGATTACGTACTTTTGTTATCTCACATGCCAAAGTGTCTTGTTGTATTCCAAGAGAAATGATTGTTTTATTAAGCGTAAGTTGATACTTTCTTGCATTTGTAATTATTTTTAATAAGGTGGTTTATTAATATCAATATTGTAGATCGATACCCGACTTGCTGATAAGCCTTGAACTTTACATTTAAAGAACAAAAAATCTATTTGATGATGTTTATTACTTGTTTTTGTATCCTTAAAATTGTTTCTTTTCTTTACATTCAGAAAAGAAAACAACAATAGATATATTCTCTAGCTATGTCGTCAAACACACCGTGTATCAAGTGCAGCAAGTATGTTGTACAAATATATGTATCTAGGGATTCACTACTATGTATGCAGCATTTTCACATTATCTACAGATATGTAACAAAAAAAAATGTATTTCTTTTTCACGTACGTTGACCCTTCTTTACAAAAAGAATGTTTAATAAGAAAGGAAATAAAATAAATTTTCCAGGGTCATATTACGATTTCCGAATGAATTCTTTTGTAAAAATCGAGTCAAGATATTTGTAAAAATACCTTGCTAGAAAGCCATAATCGAAAACAATATATATGTATGTACAACTGAATTTCGCGAAATAAAGTCACAGGATATTGCAATTGGATGATTGTTTTTCATTTTCTTCCTCTTTCCCCCCTATGTTTTCCCTTTATCTCAACACTATGTCACAAATGTAATAGTTTATAAAGAAAGGTTCAATGTTTATATGGGTTTATTTTATTGTTGTTGATAATGGTGGTAAATATCTTTAATTATTATGCCATGTTATTGTCTTTAGTGAATTACCGTTGATGATGTCGTACATTTCAGAAACAAACAATGATATAGGCATGTAGAAGTCTGTGACACGAGTACAATACAAATCAAATAAAAATTCTGAATATATTAATGATGTACAGTATATTCAATAATTGTATCAAAGTTTGGGGACCTTTCTGTTGAAAATGTGTCAGCGTTAAATCGTATACATATACATGCACAGTGCGTTAACTGGACTGCAGGTATTAGAAACCCGCACTCCAGAGCATGCCCATTGATTGGCTCATTTTTGCTGGGATTTACTTATTTTGACGGAAGAGAAAGGGAAAGCGACAGAAATATCATATTCAGATGCTCGTTCATTGGTTCCTTTTAGGGTTTTATATTGTGACAACTGGGAACGTGTTTTTATGTTTGACTATGACACAAAAGAGAAAGAACATCAAAACACTCGGCAATCTGATTAATACTCGGGGGCTATGCCCCCTCTTACCAATCAGATAGCCTCGTATTTCGATGCTCTTTCTATTACTTTAATGAATTTACTTATTAAGTGAAATATTTGTATTAAATCAAGCATGTTCTTAACAGCATAACAACATAAAACAATTAATACGGTTTTTTGGGGGTATTTTATTATCTTTATTTGTTAATCGAAAATATCAAGTTCATTTTCAAGTTCATGTGCAGGATTATGAAAATAATGTCAACGCAACACGTTTTACAACAATCTACTTTTTTATTAAAATTTATTAGTATTGTATTACAATATAAATGTATTAATAATGTTTATATACGTTTAAACAAGAAACAACTTTCCAAAGATTTTATAGCACTCCAAAATAGATCACAGAATTTTGATTGTTCGAATTAAAGACATCGTTTAATCTGCGATGTCTGGTGGTACATTTGGTCGTATGAAGAAACACTTAAATGCACTATATGCACGTGTGCAGTAATCTCTGTGAGCAGATTTGTCTTTGATACTCTCTGTTGATTTATCACAATGAGATGGAGAAGAGTCACTATAAGTTCTGTGTACAGCCTGAGAGGACGGTTTCTTTGTTGAAGTCGAACTTGAACCTAGATGTAGCGCTAGCCAGTCCATACAGTCTGTTAAACCGTCTCCCTGTATAGCACTTGTTTCGATAATGTCTGAAAACAGTGTCAATGAGGTTTTGTCAATCAGGTGTTCAATTGTAAGTTAATATAAATGAAAATAAAGATATAAATCAAATCGCAAAAGTACAATACATGTAATTCAAAGGCATGTAAGTAGTATATAGAGATACCTGGGTTAACAATAATGGAAATGTTTGGATATGCCGAACGCAATGAAAACAATTAAAAAGAAAGTTAATTTGCATACTCGGCTTTAGTGTTTATCCAAAGATAACTCAAGAAGTGCAACATCTCTCACATCGCCAATCATCGATTAAGAAGCATTTTTTTAAAATTATGTTTAATAAGAACCAAATCAAGTTTTATATATACATGCACATTTTTTCTGAACCGTTTTTCGTTTTTAATACGTAGATTTAATATATAAACTCACTCCATATATGTTTGATTGATTGTAGATTTAATTTAGCCGCAACTTCATCTTTATCTAATGTATTTGGCAGGTCACGTTTGTTGACAAGGAATAAGAACACGCTATTGGCTAGTTCGTCAGCGTGCAGGGCGGGCTTAAGCACGTCACAATACAACTCGTCCAATCGCTCGCGGTCAGAAGAGTCTATCACCATTACTACGGCGTCTGTTCCTTTATAGTAATGTCGGAATAACGGCCTCTGAAATAAAACATAAATTATGTTGAAAATTAAATTGATCATGTATTACTAATGGACTGTTCAAATTTATTATCGAGACTTCAAGCCTCTTTCCCCCCTCATCTCCCATGGTTCGAATCCGACCCAGGACTTTGGATTCTTTCATGTGGGGAAGCTATCCAGCTAGCTTTCTGTCTGACAGTGGTTCTACTCTTGTACCCGTTCGTGCCTACAATAAATTATAATGCACGGAGCGATTAATATTGAATACCAATAATAACACAGCACCTTGACCAGTCGCAAGATGATTTCTACTTATAGAGCAAGGTTCACATCCCTTGGGTTTTGTAGAAAACCAAACTCTTCTATCGTAATATGATTAAAGACACAACACACCTCAGAAAAAAGAAATTAATTCCGTTTTTAACAAGAGCAAACATGAGTTTTATAACGTTGAAATAATGGTGATTTTAGAGCATATAGATGCTTATCACCTGAAAAGAGTAGTGTTGAATATAAACTATTTGTCATATCAATAGCAAAATGTAAACAGAGAAGTATTTTGACTTCTGTACAAAATACTGAATCACTATAACTGTACCGATTACCAAAAGACAACAGAAGCAATAGATTGAAAAGACGTCTATCCCACCAATGAGAAACTTTCTTAAAATTAAATAAAAGCTTTTGAGAAAGAACAATGGAAGCATTTCTGGGGCCTGTAATATTTCTGAAGGTGGAGAAAGTTTTATAGCCATTTTAAATTGCAACTCTTATATCTACTTACCATTTTGTCTCTAGCACCTATGTCCCATGCTGTGAATGTTATGTTTTTGTATGTTAGCTGTTCTACATTGAATCCTGTAAATACACAGAAAATGATAAACTTGCAGATACGTGATATTTATGGTACTATTTCATTGATATCATATTATTGAAATAGGCATAAAGTGATAAGTTATAAATCTTTATTTCAAAATTTTATTGAAAATGAAATTCATTTCTTAATATTTTTATAAAAAAAAAATGGTATTTTTATGATTTCTAAGCGATGCAATGTCTCCAGTCATATTTTGAGTGTGCATTGTATTGTATAAACAAAGTAGTGTATAACAACATTTGAACTTTAAAAAAATGACATGAAATATCATTGATATCTTTTTAACTTCACATTTGATATTGCACTTTTTAAATGAATCTTGCTTCTAACCATATTGCATCTCTAAATCGTCGTTTTACATATATGTCATTTAATTTATGTTTTTTATTTCCTTTTTAGTGTAATTCAGATATCTGTATTCATTTTGTAAATGGACGGCATCCATATATACCAAGTAATTAATGAAAATGTATCAACATGAAATATCAATGGGTAACAATGGATAATGAAAAATTAAAAAAGCATTACCTATGGTAGGAATGTGAGTGACCACTTCTCCGAGTTTAAGACGGTATAATAGTGTTGTCTTTCCCGCACCGTCCAATCCTGAAATTATATAAATACATTAAATAAACACTTTAATAACAAGTAGAGATTTTGATGCTAAAGCATCAAGTCGCCGGATAGAAAAATGATTGTATTATTATCATAAAGATCATAAGAAAATATCAGTTTAATGGTTCAAGTAAAATGTATAAAAAAAGGGGAACAATATGTTGAGTAATGTTTGCAACACCGAGACTTGTAACGCAAGTGATATGCTGGTAATTCTACTTGTTATTCTTCTTTATACATAAACTGTACCATACATTGAAATCTGTATGGGTTACAAGTTCAGGATCTGATAATTACTGACAAATAATTACCGATCATCGAATATTTGCAAAGTGACTATGAAAATATATATATATTTATTATTGCATAAACAATGCAATTCTACTGTAAAAGTGTTATCCATCATTATTATGCGCTATCGAAAAAACATGTAATTTAGTTGAAATTCCCATCGTTACATACGATATAATTAACGTTTAATTAATTGCCTTTCAGTGCGATTATCTATCAACACAAAGATAGGGTTTTTTCTATTTTTTTTTTATATTCTTTATTATGTATCTAATACTGACATACCGTTTTGAAACCTGCGCGACGGAAACCGACGGAATATAACAAAATCAACGATTACCATTATATATTTCAATAATGTGCCTCTTAATTAAGCATAAAATTAGTTTGTGATGTTCAACATTAACTAAACTATTGAACGTTCTGGTCAATATTTGACACAAAGGGCTTAGTTTAATCCTTTACCAAGAAAAAAAGGAAAATATTTTGAAAATTTATTTTTAATGTGTCAAATATGAGTATACAGGTTTTTCTAATGACATAAAATATGAAACTGATTAATGAAAATAACTTTGTAATTAATAGATAAGCATCGTATACGTCACTGATAAGAGATAGCCACATATCGTAAGTTTCGGACAAAGAATCTGGATTAATCTACATGTAGATTATACAAGATAATGGTTACGAATACTTCTATTCACATTTCTCTCAATGAAAATGATGCTTGCGTAAAGCATGATTGAGAAGCATTCTTATGTACAACTACGATGATGATTTAAAAACATCTGGAAAATAAAGATGGTGAAAAAGAAATTGCTTTTGGGGCTTTATACTTTCCCTGCATGTCAATTTGAGAAAAAATGCGGCGCTTGGCAATTTGTTTTTGTTTCACTATTTATCAACATTTTGAAATGGTGAGATGATATTGTATGATTTCAAGAATTTGGGACTAAAAATGAAAGTGTATCTTTTTGTTCCAGATATACCGTACGAAATTTTGTTCCTATGTAAAATACGTAGATTGGAGATGTCTTGAATCTATCCACCAAAGTGCTACGTGATTAATTAATATCTTACTTCTTTGGTAATTTTAGAATAAGCAAATCTCTGCACTTTTCCTATTTTACCTAATAAAAAATGCCGATTCTAGTATTTGTTTTATCAAAAATAATGTATACGTACATGCATGCTTGCATGTATATTTAAACTTCATGATTTAACATACGTGTGTACACTGTTTACGTACAGACAATAAAATATAAGTCATTTGTATTTTTAATTTCCTTGGATATCATATGTCTCACACAAAATATTTGTTGTTAAATCATCGACAATTACTGGTGCATTTTTTTAAACTTTTTATTTCATTAACAAGGTATAAAGATGTATATAGAGACGATAGCTTCGAGATACTAACCCCTAGCAGATCGTGACATATGTTTAAATGTAACTTATAAGTACAGTGTTCAGTTGTCCCTTTTCTTTTCACACTAAATTCCATTTCCAACTTGTTTGCTTTCTATAATTGTATAAAATTTCTTAAAATATTGCATGTAAACAAACTAAATATCCGCTGATTAACATTATGTATAATTTGTACTCCCTAATCCCTTGTCCGAAAGTCAGTGCAAGTGATAGAGTGGTGATTAGGTAAAATCTATTTTTAGAACAGTGTTACCTTCAGATCGAAGGCTATTATACAACATTACAATTATTTGCATCTCATCAGCCGCTATACCTGTTGCCAACCATTAACAAGCTATCTGCAATCTGTTACTAATAATAGATTTTATAACGATAACGCACAACCGGTAGTCACGTGTTTCAGGGAGAATTTGTTTATAATTAGATAAAATAATGAAATATAACAGGTCTCATAAAATATAAACAACCAAATAATTTAAAAGTGTCATTTCAAATATCATTTATGATTTATATATCATAAAATAGCAACGCTTGAAACATGGAAAAAAAGTTAAAGTATCCCTAAATTTAATGACTGATCCTTAGGGATACATTATTGATTCATTTTATGAATATTGTAATGTTGCTTTTTTAGATGTCAATATGTGTATATTTCATTTCATTGAGCTTAGTTATCATATGTTTGATTGTTTTTAGATTACTGAAAATGAGTGTGGTCTTTAATGGTTCAGTAATTGATTTGCTTTTATCTTCAGATTTTAAGGGCTTCTCCTACCATAGGTATAATATTAAACTGTTACAAATATAGTCGCCGGTTTCTACCGGCGACTAATGAAATATATAGTCTCCAAAACAGTATGTGCAGAAACATGCAATTCGTTCCTTTTTTAGAATGTTGAAATACTTCTCCAGTTTCTGTAGTCAAAACTAGAATGAATGCAACTGTAAGTCAATCATCTTTTTAATAGCTATACCACAGAGTTTCATAAAGGTATCAGAAATTACAAACGTGATAATCACTTAAGTATCTCCAATTTTCAATTTCAATCAATTTTCACTTTGAACGATTGACGTGCATTGCTGCGAAAGATATCATCGCTACACCGAAGTTTGTTATTGTCGTTAATATTGAACATACGAAGACTCCGTATGAAAAACGAACAACAAAAAACATTAACTCAAAAACGAGCAAAATTTGGTGTATTGACGTATTTTCGTGAAGAACACATTCATAGAATGCAGTCAGTTTCGGGTAATGATAAAAATATTGAGTTATCAATCTGTGGTTTTTGTTAGAAGATGTGCTAATGTAATTACCTTCATTGCTAACCAATTACTATTCTACCTGTATTACATGTCATACATATTATTACGCAATTTACATGATTCACATAACTACAAGATGTGAAAGATCTTGCCATGGTTTCTAAGACATTCTAAGTATGTTTTGGCACTTGTAGTGATTTGTAATAGGGACATTGCCTTTGATTTGTTGCTTGTAATGTTTATTGAAAATCTATTTTAACGCCTCCGAAATACATAACAAATTATCAGATAAGAAATGTATTCCATCGATAACCACACATGTATAAACAGAAACATGCTAACACGTTATTTGTATCAGAATATGTTCTGCAAAAGCTATTTACAAATTTACAAAACATTAATATGATTATATTCTAAACTGTTTAAACTGATTTTCCTTTGAACTGACAAATATAGTTGCTACAAAGAGAAAAAAGAACAACTGAAGCATGAAACTTTAAAGTATTTGCTTTGTCGACTCTATAACGACTGAGCAATAAAAGTATCTGTTATGTGTTAAAGGCAATTTAAGTTAAAAGCTTTCCTGTAAACGTAGGCGTTGTGATTGAATTCTGCTGCTCTTTGCATGTAGGCGTAGACAAATGTGACATTGTAGATTAACGACATACGCACACGCATTTGATGAAGGACAAAGATAGTTTCGATTCCCAAACGTAAAACAAACATCGTATTTTCTCAAAATAAAGAGAGAAAAAAATTGTTTTTAGAAATATAAATTTAGTTCCACCTTGTGAAATACATTTGACGAGGTCAAAACATTTTAATTGTAACATTTATACTCCATTTGTTCTATAATTTGTATGGTTATTAAAGTATATATTTTATTTTAGAAACTGATAATAATTTGTGTTTCTTATTGGATAATATTTAAGTGGAGAAGTCATGCCACCCTTTGTCTAATATGATATCATTTTATTGAAAGGATTCAACAAAGATAAAAGTATAAAGTTAGAAATGAACCTACATGAATATCATATTCTTTTTTGATCACAAGCTAAAACAAGAACTGTTTTCATTAAATATGAAACAAGTATGTGCACGGCCTTGATAGACCGTTTTTACGGAGTCGTAACAGCGGCTAGTGCATGTGGTAAAAAGAGTAACTTATAATTGCGAAATTTGGCACTTGACCCAATGAAACTTAGCAAATCATACAAAAACAATGTAAATTTGTTTTGAAATATTAAATTGTGTCATTCTTATAAACAATTTTCAATAGAACTCCTTACTCGATCGCTTTATTTTGTGATTACGCATAACAAAGTAAGATATCAGCTACTAGTATATGCCTTGACTACCATTTGAAAGACCATGTACTGTGCTCTCCAAATTTGTGCAGAAATACATTTTACCGAGTAGTGTCTGCTTTTAGAAGTGTGTCACAAAGAAGAAAACAGTATAAAAAAATTGTGAATTGTAACGAAGGATGCTTTAAAAGAAACTTAACAAGAAACAAAACTTCTGTAAACAATAAGATGCATTGATAAGTAGTCCGTGTTATCAATATATTTCAATCTGTATTAAAGACATGTGTTTTCATTACAAATCAAGTTGTTGCAAATACAGTATAATAATGTTAATATCTTATAATGATTTCTTTTGTTTTTAAACCAAGAATACATATTTTAGAATTCCATGCATTGTCTGTCATAAAGTTGTGTGAATCACATTTTGTTTCAGGTAATGAAAATAACAAGGGTTATTTACCCGTGATTAATGGTTCAGGTGGTAAATGCAATCATCTCGTGGTGTAAGCTACTGCCAAATTTACCTGTCATGCATGTCACTAACATTCTACATTCATAGTTAACCAGTTACCTACTGAATATTTTGTAATGGATTTGGTTCATTCAAAGTTTGAAGAAATTCAGAGGCCAGATGCTCAAACAATACAATTTTATCCAACTCGTTCAATTTGTTAATGAACCTACATCCATTCAATATCCGCTATATTATGGTTGGGGTAAAGTTATTGAAGCTATTACAAGACTTTAAAATCAGAAAATCTATTAACGATAAAATATGCTTGAGAATACTCATCACTATAAAATGTTCTTGAACTAACTAAAGGGTATCTGCCGACTAGAAAAAGAAATCCTATGGACTAGAAAGGAAGTAAAAGTATAATTATGACACAATTTTTCACCATACACACATTTTGCTAATATTTTGAAGTATTAAGGAGTGAGAGGTCATTTAGAGGGAAAAAAATAAATAAAATTAAAAAAAAATACTTAAAAGCTTTGAAACCATTATTTTAAGTACATTTCAAAATAATTATTTTTTGTAAATGTAAAACGTTAACATTCTTTAAAGCAATTATTAAAATAAGATATTTAGAGTTCCAAGCAATATTTTCTGCATCGTGTTCTATTTCAATTAGGACGAATTACAAGAATTCTAATTCTTGCCATCCTTATTTAATTGCCAGTCATTGACTAACATTTATAGAAACTATTGTACACTTTTAATGGTACATTTGCCTGACTATTTATACCTATAGATCAAACATGAGAATTCCAGGTGTTTAAACCCAAGCTATTGCACATTTCCCTACAAAATGATAATTATCAAATTTAGGCTTAAAGGCTTTTGATTGTTCTAGAAATACAATTGTCTAATATTTGTGTATAGCCAAATACATCGAAAGCAAAAAACGTAACAATAAAAATTGAGAGCATGCAAATTTTGTCATAAAAGCTTTGAAACAATTACTTTATGTACATTTTAAAATAATTATTTTTATGTAAATGCTAAAACGATTATTAAAGTAATTATCAAAGGAGATATAAAGAGTTCTAAGCAGTATTTTCAGTATCGTGTACTATTTCAATGTAACAAAATTACAACAATTCTAATTCTTGCCATCCTGGTTTAATTGTCAGTTATTGGAAACTATTGCAACCTTTTAATGATTTGCATGTTTGCCCGACTATTTATACTTGTAGATCAAACATGAGAATTCCAGGTGTTTAAACCCAAGCTATTGCACATTACAAAATTATAATTATCAAGCTAGAAATACAAATATCTACTGTTCTCTGTGTAAAGCCAAATACTTCCAAAGCAAAAACCGTTCCAATAAAATTTGAGAGCATGCAAATTGTTCTGAGCCAACGTTTACATTGGCATCTTCAAAGAATACTTGCTGCATGGAATTTACAAGATTTGTAGATTGTTTCCTATGATAAATAGTACAGTGTTAATTCAATTATCTTCACTCTCAGCCACTTTCTGATATACCTGTCAAAATTGTCATATTTTATCTATAATCAGTATACCTATGTTTACACCAGACTATGGCTGCAGGCAATGTTCCTTTAGAAAGGTATGCGTAATGCCCAACACCTGTGATTAACTACAATTACGTAACATTTGACTCATTGTTTTAAAGTTAAACGTAGTTTTACAAACAATTGTAATGATGTCATTTCACAGTTTACTTTTTATCTTCAATTTACATAAGCATTTGTACATATTTATTCATTCATAGCATATGGAACTAGGTACATTTCAGGAAACAAGTTAGTTTCTTGTCATACACGATTCCTATTACTATCGATCCTAATTTACCGCTAATTTGTAAAGATCACCTCCAATTAGTCCAGTAAGATTCCCACACAATCGAGTTGAAAAAGTCTGTAGATACACATTATTTCTTTTTTATTTATATTATTCTTGCAGGTATATACCTTGACGGGACTTAATACAAATTTGAATATCATGTTTATTTTTAAAAAAAATATAAAAGATTTCAATGAAAACTTTTATATATAATAAATCAAATCTCCTAGAATTCTTTGTTATTTGTATAAAAACTACATAAAGTAAACCTACCTAAGAGCAATATCCTGACGTCTTTATGTTTGAATATTTTTGTCCAAAACTGTCCCATTATTTTGGAATATCACAAAACAAGTTCAAAACATATCACATTAAATAACAAAATATAATATTTACAACTCCTTAAACTATATATAATATCACATCTCTTTATTTGCCATTATAATCTTATCAAAATGTCTTGAATGAAATCAATTGTTTTCACTTTGACAGTACTTGATTTTTTTACACAAAAATTCTTTTCCGAGAATGGTAGTTCCAAATCCGTTTGGAACATATCAAAACAATCAAAAATGAATTTGATTAAAAGCCACTTTTACATATTCAAAAAAACACAAAGTTGTTTAAAAGTAAAATCGTCTTGTCTAAAGCCAGTATGTTTTCATGCAATGACGTATACTCTATAAATGCATGAACACTATTCTTTCGCCTACATGCATTCTGATAGAACAAAAAACACAAGTTCGCGTGAGAGCAGCCACTATGAATTCACAATTAGCAATACATATTTTCTCATTGTATGTGAGTTCTCGTAACTAGATAACTAGTTCATCTTTCTGTTCCAGTCTGAGCTAGAATAATTCTGTTATACATTGTTTCCATCACACTGATATCTTAATAAAGCTATTTCATTTCAGGAGGCAGATAAACTCTGCAACTTAACATGAAGATACATTAAATCTAACATTACATTATCGGAAAATCAGTTCCTAATTGAGTCACCTGTAATTGAATTAATCCAATAAATCGATTACTTTGATAAATTGTTGATTTACAGCGGACTTATTCCGCAGAACCTGTAGTTCACACTGTTGAATTGTTAGCCAAATGTAGGTGTGAAAGAGTCTAGATTTTGAATGTTTTTGAAAATTAATCATCAAATTCAGACCTTTCTGAATGTGCCAATTTAAAGTGCTCGTTTTTTTTTGTTTGATAGATTGTTTTTTCTTTGTGTTTTTGATTTGTTTTTTTTGTTTTGTCCTTACTAATCACAATTCATGTTTTAAAATGTTATACAATTGTTTTAGACTTTGCAGAAAAAAGCGGCATTGTTTTATTCACGGCCGTTCACTAAAAAACTGTTACATGTTTAACGTAAGAAACATTTGGCAAATCAAATATTCATTGTTTAACAGCGGATTATGTTGTTTTAGGTCTATGGAATTCTTATCCATGCTCTAAAAATATATACAATCAGCCAAACATGTGTTCATTAAACATTAACGACATCACTTTAACATGTGTTTCAATTTAAAACCTAGAACCATTAGTCTTTACAGATTCAATTAATAATCTTTTGTATAAATATTTGTAAATAATTGGCAAAAAAGTTGTACAAACTTCATTTGAAATGCTTCATGATTAAATTTTTAAATGATAAGGAAAATGTAATTTAGAACAAAAACAAGATGGTTGTTATGAAATAAAAAGTTTCTAGAGGCAACATGGAAAGTTACAACAAACAAAAAATATTGTTTGAAATATTAAATTTTCAAAAATGATATTGTGAGAAAATAGCGGTATTTCATGAAATCAAAGCTGCATTTAAAAATACATTTCTAAATAATCATGCTGTCTCAAAATCATGTGAAAGAACTTTAATACCAACTGCTCTTAAAACTTCCATTTTGAAACCAACATTTCAAGCCAATGTATTTTGCATTCCCCTTAACGGTATCGCTTTGCGTATCATTAATTGTTTGTTAGTGAAATCACAATTTGGAAAATGATTTTATGCCATTTAGAACGAGATTCTTTCCCATATACAAATGTTTTCTTAATCAAATTTATTAAAATTAATAGTGCTTTTTTTTAGATTTTAAACACATCTTATTGTCACTTACATGTTAAATGAATGTTTGTGAAACTGTTTTACTAAAATATGTGAATATATGCTTAAGTATAACTCATAGCAAAATATTTTGATTCGCTAAAAGTTTACCACCTGTGCACTTCTTATCTACTTTTGTGTGGTTTGGAAATACGAGATAAAACTAAACTTTTGATTTTACAAAAAAATATGACAGTGAAAGAAAGTATTCTGCAGCAGAGCTTGTAACATGCAGTAAACACGAAAATAAAGTTTCTCAGATATGTGTTGCAGGTTTGTAGATTATTTCTAATGATTAGCAGAAGTTACTTTCTCGCTTAGCCACTTTCTGATTACCTGTCAAATTTTGTCATATCTACCTACAATCAATATACTGGTGTTAACACTGCTTCAGGCAGCGTTCCTCTAGAATGGTTTTTGTTAATCACCTGGCACTTGTGGTTAACGTTTGACTCATTGTTTTGTTTCATTTTTGTCAAGTTACTAACGTTATTACCAAAATACTTATATCTTTCAACTGAAAGACTAGACTGATATTTGACCCACTGTTCTGGTCTATTTCTAACTTGGTTAGATTTAATATAATAAAACAACAAAATGTGCATATACAAAATTTCAATTGAAATCCTTCATTTAATATAATAATTTAAAAAAGGTGCATATTCAAACTTTACAGATTGCAACGAAGAAAGACTGGATTAGGAAACAAATAATAAAAAACATCAATTCCTCTTTAATAAGGAATAATTTTATTTTATAATGATTCTATATTGTTTCACTCTACTTTATGGTTTAAAAGACAAAAATGAACATTTTGAAAAATTCTTCGTATGAAAGAGCAACAACGTATCGACTTTGTAACATATGACTCTTATTTTCTAGGACCACTAGAATCTCTCAATAAGATCTCCAATCATTACTTTTTTTAAAATCTTACTCTAAAATACAGCAAGATGATGTTATATACAAGTTTGAAATATATGTTCTTCTATAATTGTAGTATTCTAAAAAGAAGAACGTGATTTAAGATACTTTTTCCATTAAATCTCAATATTTTGTTGTTATTTTTTTCTTTTCTACGAAAATTCTAAAAAGAACATACCTAAGAGTAATATTCTGACATCTTTGTGTTTAAATACTTTCGTCCAGAACTGACCCATTTTTTCCGAATTATCCCAATATACACTTCTGGTATTTACAATGTGTCACAAGAAAATCCATATAGTTATAACTGCTATAGCAACATTTGATGTCACATCTCTATTCTTACTTTAATTTTATCCGAATTACTTAATTTTTAATTGAAATTATCAAAATGTTTTAATTTTACACGTAGACATTCGAATAGAAAAATACACTTCATGAGTACAAAATGACCCCAGGTTTCATACTATAATGTCCCGAAAATAATATTTTCAATTACAAATTACACATAACTGAACTACTTAAAAGTAAAATCCATGTTTAACGGTTTCTTCAAATTTATGCTAAAGTATTTGAGTCAAATCTGGTAGACCAGAGCAAGCATGTTTTCACGCGATAATATTCATTTCATCACTTCATGTTTGGCGCACATGCATTTAGAAGAAAGCAAAAAACAAATACGCGCGAGAGCAGCCGCTGTGAAATCACAATTTACGATACATATTTCCTCATTGTATGCGAGTAAATAGGAACCTAGTTTCTTTATTTTTCCTGTTTGAGCTAGAATTATACTGTTAATCATTCATTGTTTTCACCATAATAAACAGTTTTAGCCGTTTTATTTTAAACAGGCAGACAAACCCTATTACTAAACATAAATATTCATTCAATCTAAAATACATTTGAACGGAAAAGCAATTTCTAATTGATTTACCTTGGCAATTTGATTTATCCAATAAATCGATTACAGATCAAAGGTGGATTTGAAGGTGACTAATAATTCTACAGCATCTGCTCTGTTTCCGATAATCATTTCATGGAAAAGCACGAAAAAGGGCTAGATTCAGATATGTTTGTGAAGGAATTTATGGTTTAGATATCGACTCATGGGGATGGGGGAGCGGTGATGTCGATTTCATTTTTTTTTGCAACAGCAGGTGTTAAATGGTGTTTTGCATCTCTTAAATTATCTTAAAATTTGTTGAGTCTGTAATTATAGTATCGTTATTATTTCTTGTCTTTCGGGAACGTTGGTTCAAGAGTTCCAGTACTTATTATTGTCAAGCATTAAAAAACTACTAAATCTGGCTCTATTAGACGTGTAAGCTTTTTCACCATTTACTCTTATAAGCAAACGTAATCAAATTGTCTGCAAACTTTTATTTGAATTTCATTTCCTTTTCCTTTGAGGGATAATATATGCAGAAATTGATATATAAAATTATTACATTGGGTGAGCATTTTCAATTCTATGTAAACTTTTCAAACTTTGAACTTATATTTATGCATTTGAAAATTCCATAAAATATATCAGAGTAAACTCGTTTTCTAAACGTAAGTTTATGTTGGCATTCACTATCATAAAAGTAGTTAATCACAAATCATCTAACAAAAATTGACGTCAGAAGTTTATTTCCGTTCATGTCCTTCGTATTATAATCTCGCAAAATAACAATGTGTACTACTTCACATTCCGACAAGAAAGTTCGAATCAATTATATTTGATTTTTAAAACTATATTACCAAACTAGAGAACACTCGAATAATTCCAAAACATTTTTTACAACTATGATATCAAATTAGATAACACTCGAATAGTTCCAGAGCAATGTTATTGAATTGTATCATATTGTAACGAATAAATTCATGCAATGAAAAAGTTATTTCTCGACTTGAAGACTATCCTTTGCATTGAAATATTCCTATTGATTTTCCTATTGTTAAAAGCGATATTTAGATATACAATCACTATATTTGAATCCATTAATGGTTTTCACAGTCAGCAATGAAATAAATCGTTGCATTGATTTTAAGAGTTGTATTTCTTCTTTTGTCATTGTAATGACGTCATTTAAAAGCTAAAGCGCAATATTTGTGTATTCTAGAGAAAATGTCCTAGCCTGTATGGAACACTAACATTATCATTCATTTCTTTATATTCCATAGCAATAGCTCAAAATGATCATAAGGTGGAACAAACTTCGTTAAAAATGGACAATATATCATAATTATCTATGATTAACATAATTGTTTAAATCAAGACTTTTCGTTATCATAGAAGAAAGAGAAAACATTTCCGTATGTTATTATTAGCTTTGCCCTATTGTACAGAGAAATGTAGTCATATGTATAAATATTAAAGTGACATTATGCCTATCTAAGTGTAAATTGTGAGTTCAAAATAACCTCACATTTTGTCATAATTATGTTGAATTGTATATTTTACTATGCAAAATTATCAATACTCCGAGTGACGCACAGACATTTCTATAAATATCGTTCGAAAGGTGTCGGCAACATTCAGTTTTTAAAAAGTGTGGAGCAGTTTTGTTTTGTTATGTAAGTTGTTTGCTGTGGCTACTCTAGACTTTGTATAAAGTTATTTAAGTTGTACTACCCAAGTTCGCTACAGTTTTCATATAGATGTATAAGCAGAATAAAAACTCGTTCATACAATTTGTTCTAACGTTGTATGGTCTTAGAATACGATAACGAAAACATTTAAAGTAAAAAAATGCGTCTGTCGTTTTCTTGATTAGAACGGGTACTCATCCTCATTTGAAGGGCATGCAACTCTGCTATATCATGGC